ATCGCGGCAGATGGAGGGAAGTCGTACGGAAGAAACTGATGCAGCGGGGGAGTCTCGACCCTCAGTAATGAGGAAAACGACGCGAGGAGGACAGCCAACAGCATCACCACATAAAACTTGTCACCTACTTTAGGACATGTTAAAAACTATTGCACCCCTCAAACTAAAACAGATGACCACTTTGCAGGAATAGATTGGATTCAATCCAATCCATGTGGGTGCAGAAAATAACACCAGAATTACATACTAACATTTTTTTTTGCCTTTCTACTATCATTTCATTTCTATTATTATCCTTGATTGTTCATGAATATTTTTTGTTACAGGTTTAGTAAAACGGTACATGGGCAAGATGGACACGAACACTAGTATAGTTCAATCACTCACACAACAATCACAATACATGTTCAGTGGATATTCAGCCCATTAAACCAGAGACAATAAAAAATACATATATAAAGGGGTTCTTTTTTACCATTTTAATGAATCCAAAGTTCTTTTCTTTGTTCAAGAATAATTCAGAAGCTTCTCCAAAGGGACTAAACATCTTCATAATTTCCTCTTCAGTCACATCATTTGTTAAATTGCCTATGTATAATCTGCTTCTCCCATTAAACTTCACTTCTGATTGTTCCATTGGTGGCAAGTCAAACAGTGGTCCTTGCAAATCCTTGAGTTTATTAGATAAAATAATTTCCTGCAAATAAATACATCTTTGAATATATTTTTTCTCATTTATTTGATATGCTTATACTCCTTTGGCAGGAACAAACCTCTCTTTGGGCAGGCTTCATGTTATCCTGCCCTGGGGGTCCCCGCATGTTGCTATTACGCTGTTGATTGCGAGCTGGACCAGGACCACCAGACCCAAGTGGACCACCAGAAGACTTAGAACCAAAGGGTTTGTTTCCTTGTTTGTTCCCAGGTCCACCACCATGGTTCCAGGATCCTCCTTGTTTATTAGGTCCACCGAAGTTTCCATTAATATTCTAATAAAAAAATAAAAATTCTATTAAATGAATGACAGGTAATGCATGGCCAGAAAATCTAACATGATAAGTTCATTATTCATCAGAAATTAAGAGAGTGCAAAGCCAACCTTCACCTGCTTGTGTATCTGTAGTGATAATTTCCTTAATTTAGTAGTGACCTCCAATTTCCTAATTTTTTTTATGCAAACAAGGGAATGGTCTTATGGAATATTATGAGTATCAATCAGTGTTTTATCTATTTACAACCTGAATACTTTATAACACTGAATGTAAGCATTCACATTATAGTTTCTATTGAGCATAGTAACTGCAAAACATACATTGTTGAGTTTGTATGCTAATATTTAAAAAAATGAGTAATACAGGTTTAAACGGTGGGAGTCATTTTACAGTATAACTGAGATTGCTGCCTGCCACAAGTTCAGAGTCCAGTACTCATATATTATTATATATATATACACTACACTCAAACAAAATAAATTCATGAACACTAAAAATGTATTTTTAAAACAAAAATACCTTTTGTTGCTGCGTGTTTAGATTGTTATGTTGATTAATTTGTTGGTTCTGGTTATTTGGTTCAAATTTCGGTTTGTCAGTATTTTCTTGAGGTTCCGATTTTGCAGGAGCATTAACAGGTTTCTGCTGTTGTTGTTGTTGCATCTGTTTCTGCTGTTGTTGTGGTATTTGTTGCTGTTGTTGTGGTTGTTGTTGGCTCTGTTGTTGTTGATTGGTGGATTGTGGTACATTTGTAGTTTCCATTTTTTGCTGTGGCCTAGACGATTGCTGTTTAGGTTGGTTTTGCTGCTGCTGCTGTTGATTAGATTTCTCAGCAGGCTGATTCGATTGTGATGTTGCCTTCTAAAAATAAAGATACAGGTTTTATCTGTTCTGTGACTGTGTCACTTAATCTAAATTTTAATAAAAATTTAACTTAAATAAAAAACATGGTTTGGTAAATTGATGTTTTGAACCGGATCAAATGAGATGCCAATAAAAATAAAGTTTTATAGGTATAACACATTTAGATACTCTATTTCATTCTATTATTATTTTTATTACTTTTTTATTTTAAATACCTACTAGTTTATTTTCAAATGTAAATGCAACATTTAATGACATACAAACCTACATAACCTACCTACCTACATAAGTCATACCAATACATAGGTCATAAGGTCAATACAATTTACAACTGCCTTTATACTAGTGAAAGTGCATACAATTCTATCTGTAGTGGTGGGTAATGTTTTATCTGTAATGGTGTCTATGACGCCTAGAATAGAAACACCAATCTCTTCCTGTATAGAAAAAGGCTCAGAAAATAATGAGAATGCCGGCATATGGTGATTGCTAATCTTCATTTAGGGGAGATAGGGCTAGGAAACTTTTCAGTATCTTTTGAAGGGCAGTACAACTGTTATACAATTTCAATTGTGACATTAACATTACAGTACATGTTGGGTGGTGCCATACTTTGATGACAAGGGTTCCAAAGAACATTTAACACTTAAAAATTATTATGTAACTGGGTTTTCAGTCATTTAGCTGTTACAATGTATTAAACTTTATTTTAAAAATGTGCAGAATTATACAGTGAAAGTTAGCATTAAAGATAACAAATGCAAACCCGATATTAAAAAAGTTCAAATAAACATCACTTTTCATTAAATAAACTTAACTCTCAGATCCCTAATTTATTCTATATGTTTTTATTATCATCATGCTTTTAGTATAATTTTTGTAATGTAACAACTTGGCGTCGCTCGGTGGAGCAAGAGTTAGGTGTCTTAGGCATGACGTGAGAGGAGCTAGAACAGACTGCCCAAGACCGATAAAAATGGACGGATTTGATTCGAGCCCTACACCCCAGCAGAGGGAAATAGAAAAGAATGATGATGATGATGTATTTGAAAATTCTAAGATAAGTTATTTTAATACCATAAACTAGTGTCCCCAGAATATTATTTCAAAGTGGACATGTGGTCAAATTAAGTTTGAAAGCCTGTTTATCATTTAAAAATATTTACTTACAAATCAGTAGCTAATGAATACTGAACAAGGAATAATCCAAATTGTAGTCCTGAATTCTTCACTCATATTATACCTACTATACTTTGATAGTGTGGGATTAAAATTCAGACAGGCCAATGTTATTTTTTATTGTTTGTGCATAATGATATATAAAGCCAATGGTTTTAAAANGTTTGAAAGCCTGTTTATCATTTAAAAATATTTACTTACAAATCAGTAGCTAATGAATACTGAACAAGGAATAATCCAAATTGTAGTCCTGAATTCTTCACTCATATTATACCTACTATACTTTGATAGTGTGGGATTAAAATTCAGACAGGCCAATGTTATTTTTTATTGTTTGTGCATAATGATATATAAAGCCAATGGTTTTAAAATTTGAAGTATTTATAATTGTATTGAATATTTATTTAGGTACAGTCCTTTCGACTCATTAATGAAATTCAATTTCAATTTTTAGGATATCTTTTTTAGAATAGGTATTTATCTTTTTGTAGATACCATAAATTCGTACTTGTCAAATTCTTACTATATAATTATCAATTTGTGGAGTTTGATGATTCAGCGATGTTATTCATCAATAGTAGATACCTTCATAGTTACCTACTAGAAATACAATGATGACGTTCAAACTCACAACTATGTACTAATTGTGAAATTTAGTTTGATATAATTTGGTAATGGAGAACATCAGTAATGAAGAGTTTTTATCGAAAGCCACTTTCTATTAGAATTTTTATTTATTTATTAAAAATAGACAAACATTATTCTAAGCGAAGCCGAGTTCTTAGCAAGGCAACTACAAAATGGCGGGCATGAATTACTTTATAGAAATTTCAATCAACCACAAAACACTTGAAGCTTTTAAAGAATAGTCAAAAAACCAAACATATCATTATTAAATAGAAGACTATTCCTAATTATTGCGTTTATATAAAAATAACGGTACTTTTATTACTCACCTCATTACTAGGCCGTTGACCTCCTTGTCCCTGTTGAGGTCTATTATGCTCAAATCTCGAATTACGAAATCCTCTGTTATTACCACGACGACCTCCTTGCCGTTGAGGTTGCGGTGGTCCACCAAATCCTCTTTGATTGCCGAAGTTATTCATGGCTTGCATTTGCATTCTACAACATCGTAAAAGTTAGTTGTCCGCGTACATTTATTAGCAGCATAATTAATTTTAAAATACACTAACTTAAGCAAACTTACCTACGTACAAGGACTTTCTTGTTTTGATATTGTTATTTTTACGTTAATATTTATTCACGTTCAACTAATCCACGCACGAGGAAAAGCTATGGCGTCGCTGGCGTTAGTTGTACGAAAGAGCGGACAACCGTGATATCTTAAAATGTCGGACCAAGTATGTATCTAAATCCGTATCCGGCTTAGGAATGTCAATCTCATATCGATTTATCAAAATCGATAAAAGCCATGGAATCGATATCAACTAGTCGATGATCAAACTTTCATCTTTACTGTTTCGGATGAAACGCAACCATAAAAATCAAACATAAAAATATAATTATTTTAGGTAATTTTTAATTAATTCCTCTTTTTAATTGTTTTTATAGGAGTTTGAATATGTAAGTAATGGTAGGCAACACTTGTCACATGTGAAGTAACAGTTTTCGAATATTGGATCGCTTAATTATATGTATAAAGCAGATGATTGTCTTCTCTTCAGTGAGGACAATGAGTTCTCATCTAGACACGGACAGTGCAACATCTTATGCCGGCCACTCACCTATTTTTGCATTTTTTGCTTAAACTGGAATGCTAGTTGCATAATTTTAAATTAGACAACAAAGATGCCCCCAAGACTCAATCATTTTGATCCTAATATAGCATTATATACATCAACAACTACCTTAAAATTGCTCATAAAGTTGGAATTTGTCCCTAATCGCCCCATTTTACGGTACTTATTACCTAATAATCTATGGTAAATATTATTCATTTGATTTGCCTACCTACTTTAACCAATATGAATGCAAAAATTCAGGAAGATGAAAATGTAGAAAACACTGTTTCGAATCTAAAGAATAAGTTTCCCATGTTGTCATTCGAAAAGCAAATCTTCATTGATGTGTTTGAAAAAGATGCTCTTGTAATAATGGCAAAGTAGGTGTTCTTATTTTTTGAATTTAATCTCCATTAAAATTCTCGAATGTACAAATATTATTATGTTTTTAATTAAACGTACTCGTGTTAACAATATTAATTTATGTAGGAATTGCAGGGTAAATACGAAGTGATTTTAAGTTGAGATGATTTTTAAAAATTAAAGTACTCAACTAATTAAAACACATTTTAACCAAAACAATAGTACGAATTTAAATGTGTTAGTACACATTTACACCAAAAAGAATCTCTTATTGGTATTAACTAACATACTGTGTCTACTTTGTTTTTCAAAATTTAAACCATAAAAAAGTTTATTGGGGTTATAAGTTCAAATGGGATATTCTTCACTTTTGAAAGAAAATTATATGAAATTTGAATTATAAAGCTTCTTAAATAAAGTGAAGGTATAAATATAAATTGTACCCCATAGATATTATCTGTCTCAAAAAAGTCACGTAATAACTACTAGCTTCTATGATCTCGGTTCTATGATCATCAACTTTTAAATAGTGTTTTATTAAAATACAAGAAATAACTTTAATAATATTTTACTGCAAGGAGTGATGATTACACATTAACTTAGTGTTAAGCGGTTACCAGAAACGATAAACATGAAGACAGTAATACCACCACTCACCATGCATCATGATCTTGGGAGTACATTGTGAAAGTAAATGATGGGATCATCACAAAGAGTCCTCAAGGTATTTTTCTTAGAACAAAAGAGCTCTTAGATCTAAAGTCTTCAGATGTTTGTGAGACCTATATTATCCAGCATTCTATCCACACTCGGCTTATACGGTTAAATAGAGGTAGTTGATACATGACAGCCACAGCTGAAAGATTAATACTAAAATATCCCCATCATGCATCCAAAAGTAGTAGTATGCTCACCTTTGAATTACAGTTCGGCACTTTATAATCATTTTGATCCATCAATTCTATGATGAATATAATTGTAACTATTTCAGAGGCCATAATTACAACAACATTGTGGCTAATTTGTTGTGGGTGCACAAGGATCCTGGTAATCTAGTTTTAGTTATAAACAGTAATGATAACGAAGAAAAATATTTTACTGAAAAACTTCAGTTGACACCAGTACCCACACTTGGCAATGAAAGGTTAGTTATAGTAATGACTATACTTTACAATGCAAGTGAACAAATTAATTTCTCACTTTGTTATCAACGTAAGTAAGCTGCCAATATAGAACACATGTATATATCTACAGATTTTATACATAAAGAAAACTTGATTCAATGACACTAACCCAATTTGAACATGAAACTCTTGACTTAAGACATGCATGACACAGGCACTGGACATCATAAAAACTAGTTCCAAAATTATATATTAAATTAACCTTCTGATAAATCAACAGCTGGTTGAATTCTGCAGTTGCAGCATTTGAAACATACATTATAATCTTCCTCATACTGTTGTGTTGATGTCATGGCCTAAGGGATAAGACATCCAGTACATTTGTTTATAGCGATGCATCGGTGGTCGAATCCCGCCAGTGGGTACCATTCTCCTATGAAATATGTACTTACCAAATGTTCACGATTGACTTCCACAGTGAAGTAATAACATGTACAATACGTAATAACATACACAATGTATTAAAAATCAAACAAAATTATAATTTGCGTAATTACTGGTGGTAGGACGTCTTGTGAGTCCGCACGGGTAGGTATCACCACCCCGCCTATTTCTGCCGTGAAGCAGTAATACGTTTAGGTTTGAAGGGCGGAGCAGCCATTGTACTGTTAATAGTGAGATCTTACAACTCATTTTTTTAGATGGGTGGCGGCATTTACGTTGTAGATGTTTATGGGCTCCAATAACCACTTAACATTAGGTGGGCCGTGAGCTCGTCCACCTATCTAAGCAATAATATTTTTTTTAAATACCGGACTAACATCTTTGTACAAAAATATCTAATTATAAAGCTGTAGTGCTACTGAAGTTTGCAAACATCGTTGCTTTAAGAGATAAAATATGTAGGTTCGTTCAAATCCTGTAGACTAATAGGAAGTTTTTTTATACAGTACATGCATTCAAGACAACTTCCATGATGAAGGAATAATGTAGTAATAGTATAATTGAGGCCTATAAAATCAAAGGCAGCTAAATCCAAGTCTGTTAAATATTTAGGTAAACTACAAAAATCGGCTCTAAGCACGTCATTACGAATCCTCCCGATCCATAGAAGTACTGCTCTAGCTAGGTCCAGTGTTAGCAACACTCCCGGTTTGAGAAGCTGAAATAACTTTGTTCAGATAGCTACGATATTCTTTATTTTAAAGCGGATTTATAAAGAATGAGAATATTACTAATAATCTGAATTTTAAATGATAAAACTTCGTTTATTAGTACTTAGTACAGACTAAAATTTTTGAACTGAATTTGTTAGAGATTTAGCTGCATTTGTTATGCGATGAAAACACTAAAGCGTGTCCAACTAATCAAACAAGATAGCGCCATTGTTAATCAATTTTACGACATTAAGGCGTTTAGCTGTCTTTGATTTTATAGGCCTCAATTAAAGTGAAATGGGCAAATATTCTAAATGTGTGTAATTACTGTTTTGTATGGTCTGGCTTTGTATTGTTCCAGTTTAAAGGGTAGGGCAGCCCTTAAACCATACAATTCAGACTTCGATCTCATGTTTCAGGGTATTTCACAGCATTCACCTTGAATAGTATGCCCATAATAGTGCGACAAGGAAAACTAGAAAATTCTACGAAATGTCAAAATACTTACCGGCCGATTTGCAGTGTTCTTTATGTTGAAAACGAAGTCTATTGTACTCTGTATTCGAGGAGGGGAAGCTTAAGAATTGTGAATAATTCCTCAAATACCTTCTGAAAAAATGAACTGTTGAAACCGGGTAATGGGAAGATCCGTCGGCGTGACGATCAGAAAAGGGCAAAGTTCCGATTTCGTATGTCATAGACTTGTTGAAATTTAAAACGAACGTTATAGCATGTTGACGTGTTCTTAGTTCTATATTGAAATTAGCTTCACTAGCCATTCTAGAGGACACCAACATCATGAATAAAAGAAAAGAAAACTGATCGCCATAGCCGAAATCGACTGAATGATTCTCAATCATTGACTCTCTTTGATGACAATCAGAATCATGAATCTCACCTCAATCATCAATGATTCTCATTGTCATCATAAACATTAAAATAAGCTAAAAGCTCGTTAAGAGCTTTTTTAAAAGGCACTTTGTACTTGATTTAAATCAAATTTCAGAGAGCGGTCGTATTTAGAGGGTGGAATTCATTTTGTATCAACTCGTATTTTGGTTGTGGATTTATTAAAAAACAGAGTGCCGATATCCCATATCACAGGCATTGTTGTTCTAAGAGCACACACAGTCTTAGAATCATGTCAGGAAGCATTTGCATTGAGATTGTACAGGCAGAAAAATAAGGTATTTAGGTCAGCATTTATTGTTCTAAACCTAGCCGTAGCTTATTCTTATTTAGGTATCGTCAGCCCATATGGATATAAGATATAAATATCTTGCCTGTTTCTGTCGCGAAGCAGCTTAGTTCAACGTTGGGTTAGTCTGGTTATTACACTGGTGGTAGGGAGTCTTGTGAGCCTACATAGGTAGGTATCACCACCATGCTTATTTCTGTCGTGAACCAATAATGCGTTTTGGTTTGAAGGGTGGGGTAGCCGTTGTACTGTACAACTGAGACTTAGAACTCATGTCTCAATGTACCCACCTAGAGACATTAGATCGGCATTTACGAATTTACGTTGTTTATGGCTATCAGCTCCAGTGATCACTTAAGTCCACCCCAGGTGGGCCATGAATTCGTCCACCCATCTTAGCAATTTTTTTTTAATTGATATGTCATATTTCAAATTTTTGCATACAAACTATATGTCTAAATAGCAGAGATGTACATATCTATTATTGTTGTAAACGTAATATCAATAAGGTACCATATTGTACAAGCTTTAATGGTTTTGTAATGACAGCAATTGAAAAAAGCGATGTAAAAATTTGATAATAAAAGAATGTATATTTTTGGGCTGGGAGACGAACCTATTACGGTGCCCCCGCGCCTAGGGGGCTCTCGGGGTATGTGGTCCGGACTGGGCCTATCCCTTGGGCCTGCGGTCCGCAAATGTTGAGAGCGGACCGCAGGCCCAAGGGATGGAATTTAGGGCCCTACGATTCCCCAGCAATCTCGCTCAAGCATCCAATCCCACCCGAAGTCTGAAACCAAGCGGGGTAAGGAGATAATTGCGGTCAACACTGCAACCAGACACGCGGCTCAACCCAAATAGAATATGTACCTAACAATATCGATTTTAACGAAAATGCCATCTTTTAAAAATGCTTACATAACGATTTTTTTTCAGACTGGATTTATTAAAGCATTTTCTAATTCACCTATCTCGTTCACGTTTGGATACCATCAAGTTGAGAAAGTTATGAGGGCACTTTTTGTGACAGAACTATTCCTGTGGCCAAGGTTTGCAAAAAATGTGTTGTCTTTCTTTCAATTACTTATACCAGCATTGGTGTTGCCAACTTCAACAACAATTAAATTATTTCAGGTTTCATGGTAACATTATTAGAAATTTAAAGAGTAGACAAGCTCAAGCTGAAGAACTTCACATTCCATTAACTACTAACATGAGCTACATTCAGACATGTCTTCTTGACATTATGAACTACACTGTCAAACAATTGAAGAGCATTAACAGGTCTTTAGATATGAAAGTTAGTTGATTTTTTTTACCATAAGTACATATGAATTGCTTATTGAACACACGAGAACACGATTGGAAAATGATCTTCATAAGAAAAATCTGATTAACTGAAAGAGCTTAATGTGAAAGTTTTAAAATACGCCGGAAATTCTTGAAAAATGTAGTAATATAAAATACTTAGCAATTAAAAGGAAAAAAAAATAATTCGAAACAAAGAGATTATATTTAAAATCTTGGAAAAAAAATGCTTGAAAAATAAATCATAAATTAATATTTAACTACAGGAAATCACAACCGAGAATTGTATAACAAAGAAATTTCATAAGATCCTGCAATCACAGCTGGATTGTGTGTGGCATCAACTTAGTACAAGAACAAAGGAATACATACAAGACCTAAAAATTCTCAGGAGCATGATTATGTAAGTAAGCGTTAACACTAAATATGTTCCATGTTTCTATAGTGACAAAACTTATAATTAAAAAAATTTTAATACTACAAACGTTGTAAATAAAAAATTTAAATCTACCTGTGTTAATGTGTGTTAGCCCTGGCTGCAAACTAAGGGAAGCTGTTCCAACTGCATACAAATTCGAGTTAGTTTTTACGCGGTCGAAAAGTTAAAAAATTCGCACTAAGCATACTGATCTCTCATAACAGTACTAATTCACACTCATACTTATCAGTGTTTTCAAAATAGCAATATCTATCACATTTCACCGTGTTTACGAGACAGCCCTACAAATCCCGCAGCGACTCGTCCGTTTTAAAACTCTACGCATGTAACTTATGGTTGTCAGCTGCAATGAAAATTTTGAGTTCTACGAAAATAATGAATTACACACGTTTTAAAGTTTCGTATGTCTCTTGTATTTCTCACTTTCTTTTACCTTTCGTGAATTATTAAGTCTGATGCTTTTCAAATATAGAGCCGGAGCAGAATGTTTCGGATATGGAAGACTGTTCAATTTCTGAACGTTAAAGTCCGTCGGTCTACCGAGCAATATCCCCTGCTCGGTGAAGTCGTCGTGGCCTAAAGGATAAGACGTCCGGTGCATTCGTGTCGAGCGATGCACCGATGTTCGAATCCCGCAGGCGGGTACCAATTTTTCTAATGAAATACGTACTTAAGAAATGTTCACGATTGACTTCCACGGTGAAGGAATAACATCGTGCAATAAAAATCAAACCCGCAAAATTATAATTTGCGTAATTACTGGTGGTAGGATCTCTTGTGAGTCCGCACGGGTAGGTACCACCGCCCCGCCTATTTCTGCCGTGAAGCAGTAATGCGTTTCGGTTTGAAGGGTGGGGCAGCCGTTGTGACTATACTGAGACCTTAGAACTATATCTCAAAGTGTGTGGCGCATTTACGTTGTATATGTCTATGGGCTCCAGTAACCACTTAACATCAGGTGGGCTGTGAGCTCGTCCACACATCTAAGCAATAAAAAAAAAAAAAAATAAAAAAAAAGTGTCAGCGAACGAGGTCCGCCATGACACCAACCGTTTTTTTGAAATCCAACCGCCAATGGAACGCATCAATTTTATATTATGTCTCTTATATTATTATATTATCTTATATTATTTATCCTTATATAAGGATAAATTAAAGACAAAATAAGTTAGCGTGGTATGGACACGTGATGCCTAGAGAGAAGATGCATGTGACTAGGAGATGTATGGAAATGGTAGTGAAAAGGAAGAGGGGGATTAGATCGACCGAAGCAGACATGGATGGAGTGTGTGAATAACGATATGAGAGGGAGAGGAGTGAGTGTTGAGATGACGGCTGATAGAAGAGAAAAATTAGCTGTGCCCACCTAGTGGGGTAAGGTGGATAAAAGGAAGAAGAAGAAAGTAAAAACTTAATTTAAGAGAAATATAAAATTGATGCGTTGCTCTTGGCGACTGGGTTTGAAAAAGAGGGTTGGTGTTATGGCGGACTTCGCTCGCTGACATTTTGACGTTCAGAAATTGAACAACGACTGACCACAAAGCTAATTAATAATTTCATATTTAAAAAAGCGTGAGATAAAACACGCTATCCGCGATTTATACAAATATCTTTTGTTATCGACCTCGCATGTTCTGACGATAGAGAAATCTTTGTTCTCGGTCTTTGTTATTTTCGATTCATTCGTGTTACGATTAATTTCTCTCTTGCTAAACATTAACTGTGGATGGCTAATCCTTTTATGTGACGTAAATCGTATATAAATAACTCTGTATTTATGCGATAAATACGAGAAAACGTAGGGTAGCAGGAACTTCATAACTGCTATATTGCTCTGAATCTCCACCAAAAAAAAAACGTGTGGCACTCGGGAACTGCCGCGGTAAAGCTATTGCATAGCATTTTTTATCAACTTATGCAATTACAATTAGACAATGATAATTTAATATTAAAACAATAATAAAACAAGACCACGCTATATTAAACATTAATAAAAGCAAAGCCTTAACTGTCCCCTTCACACTCATAAGCTAGACCGCGCGAGAGAGAGATGGGCAGACTTTTCATGATGCGCATGCAGTGTGACGTCACGCCACGCGCTTATTCACAAACACTACACAAGCGCAACGTGTGAATGTGTTGAACGCTACATAGTAGGCGGAGTGAGGGGTGTAAGGTTTTTTTCGTTACGGAATTTCATGATTACAGTAAGCCGCGCTCAAGGCCCGCGATAAAAGCTATGCAATAGCTTAAAAACATATCATATTTTGATAATGTTGGAAAAAATCTTGAGTAATATCAACTAATTGTGAATGTTTTAATCACAGTAACCTAATACACGATGACGCGGTGTCGTTTTACGCGTTAGTCAGCAAGTACCGAACTCCTGAATACGCACAAATAAATTCTGGTTGGATCCTGCTCGAGTCTGCGGAGCAGCTGTTTAAATACGCCAAAGCACGTGTATTTAATAAAAAGAATGGTAGGCTTATGTTACTATCGAAATTAAAAAAATCACATTTCTCAACCATTATAAAGAACTAGCTGTACTCGTCCGCTTCACTGTAAATTTAAAATTAACATCATTATTTCTCACTCCCACAAAGATTCTCATCATTAACGCCCCCGCAACTGGTGTAGGGAGTCCAACACTCATATAAATATTAACCTATCCATTAAGTACATGTATTTTCTACATGGATACCAAGTTTCAAGTCAATCGGATGCATGGTTCAGTAGTTATAACGGAACATTCGTAAAAACCGCTGTAGATTTATATATTAGTATAGATTAAAGTAAACACGTCACTCAATAAATTGCAGAATTCGATCCGGAGCCTTCACCGAAATGGAAGTACTTAAGCGATTTGTTATCTCAAGAAATACCAGACGAAGTAAACAAAAAGAAAGACAGTAACTTGAGCAACACTAAAATATTAATTCTCTGTCAAGACAATCGGACCTGTAGCCAGCTGAACCACTTCCTCACCATGGGGGCAAATAGATACCTGCTGTACACAGCTTTCAAACGTGAGATCCCCATAAATGCAGTAGCGACAAAATATGAAGACATAAAAAACACAGTTCCCATAGAAACTAAAGATAAGACAGACAAAAAGTCGGATACAAAAGAAGGCAAATCTACCGATGAAGGCACACGTTTGAATGACTCGAAAGATGAAGAATTGAACACAGAAGAATCGAGAACTAATTATCTGTTGACGCTAACACAAACTTTAGCGCACTGCAGCAAAGATAATGCAACAGTTAATGAAAGTTTATTCGAACCCATTTCCCAGGTAAATATCTTGTTATTTATATGAAAATGTGTGTTTGTTTGTTTGTTCGTAAATTGCGCGTTCGCCTTGAAACTTGGTACAATTACTGTCGGCAATACATTGAAGGTTGTTGTGATAATACTATCAAAGTTAGGCAGGCGGCGCGCGAGTTCATTAACGAATTGGTGTACTTTGTTTATTTAGCGATAGACAGCCCACTGAGTTTCTCGCCGGATCTTCTCAGTGGGTCGCGTTTCCGATCCGGTGGTAGATTCTGCGAAGCACTGCTCTTGATAGGGCCAGTGTTAGCTACACTCCTGGTTAGGGCCCCATGAGCTCACCTACACGTCAAGAAGCTGAAATAGCATCTCAAGGCTATCAGCATAAGTAAGAAAAAAAAAACAAATAGTCACACAAATATTAAAAGGAGAAAAAAGAAATCAATATCGCTTTTTCTCAAAGCTTATGTACACATCGAGGGGTGAGAGTCTAATTCGTATAAGCAACAATTACGCAATTTTGCAAGAAAGCAATTTAAAAAACTTCTTAATCTATTTGAATGCATTAAACTTAATTGAAGTTCAATTAAAAATGTCGAACTGTTGCCGCGAATACCAAATAAAACGGATTTTTAATTACAAAGATAAACGTCTCGTATTTAGCGAAATGTCGCTTAACCCTTATTCAGTCACCGTCCTCGCCGAACCCGTCGCTTGCGACGAAGGGCTCGACGAGTGAATTAACCCACAGACACTGAGTTTCGATGAGTAGGAAAAAAAAAATTACCCTTATAGTCTTTCACCCCGCGTTAAGGTAATTAATTCAACGATTCAGACGAGCGACAGTGAAACAATCAGTACCTTTATGATGTCATAATGTTTTACGTGATATATTTACGGTGGCCATTGATTATTCCAGCTGGATAATTTAGATTTTACGAAAATCGAAGTAGAAACGCCCGTAATCTGCATCCAAACGTTCAAAGAAAACGGTAACAATCTCTCCTTGGAATACACTCTGGAAGCTTTGAGACCGGAATATGTTATACTGTATCACAGCGACGTGGCAGCTGTGCGCCAGCTGGAAATGTACGAGTGCAGAAAGAAACCGGAGGAGCCGATCTGCAAAGTGTACTTCCTGATACACGATCAAACAGTTGAGGAGCAAGCCTATCTGGCGGCATTGAAGAGAGAAAAACAAGCATTTGAATTGTTGATTCAGGCCAAAAGTGTATGAATCTCATTAAATAATCAATTTAATAATTAATATGAGAATCATTAATCATCCTCCATCGCGGAGTACTCCTCGACTCCGGCTCATGATCTTGGACGCCCTAAACACGTTCTTACCGATCCAGCTGATCCCCTAACCTAGTAGGCGTCTGCAGCCCTAGCTCTAGGAGCAGGTGTAGGGACCCTGGCAACCGTAGTTGTCGAACTTGTCGTAGAGTCGATGTGAAACTTAATATATTACAGCAGCCTTAACAAATTTTAATGTAGTTTTGATTCTTCATTCGATATAATTTTAATAAGGAAAAAAAGTAAAAAATGCTTTGCATTTACTACAGGTCATGGTAGTTCCTTCATATCAAGACGGAAAAACAGATGAATACTTCCAATTAACAAACGAGGAAGAAGTGCAACCCACCGATTCAAGGAAAGCAGGTAGATTAATGAAAACGATAGGTATGTAGAATAGTGGCGAATTGAATTAACATATATTATTTTACCTTTTGTATTTTAGGTCAAAATCAAAGTAAAGAGAAACCGCTAGTGATAGTGGACATGAGAGAGTTTCGATCAGACTTACCCTCGCTGTTGCACAAGAGAGGCATTAATATCGAACCAGTTACGATAGCGGTGAGTACGTTTCTGTAATTACTGCTAATGATTTTCAATATATTTCTTGAACTAGCTATGCACAAAAACGGTAGTCAGTCTATGGATTCCCATAACCCCGTAACATAAGAATTTTATTAGTCGATGACGCACTAAGTAGAACTCACATGATGGTCATCGTTGGCAATATACTTATTATATACGAATAGGTCGCTACCGTAAGGTCATACAGATGACCTTACGGTAGCGACCTATTTTTTTTTATGTCTCAAATGGACAGCCATTTGAGACATAAAAATTTGAACACGAAAAAAAAAATCTATACTAATATATAAATCTACAGTGGTTTTTAGAATCTTTGTGGGGGTGAGAAAAAATAATGTTAATTTTAAACGCCCAGTGAGCGGACGGGTACAACTAGTCTGTTATTTTTTTTTTTTTTTATTGCTTAGCTGTGTGGACGAGCTCACAGCCCACCTGATGTTAAGTGGTTACTGGAGCCCATAGACATCTACAACGTAAATGCGCCACACACCTTGAGATATAGTTCTAAGGTCTCAGTATAGTCACAACGGCTGCCCCACCCTTCAAACCGAAACGCATCACTGCTTCACGGCAGAAATAGGCGGGGCGGTGGTACCTATCCGTGCGGACTCACAAGAGGTCCTACCACCAGTAATTACGCAAATTATAATTTTGCGGGTTTCATTTTTATTACACGATGTTATTCCTTCACCGTGGAAGTCAATCGTGAACATTTGTTGAGTACGTATTTCATTAGAAAAATTGGTACCCGCCTGCGGGATTCGAACACCGGTGCATCGCTTCAACACGAATGCACCGNCAAGAGGTCCTACCACCAGTAATTACGCAAATTATAATTTTGCGGGTTTCATTTTTATTACACGATGTTATTCCTTCACCGTGGAAGTCAATCGTGAACATTTGTTGAGTACGTATTTCATTAGAAAAATTGGTACCCGCCTGCGGGATTCGAACACCGGTGCATCGCTTCAACACGAATGCACCGGACATCTTATCCGTTAGGCCACAACGACTTCACTATATTTGATCTTATATATTTTTAGATTGGTGATTACATACTGACTCCTGATATTTGCGTAGAAAGGAAATCTATATCCGATTTGATTGGATCATTGAACTCTGGTCGCTTGTACACACAATGCACACAAATGTGCCGCAACTACAGTCGACCTATCCTGCTTATTGAATTTGATCAAAATAAACCTTTTAATCTTCAGGTATGTTTACCTTATTTTTCTATCAGTTCCAAAACACCTCAAAATGGTTGTAAAAATGCACTTTAATTCTTCAGGGTCATTTCGTGGTATCAACAGATATATCTGGAGCGGATATACAACAAAAACTACAACTTCTGACAATACATTTCCCTAGGCTGAAATTGGTATGGTCGCCAAGTCCATATGCTACTGCTGAACTTTTCTATGAATTAAAGGTTTGTCAAATTACGCCTAATTGTTTATTTAAATAAATATTCTTTATTCATTTGGATCCGCGATATTTTATTATTTGAAATAACTAAATTATTACATTACTTAGCAGAAAGAGAATATTATGTCTTTACAAGCACACGAATGTATCTTTTTTTTTTCAGCAAGGCAGAAATAATCCCAATATTGCAGAAGCTATCGCTCTCAGTGGTGAAAATACAGCAGATGATATGAACTATGAGAGATACAATATATTGGTTCATGATTTCGTACAAAAACTACCTGGTGTTACATCAAAAAACATTAACAGAATTATGAACAAAGGTATCTCACTGGACCACTTGATAACTCTTACCAAAGTGAGTTATTTGTAGTTGTTTTATTTATTATTAGATTGATGACCAAGAATAATCTATTTTATCTGGAATTAGTCAAATTGACTCATAACATTAAATTTATATAAACTTTTACTGTTGATACACAGACAGTACAGATATATTTAAATTTTCCAAAAATTGTATATAATATGTAAACTTATCTTGAGAAAGTTAGTGAGATTCGAGGTATCTATCAAATATCTTGTTCTGTGATGACTACCGCCACACATAAATATTTTCAATTTTTTACATATTTATATCTATAAATTTCCATACATATAGTATATTTATTTATATTTAAAAAGTGTGGAGAGGAAGGTATAATTTTATTTCAAAATAATTAATAAATGTCTATGAAACAATTGCGTGGCTTCGAGCATTATGTTGCGATACGCAATCGCACCGCGATATCGCACCGCCCGCCACCGGAGTAGAGTTCATCCATACTACCTGGAGCCACTGCGGTCATCCACAGTGCGTTTCCAGAGATCTTTTTTGCCACGTACCATCCGGCTATGGAATGAGCTCCCCTCCACGGTGTTTCCCGAGCGCTATGACATGTCCCTCTTCAAACGAGGCTTGTGGAGAGTATTAAGCGGTAGGCAGCGGCTTGGCTCTGCCCCTGGCATTGCTGAAGTCCATGGGCGACGGTAACCACTCACCATCAGGTGGGCCGTATGCTCGTCTGCNAAAGGGCAAAAAAAAAAAAAAAAAAACGCAAATGGACTGTTTTGGGACTCTTCGAAAATTCATACAACTTGTCCTAAACGGTTTCCAGTGTTCGCGTATAAACGCATGTTTTCATCTCGTTCAAAATTTAAATACCATTCCGTTATTTGTATTGCTTTTACGAGTAGCGCGTTTTCGACAAAGCTACGACTCATGATCATGGCGCAATCACACTAGGCGTCACAGAGTTACGAAGGGACAAAATCGCCAAGCCCCCGATCATGCGTTTAATAATACTATATCAAATAAAATTTAATTCAGGCTCAGTAAACAGCCATGTTATTAATCTGATGTAGGTACACAATACTACTGTAAATTATTGATTCCTTTCTTATATAAGCAATATACGTATGCGCTATCTCAAATATGGAATGCTCTGCATATAACAATAAAATCGACTCGCTTTGTAAACTAGTGTAAAATACGACTATGTTTTTGAAAGTTTACGATGTGCCTTGTGCGGTTCGCACCATGTCAAATCTTTAATCTTTAACCAGTACAAAATATATATTTGATGTCTATTTATATCTTACCATCACAACTTACTAAGTTTTACACATTTAGTCCCAAAACATTATATGAACCACATCTGTCTCACAGGAGGAATTATCTGAAGTCGTAGAAAACAAAAATGAAGCCGAAACATTGTATTCAATACTTCACGTCAAAGCTCGTCCCATGGATGCCAAAGAAGAGAAATTCGGAAAGAAAAAGTTCACTGGAAAACTATATCGTAGTAAAAAATAATGTACATATTAGATGTTATTACATAGTAATTTATTAAAACTTAATTATGAATCATTAATAAATTAATGTTACCAATTTACAAAATAATAAATCATATTTTTTAAATAAAGACTAATAATTTTTTCATGATGTAAGAATATCGTCATGTAGAATATTATTTTATGATGTGACAAATATTTATCGCCAAGGACCTAAAACAAAATTAAGCAAAACCTCATTATGGTACTCAACATTACAAGTGATTATCCAAAAAAAATTAATTGAAAATAAAAGTGGAGTTCACAAATTAGTTAACATATAATTAGGAACAATCACTTACGATATTGGTGCTCCTTGTCAGTTAATGGAACATAAATCACACTCATTAATTTCTTTACAGTTGTTGTTCCATCCTGTGCTTTATCAACCTGCAGAATAAATGACACGCACTTAAACACTGGTGGTAGGACCTCTCGTGAGTCTGCATGGGTAGGTACCACCAGTCTGCCTATTTTTGCTGTGATACAGTAATGCGTTTCGGTTTAAAGGGTGGGGCAGCCGTTGTAACTATACTGAGATCTTAGAACTCAATCTCAAGGTGGGTAGCGGCATTTACGTTATGGATGTCTATGCGCTCCGGTAACCACTTAACATCAGGTGGGCTGTGAGCTCGTCCACTCATCATAGCAATAAAAAAAAATTACAATAATTTATTCTTTGTGTTCAATAGAATAAAATAGATTTTTTTAATGCAGTAGATAGGTTAACATGCCTCAGTTTTAAATGGTTATCAGGTTCCATACACATCACCTAATAGAAATCCACAGGAACAGACTAGGTGACACTGTTCAAGGCCAACACCACACAGCCTTGATATCATTGTAACTAATATAATTATACCAAAATGAAATCTTACCTGAGTCAAATGTTGTTCACCACCCTCAGGCCCCACAGGAACTATTAGCCTCCCTCCCGGTTTCAATTGATCAATTAGCTAAAAACATTATTTGTGAAATTTAAATTAATCTAATAATAAACTTGTACTGTTATTACTGGTACAGTTTCACTGGTGGTAGGACCTCTTGTCAGTCCACACGGGTAGGTACCACCAGCCTGTCTATTTCTGCCGTGAAGCAGCAATGCGTTTCGGTTTGAAGGGTGGTGCAGCCATTGTAACTATACTTGAGACCTTCGAACTTATATCTCAAGGTGAATGGCGCATTTACGTTGTAGGTGTCTATGGGCTCCAGTAACCACTTAACACCATGTGGGCTCTGAGCTTGTCCATCCATCTAAGCAATAAAAAATAAAAAAAACTACTACGTAATTAATACTATTAAAGTGTGAAATGAAATGCTTCTAGATAAACTTACAGCTTGTGGTAATGTGGGTGCTGCAGCCCCGACATGAATTGCACTGTAAGGGGCTTCAGATGGATAACCGAGACGACCATCACCGACTGAATTAAAAAAATATTTTCAAAATCAAATTGTTTTTTTATCAGATTTTCAACAATAGTAAATATCTTCCTTGTGCTTACCTACAAGTTTAATCCTCTCAGATGAGAGTAAGCTTGGGTTGTCATTTTGGATGTTTTTGGTTGCCAAATTCACAAGTTCTGATATATGTTCTATCCCAACTACCCGGCCAGTTTCTCCTAACATCATGGCCATACAGGCAGTGAGGTAACCAGACCCCGAACCAACATCTAAAGCTTTTTCTCCTGGTACTAGCTGGTTTTTTAACTTTTCTAATGCATGAGCATGCTAAAACAACAATACTCGTGAATTTTAGTTAATTAACACTATGAAGCATACTTTTATAATACTCCATTTAAGAGACTGTATGTGCACTTGTGTCTATGCCTATGGAGTACATCATAGGACTTTCATAGTCATGTTGGTAATAAAGTATAGTATTTGAGCATAAATGTATTACAATTGTAGCTTATCCATTTACAGGGAAGACCAAATATTGGGTCTTCAACCAAATTAAGCAGCACAGTAAACCTCCTTATAAAATACGGCATCTAGGAGTATTCTTGTGTAATGGACTGTTATGACCCCATAAAATACTTTATGCATAAATGATGTGTTCAACTTGTTATTTTTATATATTTTAGTACATACATATTATTATACTAAGAACATATTTAATAAAGTATATAAATAGTATGTGGGTAATCCATGTGTATTGGTTTCATCAACGTACCATGTGGGGAGCGCTGATTGTTGCAGAGAATCCAATAGATTGAGGAGAGTCCTGGTATGGAGAAGAAGGACAGTAATTTTTCCGATCAACAGCTAGCATTGCATTTGCGACGGTGTCCGATTTTATTATGCCGTTAGCTGTATGAAAATTGAGCATTTAATTTAGTAAGATAAATTTTATTGAAGTCCTAAAGAACAAAAATAAAGGAAATACGCATACTTCTTAAATTACGTATTAGGTCCACATTATTTGCTCCGTGGCTTCTCCATGCCATTATTATTGGAATTATTACAATAACTGCTAAAGAAATGTTTTTAATCCATGTATATTTATTTTTCATTAATGTTCAAATTATTCCTTCTTTGTTGGTGGTAGTAAATATTCCATAGATTATACCAAATATATTAAGTGTATAATCTATGGATTATACACTTAATTATTAGGACTTTTTGGCGGGAAAGAGAGGACTGAAGTTGTGTGATTTGTTTTATTTTGTCTATTTAGTGTTTCTTCGGGTTTAAATGTGTAATAATGGTGGTTTATTAACTGTTTAATATCTGTGAAAGTGCACAAATGTGGGAAAATGAAACAAAGCCGCTGGACGTAACTTCTCGGGTTCCTCCAAAAAGTCCACTGAAAAAATCTTAGTAAATGACCACCATTTTACTGAGATTATATTTCATCCCATCCCATATCAACTCATCTCATGCCATTTAATTTCATCCCAGTTGATTAATGTCTCAAATTAATCATCTTCATTTCATTTCATTTTACTCCTTATTATCATTTTTCATAAAAATATGAATATACATTAAAATAAGACATGACTTAAAGGTCTCAGTTACCAGGTCATAAAATCCCTTAAAAAAAAAAATTATTCGGATTTCTGTGTAATATCTGTAAAATATGTATTATAGTGTAAAATCTATGGTGTATTAGCTATGGTGGTAGTTTAGGGACTTTTTGGCGGGAACGCGAGGAGTGAAGTTGTGTGATTTGTTTTATTTTGTCTATTTAGTGTTTCTTCGGGTTTAAATGTGTAATAATGGTGGTTTATTAACTGTTTAATATCTGTGAAAGTGCATAAATGTGGGAAAATGAAACAAAGCCGCTGGACGTAACTTCTCGGAATCCTCCAAAAAGTCCACTGAAAAAATCTTAGTAAATGACCACCATTTTACTGAGATTATATTTCATCCCATTTCATTTCATTTAATTTCATCCCAGTTGATTAATGTCTCAAATTAATCATCTTCATTTCATTTCACTCCTTAATTTCGTTTTTCATAAAAATATGAATAATATAAATTAAAATAAGACATGACTTAAAGGTCTCAGTTACCAGGTCATAAAATCTCTTAGAAAAAAGTGGTAGTTTAGTAGTTAGACTTTTTGGCGGGAACGCGAGGAGTGAAGTTGTATGATTTGTTTTATTTTGTCTATTTAGTGTTTCTTCGGGTTAAATGTGTAATAATGGTGGTTTATTAACTTTTAATATCTGTGAAAGTGCACAAATGTGGGAAAATGACACAAAGCCGCTGGACGTAACTTCTCGGGATCCTTCAAAAAGTCCACCATGATATGGGATGAAATATAATCTCAGTAAAATGGTGGTTATTTACTGAGAGTATTTCAGTGGACTTTTTGGAAAATCCCGGGAAGCTACGTCCAGCGGCTTTGTTTCAATTTCCCACATTTGTGAATTTTCACAGATACTAAACAGTTAACAAACCACCGTTAATACACATTTAAACCTGAAGAAACACTAAATAGACAAAATAAAATATTTCATTTCACGTTGGTATGGTATGACACCTTTGCCTTTCCAGTTAGAAAATTAAAACTACTAGTACTACTACTGTCAAAGTCAAAGTACACTACAAAAAAATTCAACTACCACACCGATACATATTTAAATGAATTTAATGTGATAAATTGTTTTAGAACAAAAGTGTTTGTGCAACGTTATAAACTTCAAAATTTTCACGATATTTTATAGAAAAAAAAAGTACGTTATTTTCCAGATAAATAACTCTAATAAACCATTTTCTTCTTATTTGTTTCTTTGTTCGCACAGGTAGGTACCACCACCCTGCCTATTTCTGCCGTCAAGCAGTAATGCGTTTCGGTTTGAAGAGCGGGGCAGCCGTTGTATTGTTAAAAGTGTGAGACCTTAGAACTCGTCTCAAGGTGGCGGCATTTACGTTGTAGTTAAATATGGGCTCCGGTAACCACTTAACACGAGGTAGGCCGTACCAGCTCGACCTCCAAACAAAGCAATAAAAAATAAAAATAGTACATACTTAATGTTAAATTAAGTGGAACACATATTTTTTTGTTTAATGTATCATTATTCGATGACAAAGATATACAATTATTTTGTCACTTGCCCCTGAAAAATTGAAGTGGAAATTAGACAGTGGCAAAATAAATTATGAAGCAGTGGAAAAATAGAAGTCTCTGCTAAGTTTTTAATTTATTGAAAATAGTACTTTACACAGGGTGGCCAATTGCTTCAAGATTAACATTTTGGCCTAAAATGGTTTGTGACGGTCCTGATCCTCCAGAAAACAACCCTCATGAACTTAGTCCACCTCCTAGACATGATCTTTTAATGAATGGTCCTCAAGTAGAAGACAGTGATGACGAAAATGAATATGTTGGATACGAACCATTACCTCAGGGACCTGAGATTTCATATTCTGACCAAGATTTGGAAGAAGATGATCAGGTAGCTATTGCAAATTCACTTACACACATCTTGGCTAAACTTTCCTTTATGGTCCATGGATTTGTAAGTTCATAATTTTTTTGGTAAATAGTACTCATAAATAGAAAGCTTTTCCCAAAATTTCATGTTGCGCAAACTCACAGCTTACGACATGTAATTTTTTAAAGTTTCAATTGGATCAAAATTGGAAAAATCACCAAGGTACGTAAAAGTTGACGTTTCACATTAAATTTACAGTAGAGGTGTATTTTATTCAATTTTAAGTCACATGTTTACCTAAATATGTTTTATTATTTTAACATATTCAGATATTAAATTTGGTGTAATTAATATGCACGTTAATTGTTGCTGTATTAAATATTTACTTTTTTACAGCAAAAATAACGAAAATTGTTTACACTATAGAACGGAACGTGTAATGACGCTTTTTTTATAGCATCTTTTTATCTGCCAGCCTTCTGTCATTCAATGTTTGTTGCCCTGGCAGTTAAGATCGTTTCACGTACTCCTGTAAGCCTCATCACATTTTTATTACCATGGCGTCTCCGAATGCCTATGTGTCGGAAAAGTCGATTGATGTGCAAGTGTTGTACTCGGATGAGCCATTTGTCACGGCCTTACCGGTTGCCGGTCAGAGTGGAGTAGGAGCTAGCTCTAGTGTTAGCTTACCAGCTATCGCTAGTTCTTCGGAGGACGAGGATGAGGACATTTGTTCTTGGAATTCGCAGACCTACTGGGTCATTTGGCCCACAAATTCGTTGTTACTCAGAAAAGTTATCGTAAGTTATAATTTATTGTATATGTATATGTCAATTTTTTTTATTAAGGATTGGAAATGACGAATATTGAGGTTAGAAAATGTTATTTTGTGCAGCAATCACAATTTTTTTTATTTTTTTATTTCTTTCAGATCTATGTGGAACTGGAGAAAGATCTACAGCAAATTGAGAACGCATGACCAATGCAATCAGTTTGCAGAGAGAGAGAGAGGACACATACCAAAACAAAAAATGTGCCCCTATCACCATTTGCCAATGACATTGACGAAAGAATCTGGGCAACTTGGCAAATTTAGATGCCATAAAAGTAAGTGCCACACGAGACAAGTCGCTCGTGCTATTGGGACATGGTTTGAAAACTCACGGCTAGCACTCACGTTAATCATGTATGCTTTTAATGAGGGACTGACTTATCATCAAAGAGGGAAGAATTAGCATATGAATATGGTCCGGCAGTTTCAACAAGAACAGTAGCAGATTGATTCAGGTATTGCCGGGAGACAATGGCCTTATATGAGCTGGAAAGTCAAAAGGCCCAAGGGAAGATAGGGGGCCCTAAGAAAGTGGTGCGAATTGATGAATCCAAGTTTGGAAAACGAAAATATAATTGTGGTAGGCATATAGAAGGACATTGTGTAATTGGAATTATAGAAGACGGCAGTGACTACCACCGGCTGGAGGCGTGTCTTGATAATGAAAGGTATGGCAGACGTATCAATGCCATTGATAAAAAAAAATTTGAGGAAGGCTCCATTATTGACACTGATTATTGGAGAGCGTATCTGAGCCTTTCTCAGCACGGGTATATGTATACATAAAAGGATAAATCATAGTGATCGAACAAATAAATTTGTAGCACCAGACAGGACACACACTCAGCATATAGAGAGCCAGTGGAAAAGTCTAAAGAATCACTTTCAACAACAACATAAACATGATTTCGCAGACTAGTGTGAGTACTCATGGAGGCGTAGGATAATGGTGAACCACTTGGATGCCTATGAAGAATTATTAAATGCAATAAAATATATTTATAGATTAGATTATTTAAAACATTAATACATACATAATACATTAATTGCGCGTGTTTTATTCTCATTATATGAATATCCGAAATATTTTCAAAACTGAATTAGAGCACCTCAAATTGGGGGGANTTAATACATACATAATACATTAATTGCGCGTGTTTTATTCTCATTATATGAATATCCGAAATATTTTCAAAACTGAATTAGAGCACCTCAAATTGGGGGGAGAGGGAAGCTCTCTTCGACTTCTTCTGACTTCAGACTCTCTTCGACTCTTCTTGACTAAATAATGCTATTTTACTCTAAAAAATTAACCGTGGATATTTTCATAACTCTGGGGTTCCGCGGTATGGGGATCGTGCAGAGGGTAAGCCCTTACCCCCCCCCCCCCTCCCCAACCCAAAAATCGATGAACCATAAAAGAAAATAACTCACATCTTACTTTTCTACTTATTTCACATATTTTTCTTTTGTCATAGTAACATATCCATAAGTTAAAATCTGATTAATGACTTTAAGAGGAATAGAATGACCCTCCACACATAATTCAGCAACCAGAATTAAATCATGATGTCTTTTAACCCATGTTTTAATCTTAATTTGCTATTGTTTTTCCCTAAGATCTTGTATTAGGGGCTTGCATTCACATCTGTTTAGATGGTTCAATCACTTGGTCATTCTTGTTTCACTGTTTTGACATTGAGCTCAATAAAATCAGAACTGTAATCTCTCATTATTATCCCGGTTATACTATAAGGAAACCTTTGTTATATTTCTTTGTCCTAAAACTTTTTCTCCTGACTTTTGTTTATTTTTTACATTAGCAATATGTTTTACAACAACCGATATGATTTATTGTGGACTAGCCAATATAATTCTTAGGTTTATGGGCGTTTACTGAAAATGTGTTTTTTGACATCAATGGTCTGTCTTAGTGCATGTGTGCATGATGTTAGATTATCAGACCATACTCTCGAGCCTTATTAGAGTTCAAAGTCTTAACTTCAAGTGAAATTAACAAAATTGGTTTTGCATATTATTCAATACAGGGTATGTACATATATACAGGGTACAAGAATAAGAACGAACGCTTAATGATATCATCCCGGCACAACCTGAAATAGATGTCATTTTGTAGTTATTACCCTTGATCTCCCCTATGATAAATTTTGACTACTCAAGATCTCAAAAATTTGTAGAGAAAAGGCCCTGTCCAAATTGGTAATTTTGGTAATGTGATGTAAATTAGACAAACATTTACAGGATACTGAGCAGTCACCGAACAATATCCCACCTATTGAATCCGTGGAAGTTGTTTTAACAAGGGAGGTGTGGAATACACCCAGAAACAATGATCCAATACAAATGGATAGTGAACGAGCACAACAGGTATATTTATTTAGAAATTACTACCAATTGTGAACATATGCTTATGTCTAGTTTGCATCAGTGGGTTTGCTTCATTCTCGATGCTGCGGACAAAATGGAAAACAGTCGACGTCGCCCTAAACACGTCATTTCGGATCCTCCCGATCCACTAACGGTGCTTTTAGGTACATCAAGCACCGGTTATCGTTCTCGTCGAACCCGTCGCTTGCGACGAAGGGCTCGACGAGTAAATTAACCACAGACACAGCCCACTGAGTTTCTCGCCGGATCTTCTCAATGGGTCGCGTTTCCGATCCGGTGGTAGATTCTGCGAAGCACGGCTCTTGCTAGGGTTCGTGTTAGCAACGTCGTCAGATTTGAGTCCCGTGAGCTCTCCTACTAGTTAAGGTTACGCTAAAATAGCCTCTCAAGGCTCTCAGCTAGGTAAGAAAAAGAAGGGTTTCCTCAGAAGAATTGTTCGCGATGATCCCTTTGTCTAAGTTTTATAATCGCATCGCTGATCACCGGAGCAAATCTCACCCATACATGCATTTACGTATTAATTACCCGTGATAATGTTTCCCAAACATTATATTAAAAGTGATTAAAAACTTATATATTTGATTTCATGCTTCTTCTTTTAAAAAGTGATGAATTATCCATACAAACTTTCATAGATGTTCACCCTCTTAGGGGTTATTTTTTTTAAAACTCCTACACATGTTTGTAACTTTTAACCAAAGACAGCTGTATGAATTGTTCTACCTCTTATTTTGGAAATGACAGATTTTATACAACCATTAAATTCTTACTAGACAAGAGTACAATATAAAAAAAAGCTACAAATCTTAAACGATTTTATCCACGAATGCCAGCTCAACCCTCAGACAGCCCACTGAGTTTCTCGCCGGATCTTCTCAGTGGGTCGCGTTTCCGATCCGGTGGTAGATTCTGCGAAGCACGGCTGTTGCTAGGGTTCGTGTTAGCAACTTCGTCAGGTATGAGTCCCGTGAGCTCACCTACTAGTTAAGGTTACGCTGAAATAGCCTCTCAAGGCTCTCGGCTAGGTAGAAAAAAAAAACCAGCTATATAGGCTCTATGTTAATGAATTAGTTGATCAGTCAACACAGATAATTATAAATATGTCTCTTTATTTTTATAAAATAATATAATAAATAAAACGCATTACTGCTTCACGGCAGAAATACCTACTTGCCAGCGGGATTCGAACACCGTTGCACCGCTAGATACGAATGCACCGGACGTCATCTTTTAGGCCACGACGACTTGATTAGTTAACAATGTAATAAACTACTAATCAAAAAATGTTTTTAAATGAATTAAAATTTTCAGGTTATGTCCGCAATGGCAAATTTTTCGCTTCCACAAACCTCAATACCTGAATGGGCTCGGAGCATATCAGAAGATCAATGGAAACGTACACTTAATGAACAAATACAGAAAATCAAGAGTAACAGTTAACCTGGCATTGTACGTTAAAATATATTTTGTTTCTTCTAAAATTAGTCATTGAAGGGATTCTTGATCAGCCATATAGATTCATATTCAAAAAGATTCAAGAATTTTCTTTGAACTACAGTCACGTTGTCAGGGGGACAGTCATGCTTTAGTGTTGTAACCAAAGCCAGACTGGTTTGAGGAGAGCCCCTAGCTGTTGGCTATGCACCTGTCGTTGCTGATGTCCATGACAGCGACAACATACCACCAGGTTGGTCGTATGCTCGCCTGCCTGCAACGGCATGAGGTCTAAGTGATGAGTGATATTGATATCTAAGTGATGATGAGGTCTAAGTGATGGTATTACATAGTCATCACAATATAAAAGGCGTTACCTTTCTTAAGCCCTTGGGTTTAAGTCTCAATTGTATAAGTATAACGACAGTCTTACCCTTCAAGCAGTAAGGCATGTCAGTTTCGCGTCAGAAACAGTCAGGTTGGTATCTACCTGTCGAGTTTTTATGAACAAGAGTGAAGTAATTATTTCGCTTGAAAAAAAAAAATTATGTCCGCGCAATAAAATTGTTTGGGTGATTGTATTGTTTGAAAGAAGTTTGTATCGTCAAAAACCAGCCCTATTTACTTTCATTTCATTTATTAATTTCAATATATATTATGTATTATTCTATTTTTTTCTTCTGTGTGTATCATAATTGACATATACTTTTGTAGTTGTTCATGTAAGGTTATAAGAAGCGTCAAAGGTGAAATATATAATATTATATTAAATTATATTTAAGTAGATGATAAATTAATCAAATTATTTTAATAGACTTACACTCAGTTGCAGAAACAGACTTTAAATTTTAATGCCTTCTTTAAATGCAATTGAATCATTAACTTGTTGCACAAACAAACATTAGCAAAGATTTTAATGCCTCTTTAAATTTAACTAATGAAGTGTCAATCTTGCACATTAGCTATAATTTACGTTGCACAAAACGTCATTAACGTCAAATTGGCGCTAAANACAAAACGTAAAACATTCACTTATTTCATTCAATTTTTATTTAAATGCTGGCAATACTTTTTAAGGGTGCTATTAAATATTCCTTAGCTAAAGGGCTTCATAATGGAACCATTTATGTTTTGTGCAACGTCTTTAATTTAATGAAATAATTAGTGGTAATGACTCTTTATCTAATGAGATATTTAAAGAACGCTTTCTGCAACTGAGTGAATAAGTGTAAAGTTAACGCTTCATAGTTTGTGACTTAATATACTATCCTATATAATCACATTAAAATAGATGATAAAAGCATCAATATTTTTTCAATATATTTTAATATCATTAGTCCACCATTGTCCACTGCTGGACATAAGATTCTCCCAATATACACCGGTCTTTGGTTCTCCTCATAAGTTTCTTACCGGTACCCTTCGCAAGTTATCGCACCAGCTGACCTGAATAATTTAATTATCTCAAAATAGCAATCATTTTTTATTAAAGAGCTTTTAAAGTAAATGAAAGCATTATAATGTCTGTACATAATAAATAGGATTTATATTCCGAATTAAATAAAGATAGCTAGCTAATATTAATTTTTTAAATCTTTTTTTTTATTGCTTAGATGGGTGCACGAGCTCAGCCCACCTGGTGTTAAGTGGTTATTGGAGCCCATAGACATCTACAACGTAAATGCGCCACCCACCTTGAGATATAAGTTCTAAGGTCTCAAGTGTAGTTACAACGGCTGCCCCACCCTTCAAACCGAAACGCATTACTGCTTCACGGCAGAAATAGGCAGAGTGGTGGTACCTACTCGTGCGGACTAAAGAGGTCCTACCACCAGTAAAATAAAGATAGCTAGGTAGATAGTATTAGTTTTTTAAACCCCCATATTGCTGCAATAGTTGTAGTAAGTGAGAGTTCACTCAGTCAAGTGGTACTTGGAAAAAAATATCTGATGATGAGCACTGCCTTTTTAGGAGGTAAGTAGTAGGGTGAAAATAATGGTGTGTTTTTTCAAATAATTCCTCAGAGCATTTGAACGAAAGTCGCAAGTAGGTATTGCCAAGTTAAAGTGGAATCTTTGGTATCGTTTCTTTTTTTTATTTCATTACTATTAAATTACAAGTTTAACTTATATTCTTGAATCTTATTATAGTAAGTCTTTACGCAGCGTAATGAATACATAGTAGTAATTATTATTTTAATTTAACTTAATAAACAATATAAAATGATAAATATGTTTATGTGCAGTAAACGCTGCGAAGCTTAAATTAAAATAGTCCGTTTAGTTTTTGTTGTTATACAGATGCACGATGTAAGTTTTTTGTTGTGATTCTAATACAAATTTACTGGCTTTTTTGCTGCGACTGTAACGATCCAGTATTTTGTTAGCTGCAATGGCTAAGAAAAGTATTTTTCCTAACAGTATTATAGCTGTTATGATATTTAGTTCTGTCTGGATTGTGAATCCAATAGGGACCTCAAACTCTCGATGCTTTTGCCTCAAGAAGACGGCATGATTTAAAAAAATATTAAAACAAAAATAATATATTTTTCTAAGACGAATTTGTTAATCTCAGTCTATTGTAATATTTTTAAGTTTTAAAGAAAAGTTTTGCCAACAAAGAATATTCTCAGGAAGCGACACAAAATGTACGAAACAAAACGACACAAAAGTAAATTTTAGATTCTAAATCTTGTAAGTTTTTTACGCAAAATTATGTACAACTATGATTCTTAGATCCTTTCGGTAGGCAGTGGCTTGGTTCTGCCTCTGGCATTGCAGGAGTCCATGGGCGACGGTAACCACTCACCATCAGGTGGGCCGTATGCTCGTTTGCCTACAAGGGCAATAAAAAAAAGGAGGCAGAAGTATAATAGACAATAAAAGTATAGTAATATGTATATGTATGTTGTTTTAAAAACGATTTTGGGGTTTTCTTTAATTTAGTACGACGGTACTTTGAATACTAATGTTAAGAGCGAATTTTAAGGCGGACAGAAGCATCAACCTTATATAACCGGTCACAGAAGAGCGTAACAAAGATGGACAGAGTGAGCAATGGTCGTAATTTAAAAATAAAATAAAAAACATTCAAACGAATTTTTTAAGGGATTTTATGACCTGGTAACTGAGACCTTTAAGTCAAATCTTATTTTAATTTATATTCTTATTTTTAAGAAAAATGATATTATGGAGTGAAATGAAATGAAGATGATTAATTTGAGATATTAATCAACTGGGATGAAATTAAATGAGATTATACGGGATGAAGTATAATCTCAGTAAAATGGCGGTCATTTACTAAGATTTTTTCAGTGGACTTTTTGGAGGATCCCGAGAAGTTACGTCCAGCGGCTTTATTTCATTTTCCCACATTTGTGCACTTTCACAGATATTAAACAGTTAATAAACCACCATTATTACACATTTAAACCCGAAGAAACACGAAATAGACAAAATAAAACAAATCACACAACTGCACTCCTCGCGTTCCCGCCAAAAAGTCCCATTCAAACGAAGATCTAAATAATGAAAAGTACCCGCAAGTTTATTATTTAACAAGCGACAAAACTTTATAGCGTCAAACATTATTATCCTATAATAAATATATGTATTATTAAGTAGTTTGTTGGTAGTGAACTGTTTCTATATCGTAGGATCGTATACGACGGCACTAAAGGTCACTAGTTTGGTTTTCTCGTTTCGAATGAATATGTAGAATGGGGAGTCCGCGTAGAACTGTTCAGCTGATCGCGCCAATATCCCGGCCGTCGCCGCCACAGCTTCCGTCCCGAATTCTGATAAGGAAGTTTAGTTGTTTAACAAACAAGGAATAGAAAATGCAACAGTTAAGTTAAACATGTTTATACCGAACGACTGGTCGGTGTTGAGTGGATTTTGGAGCTCATAAACGGAAACCTTGAGACTTGAGATTTCTGTCTCAATTGTAAATGAAAAAAAAATTCTCCTACATCGAGGAAGTCATGAACATTTGTTGATTTTTTTTATTGCTTTTATGGGTGGACGAGCTCACAGCCCACCTGGTGTTAAATGGTTACTGGAGCCCATAGACATCCACAACGTAAATGCGCCACTCACCTTGAGATATAGTTCTAAGGTCTCAAGTATAGTTACAACGGCTGCCCTACCCTTCAAACCGAAACGCATTACTGCTTCACGGCAGAAATAGGCAGGGTGGTGGTACCCACCCGCGCGGACTCACAAGAGGTCCTACCACCAGTAAAGTATGTATGTACGTATTTCATTTGAAAATTTGCTATTTGCCTGCGGGATTCGAAGACAGTCGCATCGCTCGATACCAACGCACCGGACGTCTTGTCGTTTAGACCAAGACTCTTAAAAGAAATACTAATAATAATAAATTTATAAACTAAAAACAAACTACAATATGAAAGGTAAAGAAAGAAATAGGGAAAGTTCGTATCGTGCATACAGTGACGGGGTTCCGTATCACCTTTATCAAAAAACATTGGTATTGGTAACTATTGTTCGAGCAGATTTTCATTGCGTCTTTTTAAATAATTATAAAAAAATATTCAGTAGGTACAGTAAATCATGGTTTTAATTTGAACAAGAAACTGTATGCATATCGTGCAAATTTTCATACGCCAGTTACATATGGAATGACATCGCCTACTAATTTATTTTCGATGCGTTTTATAGTTCCTAGAATAGACTTATTTACAAATTTTGTCGATTAGAACATCGCCCACAGCCTCTGACTGGAATGGCGGTGATAGAAGGACAAAATAAGGAAACGTTGCGAAAGGACTTACCATTAACAGTAATCTTGACGTTATGTAACACGGAGTCGACGTACACTCCCGGGTTGGGTAAACTGTTCAATGCGTCTTTTAACATTCTTGACTGCTCGTGACCGAATCTCGATCTAATAACTACCTCGTTTTCTTTTTTATCATCAGACGAATCTATCATCAAAGCAAAATTAGCTTCGTCGGGACTGAACATAGACTTGATTCCGACAGCTTTCAGTGCTTTGTCTAGATTAACGTTGCTCTCCAAGTTCATTTTAGGGAATCGCACAACAGCCTTTCTTTCGTTCATTTTATTAATTAGTTCGTCAATCTTATTGTAGTCTAGTTTTTTCATCAGATCAAAAAGGCTTAGTTTCATCGGTAATCTAGGTTTGAGAGCGTACATAACGGTCGTAGAGTCGTTGTACGGTAGTGCGATCATATGCAAACCTGAAATAAAATAATGATAATAATCTGGTACAAGTCAGGCGCGGTCATGCGGCCTTATATTAGGAATCCCTGTATTAAGAGAACCGGGGACTGATATACATACTCATATACGTTCGAAAATATACATATACTAGCGGATCCGACAGACGTCCCGTGAATGCATACAATGCAAATTGATTCAAGTCGATCCAGCTCTTTAGTTGTAGTATAGATAAATGACCTAGATACCGACTGCAGTGCCATCTGTCGGGCTGATATGTGAATCTAAACCATCCAGGGCGCCACCGAAACGAATAAAAAAACATTCAAATCGGTCCAGCCGTTTAAGAGGAGTGCAGTGACATACACACGTACAGTAGAATTGTATACATACATATACTAGCTGTACCCGTCCGCTTCGCTAGGCATTTAGAATGAACATTATTATTTTTCACATCCAGAAAGATTCTCATCATTAACGCCCCCGCAACTGGTGTAGGGAGTCCAACACTCATATAAATATTAGCCTATCCATTATGCACATATATTTTCTACATGGATACCAAGTTTCAAGTCAATCGGATGCATGGTTCAGTAGTTATAACGGAACATCCGTAAAAACCACTTTAGATTTATATATTAGTATAGATAATATGTATATATTAAAAAAAATGACAATAAACCGACGAACTTGTCCATTGCACGAATATTTTCACGATGAATCGTAGACACGAAATTCGGCTCAATAGTCAGAGACGCTAATTAGTCCAGCGAGTCGATCAGAAGTGAATGTGTAGGTAAATCATGTTCCTTATTTAAGTTCTCTCGGATTTATTTATTCATTGCGTAGACTTGTGGAATCTGGTGTAGTCTTTACAAGAGCCTATAGATGAGTCGACTATTATCAAAGGCGGCAATCTGACTTTTGGACAATGATTGGTAAATCAGAAAAACGAATTATTGACTTTGTATTCCATTGGCAGTCACAAAACTCTTCGAAACGACATCTTAGATAAATAACAGGTTAACTATTAACCTTTATTTAATGCAGGTTTTGAACCGTATTCTTTGAAGGAGACGATTATATTCAAATAAATCTGTATTGACATATCAATAAAAATTTTTTGTCCAAATGCACAGATTGCCACCTTTGATAATAGACGACTCAGATATCACAGCGTGAATGCCGCTATTCATCTCGAAGTGGTTCATGTTTGTTGCCACATTGTATAGTGCTCACGCCAATTACAATTCTTGTGAGCTTAATTTTTAGGACACGATGTTATTCCTCCTCCTTGTAGATAAGTCTTTCGTGAACTTGTTGTCAGGTACTTTTTTTATTTCAACAAATTGTTACATGGTTGCGTGATTTGAATACCGGTATAATCGCATCGCTCGATGAGAGTACCTACACCTTATCCTTTAGGCCATGACCATTTCACTTTCTAGCTAGAGTGCTCTAAAAACAAAATCTTTTTATATTATAACGAATTACCGTCTTTTTCAGAGAAAATGTAATCGAAGTCTCCTAAATTAAGCATAAGGTCGGCCATTACTTCGCCCTCAGGTTTCTTAAACGGCATCCTGGAAAAAGGAGAAAAAATTCAGTGAACTTTTCGATTAACACGTTTGCCGTTGTAGTTTTTTTATTCATTGTGAGACATATCGATCAATTGAAATACCTTACCTCGACAATGTTCATTAATAAATTTACAATTGAGACGTTAGGTACATAGACTTTATAGGGCCGCTATTTTTAACTCTATGTTCTATTGGTAGATCATCGTATAGGTTATGTAATCTTTTTTTTAAAATTAGAATGTTATTAATTTAATTGATATTTTCAGATAATAAGAGAAAATTTGTGATAATAAACAAAAACCTAGCAAATAATTCACGGTTAACATGGCAAATCGAAACTCACTTAAATGTATATTCCGGGATAAAGGGTGATGCCCACTGTCCGCTGAAGTAAAGAGCGCTTAGCAATACCACCTTTGTTGCCTCTGGTAGTGATTGTTTTAAAAAATCTTCAATCTTTGCCTGCGTTTGCGCTTTGACCCACCTGAAATTGACTCAATTCAAATAATATTTAAATCACGCAACAAACTTAACAAAAATACTCTATGTAGAAGGCGTGGGAATGACGTAGATTCAGATTTTTCTCCACACAAGCGGGAGACTGAAAGCTGAAATGGCGCCATGGCGCTTAACTAGAAACTGAGAAGAGATGCAGCCAAGAGAAGCTTAATTACCGTGTACGGAAGATCATTAAGACTATAGACGTTCTTTTTTTATAGCCTACATTTGTGGACGAGCTCACAGCCCACCTGGTGTTAAGTGGTTACTGGAGCCCATAGACAATTACAACATAAATGCGCCACACTCCTTGAGATATAAGTTCTAAGGTCTCAGTATAGTTACAACGGCTGCCCCACCCTTCAAACCGAAATACATTACTGCTTCACGGCAGAAGTAGGCGGGGCGGTGGTACCTACCCGTGCGGACTCACGTGAGGTTCTACCACCAGTAATAAAGTTAATAAAATAAAATAAAGTTAATAAAATAAGTTATCAGCTACCAGTATATTTCATGGTGTCAATAATTATGAAAAAACGGCTGAATGCACGGAAGTTTATACCAGTGGAAGTGGAAGTCAAGATCACTGAGTTTCTAATTTAAAATACTTTATTTATTATAAACATATTATGTTCAACTTTAGAAATTTGAAAAAAGTATTCACTATTTAGGTACTCTCTCCCTCCCCTCTGTATTTTGTACCGCATGTTCCAAGGGGAATTCTCTGAGATATTGTAGCCACCGGAGTAGAGTTCATCCATATTACCAGAAGCAACTGCGTTCATCCACAGTGCGTTTCCAGAGATCTTTTAGCCACGTACCATCCGGCTTTGGAATGAGTTCCCCTATACGGTATTTCCCGAGCGCTATGACATATCCTTCTTCAAGCGAGGCTTGTGGAGAGAGTACTTAACGGTAGGTAGCGGCTTGGCTCTTCCCCTGGTATTCCTGAAATCTACGGGCGACGGTAACCACTCACCATCAGGTGGGCCGTATTCGCGTCTACCTACAAGGGGGAATAAAAAAAAATGTCTACTCTGCGCTTAAATGAATCCGGCTTCCATTAATAAAGTAAGCTAGCTCAGTGTGGTTTTGACAGAAAAATACAAATACATTCGCAGAGTCAATACCACAATTTGACTTAAAAATAGCTAACCAATAATTAGTAATCATGTTGATTCACACCTTACGTCAAACGTAGAACTTGGTATTTTCGAAAAAAAGCCGTGTTTTAAAATCACGTGGCATATTATGTATAATAATGTATTATTATTTTTCGATAATCGTCACCTCATCCAGTTAACGAATACTAGAAAAGTTATTTACGGGTTCGAGTTTGTTTCCCGAATGCACCTCAATCTTAGTTCAGTGATATTGGGCGATTGTGTTCGACATAAATGTAAGTGTATAAGTATTTGTTTTTGATGTACATAACCCAGGTTAAAATGATATTACAGGAGTGTTTGCACGTGGATTGTTTTACAAAGATCTGGATGGAGTTTATAAAGTTACACAATAAAGATTTGATATAGGAACTAATAAAAATATATTCAAAATATACCTATTCACCTTTTTCGATTGTTTTAGAAGAGTAATAAAAACTGCTGTCGACATCATAACTAACAATAATATTAGCAGAAGACGACGGTTTCCTACATGTTACCGGAATTCGTAGACTCTGGCCATAGGGATGCAACCGCGTATTCTGAGGTATGAAATTAAAGTTCAGCCCAGTCGAAGATACCAGAAAATATGATTTAAGAATGGACACGTGATTGTTATGTAAAATCTTGTGATAAGTCAGTATATGTCTATTTAAGTTTTTCAAAGGGAACTAAAGTAAGTATACAAGACCATTGTGAAGATATAGATGTCAGAAATAGTAATTAAGCCTAGTTAATACAAAAGTTTCAATGACAGGATAAACGAAAATGACAAAAACTCACTCATTTATCATTTGTTTAACTTCATTCTTTTGTGTGAAGTTGACACCGCGGGCTTCCCCGTGGTACACGGTCGTCAAATAATCTTTAAAAACGGACCGGATCCGGGTTTGTGAATCAACAAACATGGCATCTGCGTATAATGTTTTGGAGTTCGTTTCATTATCATTCAATTGTTGAAGCAGCTCACCAAACTGCTCGTGGTGGTTTCGATTGGCCAATATGTCTGGAAAAAACAAAATACACAAATATTTCAAACCTAAAATTGCACTTAAAATTTTATCTACACTTAAAACAGAAGAACAACGTTGTGTTTGTTGAAATTCGTTCTCAAGGTAAGTACTATAGGTCAGTAGCCTCATTGCGAAAGCAAACGGTTCTCTTTTGTTTTAAATTGACAAAGAGCTTTCATAGAAAGAAAAAAAAACTACAAGAAATAGCTATCGTATGAATATACAAATAGTACAATACTTTAGCAGTGATCTGATTTTTTACAAGTGATACCGTACCTACTGAGGTAGATGGACAGGAAATAGTGGCCGGCGTGGGTCAGGATTAACCACAGACTTCATAAAACCTCATAAGCAAGGTAGGTTAAAACAATGGTGTCTATAAGAAAAAATGTATTTATCTAATTATTGCTTCAAAACAATGAAAGCCTACCTTGAGAAAAACCGAGGCTTGTGGCGAGCTCGTCGTATGTACTTCCCACACTACCGAGAAGTGTCATTGCCAGTAATCCTGATAAGAATACATAGAAAACAGTACAAACATTTGTTTACTATTAAAATAGGAAAGAATGATTCATGTCAACAATACTAAGAATATTTATTTGAGGCATAAAGGAAGGGTCATGCTAAATACTAATGCGTGAATGTAAGTCTTAAACGAATTCAGTGCACGATTTATAATATCGTGTTTATTTCTGGCGCTAAGTACCGGATAATTCTGTTTTGAAGAACTGGATATAATTTCTATTTCGGCCGCTAATCAATTAATGAAGGTTTGAAGAATTCTTGCTCTGACTTGAGTGTCATGCCTCAATGCCTATTCATCTTATCATGTATTTGGGTTTCAATCACAGCTTATCAGTAGGATCTGAACTCCGAAAAATGTCTACGTAACAAAATTATTGTAAAATAGAATGCGTCTTGTCTAAATACTTCAATACAGATCTACTATTTGATAATAGTTACAAATTGTACTAGAACAACGATCTTTCATAAATCACGTGTTTTTAAGGTGTTCACGAGTTATAAGACAAATTAACTTAAATTTGATTGATATCATAAATCTGATGTACACTAATTCTCTACAGTATTCGTGTTTTTAGTCAACACGTAACTTCAGGAAAAACAAAATTTACCAGCAATACCGGTCGGAGACAATGCGATGTTTTCATTCTCGTTTTGCTCCATCATTTTTAAAAGTAATTTGTACCCAAAATTGTTGACTGAGTCTGCCAAATAATTTGGTTGAAATTGAGCCTCTGAGGAATTTCTGTAATTGAAAACGTTATTGGTATTTAATACATAATTTGGAGTATTGAAAAATGACCTATAAAACACCCTGTAAATGACGGACTTTACATTTCACGGTAAAGTAGAGATGACGGGACCATCAAAATTAAATAAAAATCCTGATTGTACTACCAATGGAGCATACAATACAAAACAACCACAGCCAAAGCTCCTTCGTGATAATGATTTCATGTTCCATAGGTTACGATAATCCAGTAGTATAATATAGTGCTAATTTTATTAAAAAATTTATTTCTTGGTGTACCTTTATGTTATGTATATACCTACTAGCGAAATACCTAATCAAGTGATTTCTAGAATTCCACTTACGCTTTTGTAGTTACTCCGTCAATAGTGTTACACCATGCTCCGATGATAAGTTTACAGCACAGAAAGAATTGGATTTTTCGTCGCATTTTCTGAAAATAAAATAAATTGTGATAGTACCTAATGACCAGTGAGCCGTAAGCAGTCCACCTTACCAGAGAATTTAAAAGAGCCAGGTGATAAAAGGGAGCTGCCTCTACGAAAGGTGCTAAGGCGGAAATTAACTTTCTTTGCATTGCACTATATTTTGGACATTGTCTAACTGCCCTGTTCAGTACCTCGATCCTCTGTTTCCCTTACTAAGCCACTAACACACTTTCCTTATTTGCAAATTATATAAGATGTCGAAGTTATGTCCTTATAAAGAATGTACATGAAATTTTAACAATATCGCAACCAGCAGTAGTTCATTGAAAGAAATTTATTACAATATGAAGATAGGCATATTAATGTTTCGCATACGATAAGGTCGTTTCCAATGCTTTACCAATGTCAGCAGGTTATCGATTCTACTAAAATAAAGTATTATGTATTACAGAAAAGCCGTTTATCACAATATCTTGAGGAAATTAACTATACAAATTAAGTTTAAAAAAAATCATTAGATCGAGTAAATAATTATGTCAGAGCATCGTAATGTAAAATATTTCGTCCTATGTGTTCCCAGTCTCAACCAGGTAACGCCACTATACTCTGCTTGTAGGATATTTATTTGTAAAGCCTAAATAACTTAATATATGTAGTAACACTACGACCCGCCTTCGCTTCGCTTCGGGGACTATAATTTATTAATAATCTTATTGAATTTTTTTTATACAAATCTGGTCCTGACAGTAACAACAACAATAAAAAAGAACACAACAAACAAAAATCTAACCTTTCCTCTTTATAATATTGGCTTAGATTAGTATAAAAGTATATATTTTGAACATAAAACAAATTAAAACGCCCGTAATGATATGGATTTAAATTACCTACCTATAAAGTGTAACAGAGGTTCATAATGTGCATGAAATTCCTAAGGCCTTTAACGTATTTAAAAAATGATAAGGATTAATACTGTATCCGTCTAATTAGCTTTGCAATTATCGCATTATAGGTACATGACTAATTTTTTAAAACCTATACGAGTAATGGGCATAGTAAGTTATCTTTCAAAGATGGACATTTGCCACCGCCGACTCATTTAATTTTGTAGATCAATAAAAGTAGAATATCTCACTATAAAATTATTTTATCTCAAAGGGCTTAGGTAGCTGAAGAAACCTCCCAGGGGGCCTAGTTTTTTTCGAAACCTCCGACAAATATCCTTATATTTTAGCCAATATATGTACCTAGCACCTAAATAATATATCTTCTTCAAAAATCAGTATATCTATTGGTGAAAACCGTATGAAAATGCTTGTAGTAATTTTTAAGTTAATCGCGAAGAGACAAACAGACAGACAGACACGCGGCAGAGGACTTTATTTTATAACAAGTAGTGATATCGTACGATCGTATCACAAAATAAGCATCAATTACTTAAAAAACCTATCGGTAAGTTTTTTCTTACATTTATTCAACCAACCAATATTAACCGATCAATTAATTTCAAATTTGCAGTATTTCTGTGGCGAAAGGGAAATAATACCGAGTCATTTTAATTCGATTTGTAACCGTTTATTGACAAAAAAGAGTTAATCTAAGCAAATCACTAGAATTTGTAGGGTAAATAATTGTTTAATTTTGACAATACCTATTGTAAAATTGTACAATTATAATAGCAAAATACTATTACAAAGTTGAAATTGGTCATTTTAAATAAATAAAATTGTCTTTAGTAACTCAATAAGCCCACACGAAAATTATTCAGGCTAGCTAATATTGTGATTTTTAACGACTTTATTACGTGATTTACCATAACATCTTTAGCAGCAGTTATTATTTTCTATTGATTATAGGATAACAATTCCATTATCATTTTATTTGGCTAAAGTAATTGACACAACATACTACCTAAGACACATTAATTTTAAAAATCGTAGTTATAAAAATATATGCAGTACACGCAGACATTTCAATGGTTTTAGATAATTTCTAGGTATGTTAATATGTCTAGAAATGATAATTTTCTTACCGAGCGCAGTACAATCTGAATCTGCACTGCAATAACTTAATATATGTAGTAACACTACGACCCGCCTTCGCTTCGCTTCGGGGACTATAATTTATTAATAATCTTATTGAATTTTTTTTATACAAATCTGGTCCTGACAGTAACAACAACAATAAAAAAGAACACAACAAACAAAAATCTAACCTTTCCTCTTTATAATATTGGCTTAGATTAGTATAAAAGTATATATTTTGTACATAAAACAAATTAAAACGCCCGTAATGATATGCATTTAAATTACCTACCTATAAAGTGTAACAGAGGTTCATAATGTGCATGAAATTCCTAAGGCCTTTAACGTATTTAAAAAATGATAAGGATTAATACTGTATCCGTCTAATTAGCTTTGCAATTATCGCATTATAGGTACATGACTAATTTTTTAAAACCTATACGAGTAATGGGCATAGTAAGTTATCTTTCAAAGATGGACATTTGCCACCGCCGACTCATTTAATTTTGTAGATCAATAAAAGTAGAATATCTCACTATAAAATTATTTTATCTCAAAGGGCTTAGGTAGCTGAAGAAACCTCCCAGGGGGCCTAGTTTTTTTCGAAACCTCCGACAAATATCCTTATATTTTAGCCAATATATGTACCTAGCACCTAAATAATATATCTTCTTCAAAAATCAGTATACTATTGGTGAAAACCGTATGAAAATGCTTGTAGTAATTTTTAAGTTAATCGCGAAGAGACAAACAGACAGACAGACACGCGGCAGAGGACTTTATTTTATAACAAGTAGTGATATCGTACGATCGTATCACAAAATAAGCATCAATCACTTAAAAAACCTATCGGTAAGTTTTTTCTTACATTTATTCAACCAACCAATATTAACCGATCAATTAATTTCAAATTTGCAGTATTTCTGTGGCGAAAGGGAAATAATACCGAGTCATTTTAATTCGATTTGTAACCGTTTATTGACAAAAAAGAGTTAATCTAAGCAAATCACTAGAATTTGTAGGGTAAATAATTGTTTAATTTTGACAATACCTATTGTAAAATTGTACAATTATAATAGCAAAATACTATTACAAAGTTGAAATTGGTCATTTTAAATAAATAAAATTGTCTTTAGTAACTCAATAAGCCCACACGAAAATTATTCAGGCTAGCTAATATTGTGATTTTTAACGACTTTATTACGTGATTTACCATAACATCTTTAGCAGCAGTTATTATTTTGTATTGATTATAGGATAACAATTCCATTATCATTTTATTTGGCTAAAGTAATTGACACAACATACTACCTAAGACACATTAATTTTAAAAATCGTAGTTATAAAAATATATGCAGTACACGCAGACATTTCAATGGTTTTAGATAATTTCTAGGTATGTTAATATGTCTAGAAATGATAATTTTCTTACCGAGCGCAGTACAATCTGAATCTGCACAAAATAATATTGGTCGCGCTTATTTAATAAACAAAACACGACTGACCGCTTCCACGAGTCAGTTAGTAAACCGACTCCGAGTACTAATAAAGCATTGTAACCTTGAGAGAAACATAACGGAATGAATCGTTCATACTTTGTAGGTCAGACATCGTAACAAAGCATTTATTTTTTCGACCCGGACCGACGAAGCTTCAAAACAATTTTCTTTTCGTATTTTCTCTAAACCGGAAGTCAGTAGGTATACCTAAAACACGTTAAATTTAAATTAATGTCATTTCGTGGAATAGAAACTATGCTATCAATTCACTGAAGTAGGAAACCTATGGAAATGAAACGTCAACCAAAAATTCGTGCCACTGTGACGTCATCAGGCCACAAAACATGGCGGTTTTAGTGCTGCCCAGAAGATTTTAATGTTAGTAGGTTTTATCGATAAACGTGCTTGGCTTATTTTATTTTAAATATTGTTGAGTATGAATGTATTTGTAGAATTTATACTTTAATAGGAAGTAAGTATATTGTTAGGTGCAAAGATGATGTGATTTAGATATTATGTGAAATCTAAGACGAGTTCGTGCTTCAAATTTTCCAAGTAAACGATATGACGATTTTTAAAATTTGCTACACTGATTTTATAAAGTTGTCGTTTGCCGCAAAACTTATAGATATGGCATAGTACAGTGCCATCAGCCCATTTCTAGCATGCTGAATGTTATCGTATTTTGAGTACGTGTTCTTCTTAGACTATTACAATCTATTTTAATTGTTTTGCTGACTCTAAAGTCCGTAACACACTACCGCAGCGCACCTCAAGGAAGGTGCACCGCACTACCGCACCGCACGCAAATTTTAAACTTATCAAGGGACCGCCTGATAAAAAAAACACCTACAGAACATTTATTCGTTAATGAAATTACAAACGTCATTCCTTGTGACTTATTTATATATATTTAACGAATTTACAATAGTGTTTTACTCACTGCGGAATAAAACTATTTTATTTAAATAGTTCCGAAGAGATTTTGTCGGTAGCCTTTTTCCCGAAATATCTAAACAGAATGTCTAAATATTTTGATGACATATTTTAAAGAGGTATTTATGATTAGTGTCATGATGAATAGATTCCGACCGAAAAATGGTGTCCGATATTTCGGATTCAAATATAATAAGTGTATAATCTATCTTTCGGATGAGGGCTCCATAATGAATTTAAATATATATAGATAATAGTTTTGGGGCATCGACTTTCTTGAGATCCTATAAAATATGTTTTAATTATTATTTTTGTATGTTTTAAGCATGATAAAACTAGAAATTTTATATAAGCAATCATATTAAATCGATATCAAAGTCAATAAATAATGTACAACCCAAAACAGACGGCCGAACTGACGTGACAATGACATTTGGCGCGCTAAACATGGCGGATTTTCGGCCTCATTAGACAGAGACGGAGACATTTACGTATAATCATGTTTCATTTTATGTACGCACTGAAATACTGTTATATTGTTTTCCGGCGAGTTAAAGTGCTGAGTAAGAACGAGATAGATATATGTTTATGTGTGTGCCTTCAAAATGGGTGCTATTTATATAAGCAATTGTACGTATAGAACAATATGTCGTGTCCCTACTATATAGGTCTATGTATCAATTAATGTGAGGTATTTGACGGAATTAATTTTAGCTACCTACCCTAGCTGCTAGGGCCTAGCAAGAGCAAGATCGCAGAATCTACCACCGGATCGGAAACGCAACACACTGAGAAGATCCGGCGAGAAACTCAGTGGGCAAAATTTAATGATTTTGCAATCGATATTGACTTTTCTCCGCAGTTTATACGATCTAAAATTCCAATTTTTATAGGTATGTACTTCGAAAATTCAAGTGACTTTGGAATAAGAGTTCCGACGCGGAACTAACACTGCAAAAACGGCTCGCAATATCAATTTTGCGTTTGGAGAGGGGAGAGGGGACTGCTTATGAACGCACCGTGCAATTTTGGTTTAAACGCCTTCTTGATGGAAATTTTGATCTGAAGAACGAACCACGTGGAAGACCGCCCACACATGTGAATAACCATCAATTGAAAGAGAGGAGAAGCCGATCTGATACAAACTACCCAGGAATTAGTGGCATGGTTTAACGTTACCTTACCAACAATATTGACTCATTTGCGTCAAATCAAAATGGATGCCTCATGATTTGACTGATCTGCAGAAAGAAACGCTTGTTGAAACTTGTGTTGTCTTGTTGAATCGATACAGAAATGAATGAATATTAGGTCGAATTGTGACATGTGATGAAAAGTGCGATGGCTGACCCCAGATCAAACGTCGCAACAGTGGCCTAAGGAAAGCTTATAAATGATAAGGTAATGGTAACTGTTTGGTGGTCTCAGCATCGTGTTATTCACTATAGCTTTCTCCGATATGGTCAAGCAATAACGGCAGATGTCTACTGTGCCGAACTCTTTTTTTTTATTGCTTAGATATGTGGACGAGCAATGATAGTAAAACTTACAGTGTAACAGCCCCGACTCATGTATCGATCTTCACCATTATTGCTCCATGATAACGCGAGACCTCGTACAGCACTTGAAACAGTTTTAACTCTACAGGAACTGCAATTTGAAACCATTCGTCACCCTCCGTATTCGCCAGACCTTGCTCCAGCGGACTACCATTGTTTTCGAGATTTGGACAATTTTCTACGTGATAAAAAGCTTTCTTTCCAGGAGGCAGTACAAAATGCTTTCACACAGTTTGTAGAATCTAGATCACTTTAACCCCTAATATTAAAATTTCCGAACCTTCAACCGAATTAAAATAAAAAATTGTAAATTAACAAAAAGATAACAAATATATTAGGTATTTACAATGTTTATTTATAAATTTAACTCCCTGTTTACACACTACATACATAATAATGACAATGTAAATATAAAAAAGATCTGCGTTTACTGTAGTTTAAGACGTTATGCGACAGAACTATTATATAATATTGCCTTCTAAAGTTTTAANAAGTAAGATATTCCGGCCGTTAAATTGCTTTTTCGGGCCTTATTTTTGCAACTTTTGAATACACACTGCGGTATTGTGAGACGGGTTGACATTGGCTGTGTTTGAAGTGAACTAAACAAAATAAGAGCTCACATTTCAAGTGCGCTGTTATTTGACGAGACGGATTTTATGCACTGACCCGAAATCTATACTATTGTTGATCGAAGACTAAACGAATACATTAACTAATAGGTAGCATGTATTTTTTTCGATCTCCCTTGCTCACTCCTCTTGCTCCATGGCACTGTGCGACGTTCGCGCTTTCTCACTCTCATTCGGTTTTGATCGCCCTGTCCCTCTTTTTGGACAACAATTTTCCATATTTTCGTAACACTATTAATATTGCGTTTCGTTTGTGATTACTGGTGATAGGACCTCTTGTGAGTCCGCACGGGTACGTACCACCACCCCGCCTATTTCTGCCGTGAAGCAGTAATGCGTTTCGGTTTGAAGGGTGGAGCAGTAACTATACAGAGACCTTAGAACTTATATCTCAAGATGGGTGGCGCATTTACGTGGTAGATGTCTATGGGCTCCAGTAACCACTTAACACCGGGTGGGCCGTGAGCTCGTCCACCCATCTAACCAATAAAAAAATCAAAAAAAATCCAGAGACAGGGCATGGATACCGTTGCACTTCCAGAAACGCGAATCGAAATTCCCATATAGCAGGTACGTGAAAAGCTTCTCTACAATCCTAAAGATAATCCCAATACCCGAGACGAATTCCCAGTATTCGGTAATGGACGCTTAGCAATCATAGAACTTATTAGTGCGGGAAACTTTATTATTGGAGTGTGTGAAAAAATAAAACACAAAATGTTCAATCTTTTATAAATATTGGTAGATATAGATCAAATGTGGTACATACAATTAAAATGAGAGGAAATATTATTTTACCGATTTCATATCAAAATGGAAACATCTATTCATAATTTTCTACACTTTATCATAACGTATCTTAATTATCATTAAAAGAATCACGCCAGTAGGTACTATGGCCACAACTATACATGTAGGAACACGTCAATCAGCGACATTTACAAAGTCAACATTTATATACAAACGATACTTTGTGTGATGGAATCATAAACATAGGACATTTAAATTAGCTCTGGGGTCAGATTATTAAAAAAAAAAAGAATTTCCACTACATTTTTAATATTAAAAATGTCATTAATAGTATTCTATAAATGCATATAACTTATGCAAAACCAGTAATTTTCCATATTGAAATACCGTCTTGTTACACACATGAAATTGGTACATACAACAAACAACTTAACTATAAATGCGATAGAGTGTAGAAAATGGAAATTGTATTCACAATAACATGAAGGAGCCAAGTACTAAAAAAAAGATATTAATATCTTTTTTTTAATTTAACAAGAGATAATGAACATTATGTATCAAACACATACAAATATTCTCTGCTTGAATTTGAGTGTTTGAATGATTCTGTGTTAAATCTGTAGATAATAATATCAATTGCAAAAAAAAGAAGAAAACTGGTACCTACTTCATAAAGTTATAAGTTTTTATTAATAATTACTACAATTTTTACACAAGAATCAATCAATCAATCATTGTATGAAAGAATGAATGTCGACTTGGCTCGACAAGAAAAATATTTAGCTTTAAAATACAGACGATTGCTATCCGTTACAAACTAATTAATAAGAAATAACCGTTTTTAATACTTTACGACATAAATAATAACACATTTTAAACAATTTAACTTGTTTCTTTGACTTAAAATCTCTTACTTCTATTCTGACTACACTAATAGTATAACCAAGTCTGTTATGTTACATAGTTAATAATTATCCTATGACATAATTTAAAGGCGGTAGGCAACTTCTAAAATTACGGACTCAGAAACAGAGTGACGTAATGAGCTTTCTCGGGAGAAAAATGGCAACCAACTATGAAAACGATTTCAAACGCACAAGAAATATTAGTCTCATTTCTATCTGTTTAAAAAAAGTGTCATAAGAAAATATGTAATTCAAAAGATTAATGTAGTTAAATTACATATAGTTATATAAATTAAAATAAAACAAGACTGACTTCTGTCTTTCTATCAATATAGTTCAACAAACAGCTGTGGTAGAGCGTTAATGAAATAAACGTTAATAAAAATTAAGATATCGCACTGAATCAACTGTAATCACATCTTTTAAGAGGAAGGGTTAATATTTTATTCACCTGCATTTTTGCAACCACAAAGTTTATTACAGGGCGTTAAATCGGTGTCATAATTGGTCTATTAAAAAAACACAATACAAGGATTACGTCCATAATGAAGAAGAGCATTTCGTTGAAAAACACATTGTATATTCATTGCCTAAAGGTATAGAGAGATCACAATGATTTTTTAATATAAATTAATACAAACTCATTCAAATTATTAATAAAGAGAAATATGAAATTATAAGTGCATAAAGTGCAGAATAATAATGGTTCAGTCCTCATAGCAATAAAGGATAATTTCTCTAGAAACTAAGTATTTATCTGTCTACAAACTAATAATTCTTTACAAAATATGAATCGACTAGTGATCTCTGTCCACCAAAAGGCATTAAAATATTAAATGTACATATAAACATCAAGATACATAAACAACACACATACACACACACGCACACAAACTATACTATTATTATTATTTACTTGAACTATGTAGTGTAACTTAATAATGAAAATTGATCAGTCTTAAAAATCCATGACTCCTCATAAGACTACCTGAAGTACACTGTACTTAAATCAGTTTCACTCTGTTACTGAGTCTAACTTAAAATACACACACACAAAACTTACGATTTAAATAACAAAAGCACAATATGTANCACGCACACAAACTATACTATTATTATTATTTACTTGAACTATGTAGTGTAACTTAATAATGAAAATTGATCAGTCTTAAAAATCCATGACTCCTCATAAGACTACCTGAAGTACACTGTACTTAAATCAGTTTCACTCTGTTACTGAGTCTAACTTAAAATACACACACACAAAACTTACGATTTAAATAACAAAAGCACAATATGTATTTCTAACAAAAATGTCAGCAATTGAATGCAATTTAGCTTAATCACTGTTCACGTTAACATTTATTCGGATCCCTTTCGATCGCAACAAAGGTTGTCTAGAGTACAATCGGAAAATGAAAATAAGTTTCTTGTAAAAAAAAAAAAAAAGACAACTCTTTTTTCTTGTGAATCTTGTGAATTGTTAAAATATATAATTACGTTACTACCTTGAATACAATACACGCAAGAAAGAAATTAATACTTTCAAATTTTCATTCTGTTTATCTTCATCTTTCTTATATTGTGTCTTTATACTTCTCTTATATCTTTTTGATGATTGCTATATTATTTCGATGTCGAAGACTGCATATGTAATTAAAATTAATAATTTCATCATGTTGATCAATCAATTTATCTGCCAAATCGACTTACATATGCAATTGCTTACTTGGTAGACTTGTCCACATAATAAAACATTACCATGACAACTTCTAATTTACAATTGAAAACCAAAGAAACTTGAACATTGGAAATTCTTTAAATTGAATAAGGTTATTGAATTTCACAAATTTTCATTCACGGAACTATAAAATTTTCAAATAAAATATATAACTCCAATACTAGTAGATAAATATATATTATTAAGTAGGTAATTATATTTTTAAGCAGTAAATTACACTAGTAATTTAAATTGATTAAAATACACACTAACTCATTCGATTAACTACGCAATATAGGGAATACCTCTTTAAAGAATTCAACAACATGGAATGCAGGGGTATTTTTGTCCCCAAAATGCAATGGCGAACAATACCATTATTAAATTTACTAATTCCGAATAAGAATCAAGCTATGCACTGGGGTTCCAGTTAAATATTATCAAGAAAACTTACAATATGGTCATTCAAAGTTATATTGCCCTATAAAATACATTTTGAAGCAATCATTATTTCAGATCTCTCAATGTCAACTTTTTATTAAATATATTATTGCTGTTTTAAACCTAATTATAATCATTTACTAGATATTTCATATATTATTTTTACAGGAAGCTATAGAGCATAATAAATAGTTAGGGTCTTCATTTATACTCTCTATTCCATAGCTGTAAGCTGTTTTTTCAACACTTATAATGTTCATTAACTTATAAAATGATGTTCATTTTAAAAATTTACAAAGCTTAGTCAATACTTGTTTTTCAATTATTTTAAAATATTCAAGCTAATATACTTTTATTAGATTAAGTGGTACTTTACTAACTTGCTGCATATTGCTGAAATTTTCGAAAATCCCTCTTTTTAGCGTAGATATATGAGTGTTTTATTGGTTTATGGTAGATTAATCATAATTTTTTGATTTTTTGCATTGTCTTTCAAGTTCCAGTAAAAATATCACAATTCGTAACTAATGCAAACCACACATTCATTATAAATTTACAATACACCTAGCCATCTTTCGACTTTTGGCACATGGCGTACTGCATTGCTACCATTCGTCGCCAGTTCCAACGCGGCTTGTATCTCGGCTAAAATATTCTTCACTATAATGATGCTTTTTTGTACATATTTTTCTAATCAATCAATCCATATATTTTTAAGCAATGAGTTAGAACTCGCGACAAATATTTCAGTCACCCCTCATTTCACTAACACAGTTACAATAATTTTACATGTAAAAATAACACAACAGTATGAAATAATAATATTTGAGACCATACGTCCATTAGAATGCTCACCCGGAGGACTAAATCTACCGTGTTTTATTTGACTTCAATGCATAAAATAAACAAAGACGCAGACTTATCGATTCGTCACTTTGGAAGATACAACTAAATAACTAAAATTTAAAACTACATTCGAGGAGAGTCAGGTGCGCTCGCTAAGCGATAAGCATTTTACGAGCTAAAAGTCTAAACCGCTCGTCGAGGCGATCACAAGTGCTTGACGACGATGACACCGGGTCGTGGCGGGGGCGCACTCGGCTTCTTGGTTAGCGCTAGGGGCGCTTCGGCCGTCTCCTCGCGAAACAGGTGGTCGCCCTCCAAGTGTCGGATAGCCTCCACAATGGTCTCGAGGTTTTGGCGGCTCGTGCTTGCTAGGTAGAGCCGCGAAGAGCTGTCTTGATTCGCCTCTGGCAGTACCTCGACTTCCACTCGGGGCTCAGCCTTGATGGCGGCTTCAAGTAATTGAGTTGTGGGTGGGGGTGGCTCAACAGGTTTTATGGGAATTTCTTCATTCTCCACTTTGCAGTCTGAGATTTCAGTCTGTTCGATAGGGCCTGATAAAGGTCGCGCGATGTCGTGCCCTGTTTTAGGATACACCTGCGTTTCTAGTGCGTTGAACCGCTCTGCAAGCAAGCGACGTAATCTCCGTTCCTGTTCAAGTTGCGCCCGTAATTCTACACACTCAGAATCTTTTTTCTGTGATGTGTTTGACATTGTTATAACAGCAACTGGTTCGGGTGATCGTGAATTCGATAAAGTATCGTCCGTAGAATCAGGAGGTATGACTGATGGTACATGTGTTAGTATATCACCTTTTCTTTTTTTCAATGGAACTTCACCTCCTTCATGCTGATTTAGTAATCTCTTTAGTTGACAATTCTGTGAAAGTAGTCTTGTTTTCTCTTGTTCAAGATTGTAAATGTATTCTGCAGTTTGTTGTAAAATAGCTGCCTGTAAAAAAATTATCAAATACTTTATTAACTTGTAAAAAACCATATCGACACTTGAAAGGCAAACGTGGCTAAGTGACAATATCTGCTATATACATAAATGATAGGCAATGACCATATTCGATGCGCAAAAAAAAATATTTTTAAGTCTATTAAAATCATTTCAATCCTACAGCTAGATTCGTTAAAATAGATTTTTTTTCAGGTATTTCAACTTTAAATTAGTCTACTGTAAAGTTCACGCATTGTCGCTTAGTCACGTTTGCCTTTCAAGCGTAGATATATACAACATACATATGTTTCATGTTTTGAATTTTATTGTTTTTAGAAAATTATCTCAAGAACACTATTACTAAGACAAAATTAAAGAAATATTTAGCATAATGGAACAACTAATTACTGCCCATCTTTATCATTTACAATCTTAGGTAAATATAATCTTTAGAAAAATGAATAAATATAATACAATAAATAACTCACTTTGCTTAATTTTTCGCCCTCATGACGTGGAAGTAAAGTCCGCAAAGCTTGAAAACCTGCATTGATGCTCTGCATTCGTCGGCGTTCATTGCTGTTGGCAATTTCTCGTCTAATCCTTTTTTCTGCCTCCATTGTCTTACTCCCTGATGTCGAATGTTTCTCACTGTAAATGTTTAAGCAGAGTTTTATGACAGTAATCTTTTTTTTTTAGTATTACTCATTGAACTAAATAGTTTTTAGAATTTTTGTTTGTGTAAAGACTAATTATATACTTTGTATAACAAATTTAAATTTCCATTAGTATGTTTACTTTTTAACAGTAACTTTTCGACTACTTTATATTGTATATTATGGTTCGGTTCAGATCATGTAAAGTGAATGTATAGAAACACCCATAAATAAAAAATTGTTTATTATTATTAAGGAAACAATGCCCAAAATGTCTGACAATAATTCTATTGATTCCTGATAATTTAAAAAAATGGCATAAAATAATGAAGTACCTTAATATAAGAAGTATTTACAAGAATCAACTAGGTGACTGAACCAATGGACAGTTGAGATTTTTTGTTGCATCAATCTAGTGTAATTAATAGTACTTTTGATAATATTTTCAAATGAGTATTTTTGCATGCATGATCAAGTAGTATTATACTTTACACAGTTTTCGCTTCATGAAAAATTCCTTATCCTCATATTAGGTGATTATGTATGGTAAAGTATAATAACAAAGTGTATTCAACCAAAATTATTAATTGTCAAAGAGCTTAGGTAATGTTATGTGACTGAAAATGAAATAGTTTTCACCTACCAAGTTATGTATGTTTTTATAATTCTTTAGCACACTACAGTCTAAATGTTTTAACAATTTTAAAACAAACATAACCACCTGCAATACCATTGCTAACATTAATTAATTTAAATATATATTATATATTCTATGTAAATATATATTAAATTTTCAGCAGTGAATGACTGAGTATTATGTTTAATATTTATGTTTAATACAGATAGGTCTTTTGTATTATTTTACTAATTTATAAAGTTTTCCTTTTTGATGTATCATTGAAGATTGAACAAATATTTGGTAGTATATTTTTTCAATTCAATGATAAATAATAGCCCATCTTATTTCATTTCATTAAAGTATTACTTAATAACTTGTTAAAATTTTATTTATTAGTTTAAAATTAAATTTCTGTGCAATTTCTTGAGTCATTTATTGGTAATATATACAAATTTTGGTGGTGTCAAATTTTATATTTAACATTTAATTTTCATGTATAAATATTTCATAATAAACTACATTAATAACAAAATTTAATGTGTGTAATCGCAACATAATTCTAATAATAAATTGATATTGTAAATAAATCGTGTTTGTAATAACAAGAATCAATAATTACAAAATAATGAATGGTAACATTTACTCCATAGTGAACATGTGTTTGGTAGTACCGTATTATTGCGATTGCAAGTGAAGGCGCCTACTACGCCTATTTGATTTGACCAAACATGGCGGCTCAACAGCTGACTATAAACCGGCACGGGGCGTGAGCGTAATCATATGGTACGCCGAAACAACGTTGCTTTATAATAACAATTCATAAGCAATTTTCACATATTCGTATCATGTTCTTCAATGACAACTGCATATTGTGTACAAGATTAAGCGGGAATGAGGCAACCACGCCGGTTTACAGTACCTGACAAACGTGTGATCCGATGCTTCTTCTTCGTACAAGTTGTAATCTTCTACTTCTAGTAAACAAACGTCATTACCGTGCAATGACATTCCTTAGTCGTTGTTTTCTACTTATTCCTCATATACTTCAGAGGATGCACAAGGCGATAACTAATATCCATCAGTTTACACACGAGCCACAATGGCGGGAAATGACAATGAGTTCAGTCAGGTGACGCTTCGCAAATTAAAAGCAATATCACTAAACAACACACTAAATCCGTTGTACAGTCCTTTAGTCACACATCAAACCAACATAATAACATNGTCGTTGTTTTCTACTTATTCCTCATATACTTCAGAGGATGCACAAGGCGATAACTAATATCCATCAGTTTACACACGAGCCACAATGGCGGGAAATGACAATGAGTTCAGTCAGGTGACGCTTCGCAAATTAAAAGCAATATCACTAAACAACACACTAAATCCGTTGTACAGTCCTTTAGTCACACATCAAACCAACATAATAACATACGGTATTAAAAATTTTATGCATCAATTACAGAAAAACAGCAATTTTTACACAAGTCAAGGGCAACAATACGTCGATGCACTGAAGACCATAGACTACCTTTTGTTAATTTTTTCCTAAATCATAGACTAGACTGTGGCAATTTAATGTAGACCTGGGGACTAAATTCGTTTACGACATTTCTCTTTGCATTTTACAATCTCCGAGGTTTTGAGTTTTAGATATAAATATAATCGACGTTACATTTTTTATGTTGAAAGTATAAAAATAAAATATTGAAGACTTTTCCATGATTTTATATGTGTCAAAGTAAATTTGAATCATGCAAATTAGTTACACCTTATTGCCATACTTTTGACATGCACGTGAAGAACCACATCGTGTGGTTCGTTTGACTCGGGTAGTGCTTCTTCAGATACAAAAAAAAAAAATAAAAAAAAAAATTTACTAAAGTGCATTAATACTCTATTTTAAAAAATGTGCCTCTTTTCTAATATTGAGTTACAGAATATATCTCTTTAGGCATTCGTGGGTTTACTGACTTAAATATATATTTATTCACCACACATACGCATTTAAATTTTGCTCTCATACAACTACTAGAGATTTAGAATTAGCTTATTGCTTTGACACTGCGAATCAGAGCGAAGACGAACAGATGAGCTTAGTAATTATATCTATTGCTCTTGTTATAGTTTTCAGTGTGTTCGAGATTGTCAATGTTGCACCTCGGATATTGTGTACCAATCTTTGTTCATGAAATATCGCTGATTCGTTGTTTACAGTTTTTTTTATGTTTGAGAAGTTACTGGTGGCCCGAAGGCCTCTCCAGTTTTACCAGGGCAGGTAAGCGAGCCAAGTCTCAGCCAGGAGGGACATTTACAATTCTGTCTCCTCCCCCTTCTTTTTCTGTAACCTAGGAATTTAAATTTGATAAGGAACATAAAAAGTGTAAATTAATGGCTGTATAATCCTTCACGTTTCATATGAACTTTAGCAATCGATATTACACGATCGAGGATATATCGAGGCTCTACTCGTCCAATCATTGCTTGTTCAGTGGTACCATGCAATTCACTCAGCCTGGTTATCTGCGGTTGACAGAGTAGGTCTGATATAGTCCCTTTACCTTCAGCTCTTGTTTGGATGGAGAAAAAAGAGAACTAGGTAGTTTTCCAATTACAGAGCGCATAATGCGCTCTTGTGCTGTAATTGGAAAACTGATACAATTAGTTTTATATACTAATACAATTAGCATAATGCGACTCAGTGACGTACAATGCCGAATTATGCTGAAGCTTAGTTGAGCATTATGCCGCATAATGCGCTCTTGTGCTGTAATTGGAAAACTACCCTAGACTGTGTCTGAATCCGCATCGCACAGCGTGCAATTATAAAGGATTTTCAACTTCTTCATAATTAGAAGCCGAGGGGATTGTGACGAAAGCTCCAACTTTTTTACGTTTTTTGATCTGAAACATCTCTTAGCGCTACTTGGCAGAAAAAGTTAAATAAGGCGATACAAACGCGTGCGAGCTCACAATAAGATCTAATACCCAGCAACACATTGGTCGTATTTTACGAAATTCCCGTGAGTGACGTTGAATTTTGCTATTCTAAACTGACAGGTTGTTGTTGCTCTGCATCCGTCGTATATGAACCATTCCACGATAAAATTAAGAGGATCGGATATCCTTTCCGGGTGGAACTCACCTACACACTCATATAGCCTACCTTACAGCATAACTTGTTATGCTCCTCATGGCGAAGGTGTGGGTTTTATTACAGAAAACTACAGTCATTAATTTATGTGAAAATTCGTTTTTTTTGTCATATCGTCATCATCAGCTAATCTTGTCTTTGGTTATTAAACATTAATTAATACAAATTCATTAAGTTAGGAGCTCACAATTAGCCATATTTGTTAATGAATTAAGACGAGTTTTGTAAAATAGGCTTTTCATTAAGTTTCCAATATTCATTAATTGCTTCAACAATAAATTGTCATCTTTCGAATTGTGAATGTTGTAAATAAATTTAAATAATCTTGGCATAGCATAATCGATGAATATAATGTTGTCAATGTTGGTATGTCTGATATTTATCTATGGTTTTAGTTATAATAGTGTTGGCTACCATGTAGCGTCTGGGTTCAACTGACCAATCACNTTCATTAAGTTTCCAATATTCATTAATTGCTTCAACAATAAATTGTCATCTTTCGAATTGTGAATGTTGTAAATAAATTTAAATAATCTTGGCATAGCATAATCGATGAATATAATGTTGTCAATGTTGGTATGTCTGATATTTATCTATGGTTTTAGTTATAATAGTGTTGGCTACCATGTAGCGTCTGGGTTCAACTGACCAATCACGATTTTGTAACACTTGGGACACAAGTGCGACCAAGCTTTGGTTAGACTAGGATAGTTAGTTGTAATCGTAATTTTGCGTCTCTCTCTGATGTCGAAGTTCCATCTTTTTAATCCATTGTACACTAGGGATTTTAATTTTGAATTTTTCTAGGTGGGGACTCGATCCCGCCGCCATATTGTGTTGGGCTGTGTGTGCTTGAAGTGAACGTTTTGCCGATATCAGTGTAATTCCTTTGTTATTTTCGATTGGATTGAAAAACCTTTCGGTAAGTATGAATTAAGTGTTAGTTTTACTCATGATGAATAAAATTAAACATCATAAAGTTTGAAAATGCACAAGCCGGCTGATCAGTTTCAGCATCATTATTCAGTAAAAGTATAATTTGAGGGAACTTTCTAAAGCCGGCTTGGAAGTGTGAGCACGAGGACTAGAAATTTTGGAATGTAACAAAGGATTTGTATTAATCTTATTTATTAAAACTTCTAGTCCAAATTAAATCCTAAATACCTACCTTTGTGAACAATTATCAATATGCACTACCGTCCGTCCGGCCTGTATAGTTAAATTATCTTATAAAAAAGAAACAAAATTAATGGTATTCATTAAAGAATATTTATTCAATCACGTTTCAATAAAGAAGATAAGGGCAAATTAATTTGAACAATATGTTTTTCCCGGAAATCGAGTATTTTTGAATGATATGGGGAACTGATGAATCACCGTTGAGTAAGAAATTGAATCAGACTGTAAAATGTGACGCAGCATACACTGCACGTACCTACATAAAAGTACTTAAGTTTGTTAGTATCGTAAAGTCACGTAAACCTAATATAACATTGATAATTATTCTCAACTCTTAAACGACATTAACTTACTATCTACTAAGCCGAAAATTGAGAAAATTTAATGTGCTGACTTACACTAAATAAGTTTAGAGATAAAATTTCGTTTCTATGTCGTTGTTTGTGCACTTTTGAAGTAAATTAACTTTTTATTCATTTCTTTTTGGTAGGTAGGTATTTAGCTATTGATTACTTCGTTATGCCTCTACGAAATTCGCCAGATTTTCATTTCTATCAATAATAATAGAATTTGCTAACAACGTTTAGCGTTCCTGGTAATATTACCTAAATAAAAAGAATATTCACATACTTGACAATGAGATAATACTAAATTTATACTTTACGGTATTACCCTAAAATGCTTGTCTCTGTGACAGTCCAGAAAACGGTCAAAAATATTTTTATTGTTCTAAATGTTAGACTAGCCCATGGCTCGTCAGCTGCTGCTGGTAAGTGGTTATTAGAATTTATGGACATCACAACGTGAATTGTTCGCATTGAATTTTGAGACATGTCGAAGTCAATAAGGATCAAGTTTCAAGAAGTATGACGGCAGTTCGATTGGTTGGTGGTACCTACTACTGCGGGCTCACAATATGCTCTACGCATTGTTCATACTACAATTTTCAAGGTAGTAATGATTCAGGATGTCGATACCATCGGCAACATTGGGTTCTACCTGAACGTAAGCCATTGACACTGTTCGTAGACATCAGCAATGCCGGGGACACGGTCAGACCGCCAAGGATTCTTTTATTAGATTAGCGTTTTAAGAATTTCAAGTATAACGCTGTAGAAGCACCGGGGTGTAAAGTATATAGTAGCGTGAGAGCATTCTGGAAGACCTTTCTAGGAATTCCAGAAAACCTCCTGGAAAACCTTTCTAGGAAATAAAAATGAATCTGGTCACTTAGAAAATATATTTTTTCTTAAGTGAATCTCTTAAGTGTCGTACATAGAAATCGGGCCACTAATTATTTAGTAGACAAGAACCTCAGCTCTGCTAAGAATCATTGACATCCGTACAATGTGTAGCCCTGACAGTGCTTGTCAAGCATGTCAGGCTTTTTTGAATACAATCTTGCACGATGGTTGGAGCGACTAAGGAAGATTGAAGGCAATGGAAGTGCAACAAAAGGCAGTAAAAATGTATGTTTGGAGCCGAGGGTACTGCAAGAGATAAAATATTCGAACCATATTGACTCAACCAAATGGTAAACATATAATCAGACGACCTAGAAATTAGGTTGCACATTATCTCGCGCCCTCAGTCCAATAAGTAGCATGTACAAGCATACGAGACGTCTCTTTTTGAATGTCAAGATATTTTTCGGATGGTTGAGCCAATCTTAGTAAGCATATCTAAATAGATATATTCTAAAGGGAAATTTTTATGTACTAGTCGACGCAAAAGTAAACTAGTAGAGATTAAAACGTTTTTAACACTAAAACCGGTAAATTAAAATCCAAAATAACTTACAAAGTAGGTTAAATCGCTTTCGTATATCTTCGTTTTCGAACCCCACCCGGTGCGACCTTTTAATTACTAGGGCAAACCCGGGAATCCCGGATTTCAACTCCGCCCCCATTGTTAAATAATACAAAGTAACGTAGAATATCGCAACGCTAAATAATTATTATCCATGTGATTGCAAGTTTAGTTGTTTAAAACGAACAGCACAGAATGTTGAACTGCTTATGAAATCGGTGCTCCGTTACAGATGCGGTTTTGAATCCTTACAGTTGGCCATGTATCGATTTTCCGCGGATTGTGGCTAGGTTACGCGGCGTATTGTCACAGTATTGCGTGCAAAAAAGGAAAAAACCTGTTATATTTGCTTATTTAGAACAGAAATTCTATCCGTATTGACATTATGAATTATCAATTTTGTTTTTATTACTAATCTAGTACGGTTGTAAGAGTTCGACGTGCAACGGTGATAGATTTAGCGAAGCACTGCTTTTGCTAGGGCTAACACTTGACACTAGCCACTAGTATTAGCAAGTTCTCTCAGGTTGAGCCCCGTGAGCTCATCTACCGTCCGCGCGTAATTAGAATAGCCCCCTGGGGCTAAGGCTACCAACGATCGGGTAGAGAAAAATAATAAAATAACAGCATTTTCATATTTCGATCACAGAAATTTCAAGTACAATTCAAGTGTTTTATTTAAAAAAAAAGGTAATTAGTGCGCATAGTATATTGTGTGCGATTAAAACGATTTTCACTTTATTCTCTTGTTTATCACCGTGAACAAAAATCTAAACAATTTTTGGAACAGCGACATTTTTTTTATTTAGATAAATGGTAAAAAAAAGAGAATGACTAAAATATTGGTTCTAAAAATCATTTTATGACTGCATAACGGTATAAAAAAAATATAATAAAAAAAATGAACCTATAATGAAATCAAATTAATTTCACCTCTTAATAATTTTAGTGTTGACACTCAAGGTATCTACAATGTCTAGATAGAATTAAACTCCAAAGTGCGTTTAACCTTATATTCTTTTAAAACATATTTTTCTAATGTTATTATTATAAAAATAATTTACAAAAACACGTTATTATACATACAACATAATTTCCAATGTTATTAGACATTGTTGAGTAGTTTTAATGCAAAGTGAACGCAGCGTGTGTAGCATAAAAAAGCGTTATCTATCGGGCACCAACACTGACTCGTCAACCTTGAAACTTCCCAACCCAAGGCCGTCGATGAACCTTATATCCTCTTTTAAATTGAATACCTCGTTCAATTGTGCCTCTCATTGTAGCTCTGACGACAGTAAAATACGTTCGGGTTGACTGCTTTAGCTTATAAACTTGACGTAGGGGGGGCATAAAGCAGGTCAGTCACCCCAAATGCGTGAACCAATTTGAAATAAAATTTCGGCTGATGAACGCTTCGAGCTGCGTTAGGATTTACACAAAGCTTTATATCCATTGAATAACGTAACCAGCACACTTCTACCTTATGTTAACAGACTTCTAATACGTAATTACGGCACCTAAAATGTTTTCCTTTGTTAAATCGTATTTGCTTGCTACGTATAATTTTAGGTATTATTGTTATTAGACAAATAAATCCATCAAACACAAGTTATAAAATTTTTAACAGGAATATCATTTGTCTTGTGAACTGGTGCGGCCTGCTTTCATATATTATTATGATCGTTTTAATTGTTGGCGACAGTGAGTCCCACTATAAGAATAAATTGATAACACAAAAGAATTAAACCACTTTGTAGCATGTTTGAAACGCTTTATTTCTTTAATTTTTCAAATATACCTCTACGCAGTCTGCAATAATAAATATTTACTTGCAGATAAGAGTTTGTGGTTCTGAGTGACTAATGTAACTGTTATGAGTGTGTTTGTATTGAGAATAGCCGATAAGAACGATGCGCTAGGAATTCGTCCCGAAACTAATGACCAATGTTAACAATTAAGTATGTACATAGATTGTACTTTTAGTTTCATTTATAACGCCTTGTAAGACTGTAACCGTGTAGCAGTTGTTTGATGGGTAATTAACCAGAGTGAGTACGTTTTTAAATTACGCACTAACAAAAAAAGCGCGCAATATACCTCGGTGTGTTTTTAAATTGTTTTATTGTGATTCATATGTGTACCGTACGCTCGATTAATGCAGCCTTTGTATTCATAAGAGAGCAGGCTATTTCAGGAAACAACGTATGTTTGCTTTTGAGAAAGTTTTGTTTACACTGTAAAGGCGCATCGGCCATCGCATTGTGCATTGTGTGTCAACACGAGGTGTTGTGACTAAAAACGTGCATCGCAGTGTTTTTCGATGTACGACGCACTATTTCGGTCGAACTTATTTATTTCTGGCGTGTCCCAAAGCCCGTGACACAGTGGCCGTGCTTGGCATTCTAATACTCATTCACTTTTTTTTTTAAAATTCGAAATACCTATTTTTAGCCACACGATTGATTTTACTTTTGTGTAACAATCTAATCATTATAATGTTATGTTTAAGTAACAAAAAGTAAGAGATCTTTTAATGGTATGTATTTGTAAAAATATGTCTAACAAATATAAACTTCAGATTATTGTCGTGTTATATATGAAACGAATAGGAGATATCATGAATACGTGTGTTTTATTAAAGTCACGTTCCTATCGCATCTAAATATTAAAACGCACGCATCTAAATATTAAAATTCATGAGCGGAAGTAGTTTTTGTTAGATATGAATAATTTTGTTTTAGTGAAAACGCTGTTTCCGTTTACGAACTTAGACATAACATTAGTATACTATGAGGGGCGCAATAACCATTAATCCAATACAACTAAGATTCCGTACCACTGAGTATCGTAAGATGAACGGTGGTGTTTACGTTATGGTTTAAATGGATTCAGGTAATTACTACTAATATGCCAATATGAGCGGTACGTTTTCATAATGAATTTTAGGAAATAAAAAAATTGCGTTATTAATAATATTATTTAAGAACATCTAACATCTAACAAAAAAGTACATTAAATAATATAAAAAAACTTGGTCAGACAATGCCCAATTATCAGAAAACAATTTTATTATTTAAAGTAATTTAATTTCCATGAAAAATGTAAAAACTGGGTTAATAAGGAACATATAGTTGTGTAGTGTCTTACAATTTGTCAATGTCTTCTAACGTGTTTTATTTTTGGATTCGTGCTATATGATTCCATGACGCCTAAATTAAGTACACTCTCATTCGTTTTTATCAACGGTTGTTAATAAATCTGCAACACACGTTTCAAGATTGATTCCGATCTAGTTGGAATCTTTACATTGGTCTATACAACTGCATCTAAATAACTGCGTCTAAATAACTGCAATTAGTATACAATTATTATCAAATCTCGCTTCCCGACTTATGATCGAGGTGTTTGTTTTTTGATTGCTTCGAGTTTACTGACTAGCTGGTTGCTGCGTTTATTCGCTTGTTCTCGCTCGCTCAAATCGAGCTGTGGACTCAAAAGGCTTTTTATATGGTAATAGTTTCTTGCTACAAATAAAAGTATATAAAAGGTTAAGCTAATAGAAAGGGTCAAACCCATTCTTTGTAATGATAGACTTAAAAGTATCCCAGGAGATCGTGTTAGAAAACTTTTGACCCGTAATTAACTTATCCGATACTCCGAGAATACGACAAATGGTTAAACCCCTAAAAAAATCATTCAACATTTTTTATTGTGACCTTTTATTAAATTTTGACCACAGCTTTGTCGAGTCATTAGCAAGATCGCAGGTGGCTGTTAGTAGGGAATGTTTCTGGTTTAGTACCATCAATAAATAACATGAACAATAAGTGGCCATGGTTTCAACAAACTAGTGTATATTATTACATTTATCAATAGTCGCGACAAAATGTGGCTTAGTACAAAAAGTACAAGTAAGAAATAATATATTTTATGCTCGGCACTACATAATAGCTATCTCGCATACGATTAATTTTTTGTTGCATTAATTGTGTACGAGCTTGCGGCCCACCTCATGTTAAGTGATGTGGTACCTCTGCAACCTGTTAAGATAATTTCTAAATTTTGGCAGTTTTCTTGCAAAATGTTATTCCTTCATTTTGGACATCGTTTGACGTATGAAACATAAAAAGAAAACATTTTGCCACTTATGTAGATCATTAATTCTTATGTATAGATTAAACTTAATTTACATATAAATAAATTAACATTATTAGATATTATTCCGGTTCCGATTCCGGGAATCTCATATTTTCTATTTACCATCCTGGAATTATACAATAAATAGAGCACGTGAGTTTTTTTTTCTGATTGACTCTTATTTTCTAATTATTTAGCGAGCATGGGTGCTAAACAAAGCAAAAGATCGGTCGACATAAGCGGCAAGGAAGCGGAAAGCGCTGGAGAGGTGGCCGCAGCCGGCGCTGGTGGTGAGGGTCGCGTCGAGCAGCTAGCCGATGTTGATGCACTTAAACCACAAATTAATGGCGACGCCCATATCCATGAACAGACTGTAAGTATCGCATGCTAAATATGTTTAGAAAACATGGATTTCGTATGGCCAATCATTATAATATTATACAATTAGCCACTTAATATTCAAGAACACAAATCATTGAGATTCATCGAGAACGTAATGGAATAGAGAAGATATATTAAAATTTTAGTAAAATATTTTTAAGGAAAGTATTTTATAAAACTATTAATACTTTTGCTTGTGGCTTTTGCTTGTGTAGTACTCAGACTAAAAATTCAATACTTTTTCGTCTTTGTTCACATTCTTAGCACATGCGACAGGACACCGGAAATCCTATTGTGTGCCGATGAATATGACGATGTCCAAATAGTGCTAACTGTTTTCGTGCTGTCATTAAGTTAATACTGTCTCTATTAAATTTTTATGATTATTTGGTTAAGAAATTAAATTTTTGTCGTTTAGATGATATCTTATGATCAAAAGTATTCAAAAGTGCATACACATTACTTGTGAATGTTAAACGCGTTTCAATTGTTTTTGGTCACATTCATTATTCAACTAGAAATAGTTGTTTGTTAGCTTTACAGATAAAGTGAAACAATTTTTAAATTAAGAGGCCTAAAGCATCTTAAGGATTCCAAACCTAAACATAATCATAAAGTTACTGTATGCATTAAACCACCGGCGTAGTCTTTAGATTGACTTAAAAAAGCAGTTGGGGTTGTCTGAAGAGGTTTGATGAGCATCAACGCAATACCAAAGTCCTACTTATAAGGATAGTTTTCTTAGTCTAAGAATAAACTGGTATAAAGTACTAGACGAAGAAAGTAGATACTTTCTTCATTTATTAAACTTAAACGTTACTTGTCGTTTTAGTAAACTAGTGTTTGCCAATGGTCAAAGTTCGACTATAATCACCTCAAGCCTTAGATTAATTTTATGTATCCAGTTTCCTAATTTGTTTTCTTAATCAACCTTAAGTAGTATTTAAACCTCGTTAACCTAATGGCGGAATTATCGAAAAAGTATAAATGATAACAAATATTTATGTTAAATTTTCTTAGGCCAAGGAGAAGGAGTTGGATAGTGGCACTCCAGAAAATGAAAAAGATGCTACTACTGAAAAAGAAGCAATAGAGAATAGCAATGAAAAAGAAGCTGGTCCAGTAACCAACGGCGAATCTGAACAGAAAGCAGAAAATGGAGAATCAGTTACTACTACTCCAGATGACGGCAAGAAACCAAAGAAAGAAAAAGTATGTTTAAACAATTCATTGAACATTGTGTTTAATTGACTTAAATGTAATCCTTAATCTTTTTTTTTGTGTCGAATACTTACTAAACCTCATTAATTATCTGACCATAAGCAGCATGGTTTTAAAGTTGGTGTAATTAACACAAAGCATGTCGTGGGCAGGTGAAAAAGAAGTGGTCGCTCAGGTCTATCAGCTTCAGCAGGAAAGATAAGCCCAAACAAGAAAAGAAGCAAAAGGAAGAGGAGACTAAGACAAATGGTGAACCGGAAAAGGTTCCCGAAGAGGTAAGCCACTACTAAACATTAACAGTTTTCATTTGATATATTTGCTTAGGTGGGAGTAGTATTATTCGGTTTAATAACCTACAATTTAATATCTGATATGATCCGATCAATATAGGCTCCAGCAAGGGATCATAGTTTATATAACCGGATCTATAAAATGCTATAATTCTTAAGGTAGGACCTCGACCCTTCTGAGCGTAGGAGTTGGAACGAAAACAATGATGAGATGCTCATAAGGCGAGATTTTTCCCCTCTAGTTATGCTTCGTTGATTCATTTACGTTGAAATAGAATAGTGGAATATATGACACAATGTAAGGGAGAATTTCTTATCACTAAACAATCTGATGCAAAAGACTAGATAAGGTACAGGATTTTCCAATATCAATTTACTTTGGTAATACTAATAAAACTACGGTAGTTCTTTTGAGTAGGGAGTCCTAGCAGAGCTCAATCAAAATGGACCTTTTTCAACGACGTAAGATTTTGAAATTATCATATAATCAGCATATAAATTGAATCTTAAACGAGGTCTTGGCAGTATTTTGGGTTATGCAGGAGTGCTTATGGGAAGATATAAGAATTAAAATTGAAAGATATTCACTGGAATCTACAACACGATTCTGTCGGTAACTTATGCCTACATCGTGTGGTCTTTAAAGCTGGAAGGACGTAAAGCAGCCTTTCGGAAAGTGCCAAGACTGATTGCTTGCGTGGCTATAACGGTTGCCTTAGGACAGCGGTCGGGGAACTTTTTTAATTATTACCCCAAAATATTTTTGTGTACGTTGATATTACCCCATGGCGAAGAACAAAAAAAAACGAAATCGCTTCTTTTTAGTATTCATATTATAGTCCCATGATAATTGAAAAAAAAATAATATTATTTTTTCGTTTCGTTTCATTTCGTTTCATCGAGTTTGAAATCACAATGATTCTAAAGAAGTTTCATTTCAATATATACTTTTTACTCACAAAAGTTTCATTTTTACCCCCCTAAATTTCATTTTACCCCATTTGGGGTAATTTACCCCAGTTCCCCGATCGCTGCCTTAGGACAACATTTGTTTCAATAAAGCGTCTATTGGAACTCATTCCACTAGAATTTCTAGATGTAACATATTGCTACAAAAGTACTCCATAGTCTAAAAATAGGCATTTAAAACTGTTTGTTTTTAAAACTAGAGACACCAAACTATTTGAAACATCTTGCTAGGATATAAAATATGGTTTATGAAAAGATCTAGCTGGTTTATACATATTATATTCCATAAGAATATCATTATACATTTCCACTAGTTTTAACTGATTTAGATGAGATTTCTACCATCTAAGCGAAAGAGGTTAGTCTGGTATATTTACAGTTCACAAAAGAATGGAGCCTCATATAGCTGTTCTAGCAACTGCTACAATTATTATACTAGTATTATTTCAATGATAAAGTAAGTGGATATTAAGAATCAAAAATATTTTATTCATAATAGTACGTAAATATTTTATTGGATAAAACTAAAATAGACGATTAATGTAATAATAATACACGCTCTTAAAATGAGGGCGATTTCGATGCGGGATCGTGACCCAAAGTTAAATTTCACACCGATCACGGCGCGTCCACATCCGATAACTGTTTAAAAATAGATACACACACAGCCTCGTGTATTAACTGCATGATGCGGGTTCATACCCTATTATCATTTATTGTTGATGTTCGTTATAGTTAATAGAATTGCATTCTTAACACAAACTTCAACTTTTTGTCCATTTTATTTAGGTACTAAATATATGACAGGACGAATAGTACTAAAATAATATACTAAATTATAAATTGTAACAGGCTCATGATTCAAGTTTTGAACATCTTGAGACAATGTAGTAAAATTCGTGTGTGGGTGTGTGTTTACGCTTATAATATCAAAGTCATTGCCCTTGTTGTCCGAAAGACAGAAACGATGCGAAATTTGGCACACGTGTTCGACAGTTTGGTTTGTAAGTGTTGATATTTATCTTGTTAGCTAATATAGAAAATAAATGTTCACAAATTTTCAATTCTTAACGTTATGAGATTAAAAGTGTTGTGTAAAACGTAATTTATAACGAATTACTGCTCAATTAGTACTGCAATAAATGGTGTGCGATGTGACCTTGTGGCTAGCTAGTCCGGCTAGAAAATCAACGATTTCTATGACAAGTAAACGATTGCGACGCAGTGCATTGCACCCGAACCGGCGCAGTGCGAGGAACAATGCGCGCATTATAATTCGAAGCGATGCTATATCCGCGCTCACAGAACGTGAGTGTCATTGTCGACGACAATATCACGCTATTACCGACGCATTAGTTCATTGACGACCGCAACGTGACACCATGTGCCTAACTTCATATGCAATGGTTCAGCGTGAGCCCGCATGGATGTATCGTTCAAGTTACGTATTATAAACTGGTTTGTCACTTGCGTGTTAGATTGTTTGACTACACTGCAACGGTCATCTTCCTCCGTGTCATTTTGAAATTTGAACATTCTTTGCATTTGTTGCTTATTTATATAAAATTTTCTAATTCGAATAAGGGAACTTCTCTCCCAAGTTTAATGCTATGAAATTAGAAATGCGAATAAGCAACAATAAACTGTACTTATAAAAATAAATGACAAAAATGTTATGATCCTCAACCGAGAATTGCGATTGCAAAGACGGGACGTTAGAAACAGGTTTACGCGCTGTACAAAATAAAATTAGACTTTAGCAGGTTTTGCGACACGACCGTGGGCTTAGTGGGTGCGGGTTTTGCATCGCGTCGTTTTGATACACAGCCGCGTGGCGCGTAGGAAGTTAGCTAAGTACTTATTCCTTGCAGTTCACCACCAACCACTTGTTCCTTGTCGTCTTGCAAACGGTTTTTGTTGTTTAAGGTTATTAAGTTCGTTAAAGTGGGGATCAGAGCCCGTAGACATAAAACGCGAATACCGAAAAACATACCTTAAGACTATGAGGTCAAAGTTTTGTTTCTGTTGTACAACGGCTATTCCATCCTTCAATCCGAATCCTTTGCACCAGAACGACCTAAGATTAGATTTTCCATTTTCTTTTTTACTATGTTACGATTTAATTTTATTACACAATATTAATTTTTTATCGTGTGGTAGTCGTTCGTTAAATTGTGTTTAAAGTGTTTTCTTAGAAAAATTGGTGCCTACCCCATGTATTTAAACCATAGCCATATCATTCAATTGGGTGTCTATATCACTTGGTAAACCGACATTTCAACCTTTTCTCTTCTTTAGCCAAGTTTCATTTAGGTGATTTTGCGAATATCAGAAAAACATTTTCCACTTTTCAGTAACATACGTTTTGAAACATAACTTTTGTGAAATTGCTTATTTTTAAAAATGATGACGGTGACTACTTGAACTATGACACTTTATTTTCATAATACTTCCGACTGTTGAATAGATTGTTGAATAACAAGGAAAGAGGTATATTACAGAGGTGTATCTGTAAACCATGGGGAAAAATCCAATCATTGTCTATGTTGATAAGTTTCCTAATTATATACTAAGTAGTGTACATTCAAGGATCAATTTGACCATAATTACTGACAACTCAGAGTTAAATAAAGTCGTTTGACAAACCAACTAAGAAAATTGTATTTGTTTGTTTTTTCTGTTTTTAAGAAAACATAGGTGACATTATGCATATTGGCGCCCTTAGGCAATAGCTTGTCACATTTGTAACATACATAACGGCTGTCGTATGATTTAAACTGGAATTTATGCATATTGGCGCCCTTAGGCAATAGTTGTCACATTTGTAACATACATAACGGCTGTCGTATGATTTAAACTGGAATGCATGACAGGTGGAAATAGTAGCATGATGAATTCCTATATCTGCGGGCTTACAATGGGACCTGCCAAAACAGTGTCTCACATAATTCACTTAATAAATATAAATGAATTTTAAATGTTTATGTTTGCAAGATATATCAAGTACATATTCTGATTTTGCAGTCCGCCAATTATTTGTTATGTTTCAAGACGAGACGTTCAACTTACGATATTGTCATCCATTATGTGTATTATGACCCGATGTACTTATGTGCAGAGAGCAGAATGCTATCGTGGATGTAATTTATGTTGCTTCTGATTATACTCTATAGACAATCACGTGATCAATAGGTGCTCACAAGCATAATAATATCGGTGCTTCGAAACTGACAAACTTAACGTTTCATTTTTCTCCCTGTAATGTTAAACTGACCTAATGCTTTTTATGCTTAACTAGTTGACCCGGCAGACTTCGTAGTGCCTCAATCTATAAATAAAAGCCTAAACTTTTGTATAAAATAAACTTAATACAAACAAAAGGAATCCGTCCTACGGGGGACACATCAAAGGAAAAACAAAATTGTTATTTTTATTTAATTCCGAGTATTTTCATATTTATCTATCTTTTAAACCTTCTCTGGACTTCCACAAATAATTCAAGATCAAAATTAGTCAAATCGGTCCAGCCGTTCTCGAGTTTTAGCGAGACTAACGAACAGCAATTAATTTTTATTTATATAGATTGGCATTATAATAAAAAAATTAAAAACCACATTAAAACTATACATTCTTAATATAACACTTAATCGGTATACGAGCGTAGGCCGGGCTGTACCATGCTTATTCATATTTTTATTTGTCCACCATTTGAATAAACCTAAATATACTCCAAAAAGCATATCTCAATCCCAGTATTTGCAGTGACTACTACGAAAGGAGCATCTTTCACCGCGGTGGTCCGTAGATGGTCCGTCCGACGCGCGAGCGAATGTTGTTTTTAGCAAATTTTTTACATGCAAGTTTCAAATAAAAACTACGTTACTGTGATACAGTTTTATTGCTAGACCATTAATATTTTATGATAGTGTCAGTTACAGATACTTTACCTACATTTCAAAGGAGATCGAATTTGAAATAGTATAATTAGTGCTTTGGATCTTTAGTGAGATTGGATTATGTTTACAGAAATGCACTAAAATACAGACTAGACTGCTAGAGAGATCTTACTGTATATATTTAAAAAAAATATTAAAATACCTAACACGTGGATTACTCACGTTAAAACCACAAACCATTCAAATGTACAATAGTTCTAAATGGTAGTTTCAGAGCGGAAAATGATTTCCATGGTCAGGCATCCGTAGTGCCTGTACGATATAAAGTGTGAATCATTAATGACGTCCGCCGTGGTTAGATATTCGGTTACGTTGAATGTAAATTGTTTATGTTACATAGAAGTAATTTAGATAATAATTTATAAATTCTTAGTACTAGTCTTATTCTTCACCTACACGTAACAAAGGATGTCATTGATTGAGCATAGTTCGACTTTAAAGTTTATATAAAAATATTATATCATTCGGCCACGTTTCTCCCTAACGTCTCAAAAGTAAATACATTAATAAATAGCATGCTGTTTAGTTCGAATTAGATTATGATTATTCGTAATATTTAAGATGTTTTTGTTGACAGTATTGGTAAGCAAAGTTAGCCTTCAGTATGAGTATCATTTTATTCTTTGCCACAACTCTGCTGCGGTTGTGTATTTATAAATTGCGTATCAAATTTTTTAACTTACATCTGCAATTGTTTTAATGGGGTTTAATTACAGGTATATTGTATTTATTAGTAACATCAAATATGATAATTTATACCGTAAGAGTAATAATAATAAGTATTAATTTTTGAATTAAGGAATTATTGTAATTTACTCATGGCGTCGGTGCCAAATATTCCAAGTTAAATTCAAATAGTACATCAAAATACACAGGAAAACTCGTCTGCGTAACATTAACTTGGTTATGAGTTTGTCTACCTATTACAGAACCATGCCTTGAAAAAAAAAAAGAGTTTTCATAATGAGAGATTTATGAGAAGGCAAGGTCGAGATTTTTTTGATTACAATGTTCAATAAACAAAAATAGTGCTTTTAGTCATATTGCGTATAAATTTAGTTCAATTATGATTGTTTGAAGTAAAATTTAAAGGTTATGAACATCTAAACGCTACGATAATATGTAGTTTCTTATTTTTCCCTACCTGTTCGCTGGTAGCCTAAGGGGCTATTCCAGGTACGCCCGGACGAGTTGATGAGCTCACGGGCTCAATCTGAGAGAATTTGCTAACAGTAGCCCTAGCAGAAGCAGTGGTTCGCAGAGTCCACCACCGGATCGGAATCGCGACCCACTGAGAAGATCCGGCGAGAAACTCAGTGGGCTGTGTCTATGAGTTAGTTCGCTCGTCGAATTGTTCGTCGTAATCGAGGAGGACGGTGACCGGTGCTTGAAGGTGCCTAAAGGCACCGAGAGTGTATCCGGGGGATCCGACAAAACATGTTTCGGGCGACGGCAGTTGCCCCGTCGCAGTTGGATAAGATGTGTAGTCTAAATTATCCCATGATAGTGAATGTGGTGAATTTTCCGAGGATTGGTCACACAATTAATATTCTATTGAAAGTTGTTTTTATAAAGTAAATGACCATTTACTTAGAAAAAGCTTCAACATTTTTGAAATAGTTACAGAATAAAGTCGAATTCTTAATAATTATAATTATAGATTTTTATTGTATAAATTTTATATATGGACAATGAAAGAAACCATAGTACATTCAATTTGTACTGGTGGTAGGGCCTCTTGTTAGTCCGCGCGGGTTATGTACCACCACCCTGCCTATTTCTGCCGTGAAGCAGTAATGCGTTTCGGTTTGAAGGGTAGGGCAGCCGTTGTAACTATACTTGAGACCTTAGAACTTATTTAACATTACGTCGTAGATGTCTATGGGCTCCAGTAACCACTAGGTGGGCTACACTACACACCAGTTGGGCTGTGAGGTCGTCCACCAATCTAAGCAATAAAAAAAAAAGTAAATGTAATGTTTTCGAATCAACCCTGTGCAGGAAATATGATATTTGCGTTTGTATGACCATTGAAGGGTAACTGTATAAGACACACTAAGCACCACTCTACCGTTGCGAAATTTAATTATAAAATCTATTGCAAACGTTGTTCTCACTTCAGTCTCGCTCAGGTTTTTCCCTTGTGCAGAAATAATGTCTGATGATAAGGTTCGATATCATGTTAGAACATAAAATAGTAAAATATAAATTTTATATTTATATCATCATTTCATGTTTTAGGTGATTGAAGCAACTGCTGAACAATCTCAAAATGAAACTGTCGAAGAAGTGAAAACTCCGAGCGAAGCAAATGAGGATAAGACTCCTGAAACTCCTGTTACTGAACCCATCACAAATGGCCACAGCACACCCGAGACTCCTCAGGTCGAGACTCTAGCAGCTGATCAGCCGGTTGAGCACGTTGTTAATCCCGATGCTGACAAGACTGAATCCAAGGCTGAGCCTGAACCCGAACAATTACCTGTTAATGGGCTCTCTTTGGAACAATCCAAAACCGAAACTCCTGAAGTAAATGTGAAAACGGTAGAAATTGTTGAGAGTAAAATTGAAGAATCTGTAGCTGAAAAAGAAGTTGTGTCCGTTCCTGAAATCCCTGTTATAAAAGAGGTTTGTGTTGAAAAAGTACCTTTGATAGAGCCATCGCCTCCTCCGCTTCCTGCTAATCCTCCTCCCTCCTCGGTCGCATCCTTTGCTGCCACCACTATGGCACCAGAAATGACTGATGCTTCGCTACCTAACACTGCTGAAACCACATTCACAACACAAGAGCCTGCCGTAACTAATGTGGCTGTACACAATGACACACACGCTGTAAATCCTACGGCTGTTTTAAGCCAGTCACAAACCAATAATACTATCCCTCTCCCATTAAAGGAAGAAATTATAGAAACCACTGATCACAAACCAGAAAAGCTAACTGAAGAAGTGGCTCAAATTTCGGTCGAATTAGCAGACACTGAAGAGAAGATTTCTGAAGTTTTAAAGGATAATTCCAATGTAGAAACAAAAGCTGAAATAACACTCTTTGAAGAAACCACAATAAAAGAAATAAAAAATGAAGATATAGTCTTAAAAGGTCTGATTCAGGATGATATTGCTCATGACACAATTGGTGAAATACAACTGCAAAATAAGCTAGAAAATGCTTCTGAGACTACTAAAAATGAAGAGATAAAACCTGAAGATGGAGATAAAAACAACCAAGAGCCAATACAAAGTGAATTGGTAGCTATTATTGAAAATACAGATCAAAATGGTGGTAACATTAATAAATTGACTTGCGAACAGAACATTGAACAATTAAAAACAGAAAATCAAACAGAATCGCCTACTATTAATATTGACAATAACGATTGTAACAACGTAAACGAGAGTGTAATTTCAGAAGTAGTACCAGACAATCAAGAGCTCTGTAGCATTGATGAAATTAAAACACCTTCATTTGAAGAGTTATTAGAACCCACAGAGGTGACGAAAATGGACATAACAAACATGGAAAAAAAAGATGATTTGAATAACGATGTTGAAGAGTTCCCAGAACCTCCCTCTTTGTCAGGTGACGAAGTTAATTTGACGGAAATTGATGACATTACTCTACATTCGGAATCAAACTTGACAACTAAAGAAGACATTTCGGAGAACGAACATATCCCCGATGACGTTAAACAAAATAACAGTAACGAAAACATGAATAAAACTGACGACGGAAAGATATCTGAGCAATGTGACACAAAACAAACCAACGGGACAGAAGAGATCGACAACATAAAAGAAAGGGAAGAATCTGCTGGAAACAAAATCATTGACGAATGTACAGATATGGTAGAAAATATAATGGAGATCGGCGCGTGCAACGGTAACGCGCAGCTGGCGGCGAAGCAGCAGGCGAGCGAGGAGCAAGCGTCGCCGCCACTCGGTCTGCACACGCCACAGGTGACTACCGTCGGAACTTGACCTTGTAGTGGATTATTAGTTCAGTAATTAAACAACATTTAGAAATCCCGTTAACAGTTGTGTTATAGTTCTATATGCACTTTGACAGCATGCGAGTGAGGATCGTCAATTCTATGAAGAATGAGATGTTTGAAACGATGTACATGTTATGTCACTAAAGCTACAGCTAGTGGTTGCACTCCCTTCCTTATTCCCTTCCTTGACATGCTTCATTTTACAAAAACATCAGCATGAAATTTGTTGCTTTACTGCTAACCATTTTCGTTACATTAAAATATAAAATGTTGTGGACTAAAGTTTTGTTATTAGAATAAAAGAAATTCAAAATGTGAAATTAATACCATGATGAAAAAAACAAGCGCTTGAGTAAGTATCTCATGAAGTAGTATGGTCCATGATAGTATAAAGTATAATTAATTGATTGAACACTAAAATGCTTCATTTTGTACCAAATTGATTTATTTTTTTCTTTTGCCTAAAAAAAAGTAGAAAAGAGCAAAATGATTAAACTTTTAATTGAAAATTTTATTGTGATTCACTGTGATTGTGGATCAAAAACTGTTTAAAAATAAAAGAATGTTAACGTGAAGTGAGTTTTCGGAATAATAAGTTAATAACAATTATTACAGGAACCTCTCCCGATCTCTGACAAGATGGATTTAATTCCCGACGTACCCTTTCCAGAATTAAAACCTGAAACTGTAAGTTGATATTCACATTCATTTTTTTTAAAGAATATCAAGGGGAGATGATATGTTTCTAATAGATTAAAACATGAATACCACCCGGATTATTCTTCATTAATGAAAATGAAATATTTGAGTTCATTATTGTTGTAAAATCATATCTTTTGTTCTTTTTAGGAAACATCGTCGGATGTAGCGGTGGCCAATTAGACATCGTATGATCAAATATAATAGTCCACAACCGCGGGTCAACGTGTCTGAACATATTTTATTTATTACAACTTCGTACTGCGATGTAACATCGAACTTAGTTCGACCATACCTTATATACAATATCAATTACAATGAATTTCAATTTAGAATACCACATATATGGCGTATTTATAAGTTTAGTGTGCTTTGCTTCTGTAAAATTAAGATTATATTATATTCGCTAGGATCGAGTTTTATATTACAATAACAAAGTTATATAGGCAGTATACGGTGCGATAAGTTGGTGCCATTATTACAGGGGTATTAGTTTCGATGTCGTCGGTCACTTCGTCATTGTCCCTTATGAAATAAATGTCACACAAAATTATAAATCGATTATAATTTAGTTTTTTGTGGCTTTTCTATCGATTCCGAAAATNTATTATATTCGCTAGGATCGAGTTTTATATTACAATAACAAAGTTATATAGGCAGTATACGGTGCGATAAGTTGGTGCCATTATTACAGGGGTATTAGTTTCGATGTCGTCGGTCACTTCGTCATTGTCCCTTATGAAATAAATGTCACACAAAATTATAAATCGATTATAATTTAGTTTTTTGTGGCTTTTCTATCGATTCCGAAAATATATGATGAATATTGACGCTGTAGGTCAAAAATTGATATTCAGTTCCTAATAAAATAATACCCTGGTGAATTTCATTTCTCTTAAATTAATTTGGCAGCTTTCAATAAATAATGTGGGTCGTTTTTAGACAAGTTCTTTGCATATATCACTATATTTAAATTGTTCTTCTTGGTAATGTATGAATAACAAAAAGTGTTGTACTGTAATTCTATATTGAAATGGGTGGGTGTATTCTGTGCAGACGACCAGAGATTTTTAGTATATGATTTATACCATTTTCATGCCCATTAATCCGTATGGAATTAAAATGAGATTACCTATTTATTAATTTGTTATCTCATCATTGTGGTTACAAAATGAAGTAAAATGATTTTGTTTTAATGCCTATGCTTTCATCATGTTAAAAGACCTACGGCTTGAACATATTCATGGAGAAATTGTATTCTAATTATAATTATAAAATTAAATGTAAATTTCTAGTAATAATGGATTTGAACAAGAAATTTCTCCTATCTCATTAGTATATTATGTTATTTACACTACTACGAAATATGCTACTCCTATTTATAATAAGTTGTAAAGAATTAGTTTTAACATCGATCGTTCTGTGAATATCAAGTAAAATAAATTTAAATTAAAGTATTCATGAAATATCTGCAAATTGTAACAGAATTAGGGAAACTGATAAAAATCAAGAGAAAATGGTACCTGGAAATTGACAGTTATTATTCTTTCAATTATGATGAATGTCGAGTATTTAGTGGCCAATTTTGTAATTATACTTTACTTTTTTATGCATATACAGACATTTAATATTTAGAAATACTTAGAGGTAAACTTTAGATGTGTGTAACAGTTAACAATGGCGGCGTAATATCTAAACATTGTACTATCGTTTTCCACTTTATCATGACATTTTATTACAACGTGATTCGGTATTTTTAGGAAATTGTCATTTCGTATCGTAGTTTATGTCTAGTGTTACAAAAAATTGTTTCGAAATCATTTTTGTAATTTTATACATTTTTATAAAAATTTTTAGACAGCTGTGAGGTTGGAGATTTCCAAAATAAAATAGCAGTTAGCACGAGTGAGACATTCCATATCAAAAAAACTCGCCATTCCTAATGCCAATAAAAGTAGTGTGTGTTTGTATCGTGCGCTTGTAACATCTTTTATTATAGAATAAACACAAGACTTAAAAAAATATGTTTTCACTCTGATGTTAGAACTCTCACAAAACCAAGATTCTTTTAATTGCGAGTTCTCGGTGAAGTAAGAAAATTAAATGGAGGCCGCCGAGCGCAAAAGTGATCTAAGCCTACCATGATATGGAGATAATGATGTTTGAATTTACTTTTACACTGCTTCGTAGGCAAAAACAATACGCGCAATAATAATGTTTACAAAGCCATGTGTTAACTATAGGCGAAACTAGGGATAGGCCTGTTTTGCTTCAAAAATTGTTTAAAATAAGTTGCAGAACATAAGCACGAATATGAAAAAAAGTGGGTTAGGCAACTTATGCGCTGGCGGCCTTTATTGTAATGAGCATCCTTGGAATTTGCTTAAAATTAATGTACTATTTAGGAAAGTGTTTTGCACACAAATCAGCTTTGATTAGTAAGTTTCCCTATTGGAAACTACTACATACTTATAGAGTTCACCTTGCAGGCTGGTTTTCTGTATTGTTGAGTTGGTTGGTCAAGAAATTAAAACACATTTCATGATTTCAATAGTGCATTTGGAATTGTTTGCTCATTATAGCAATGTCGAATTTTGTAAGATATTTGATAATTGCTAATTTTATAGGTAATTATGTTATTCCAATTATTATTAAATATAAATGTTGATGTGTGAATGTCTCTAAATAAATAAATAAATAAATAAAATTATTTTATTCCTTTAAACAAATCAAATGGTTCTGTAATTGTTAGATGTCACAGATTGATGATGATGACCTTCCACTCCTGGTTTTCATTAATAGGACTTTAAACCTATAAAGTTGTAGTTTTACAATACTGGACATTTGAAAAATAAATTATGTATAGCTGCAATAAATTCTAAATTTAAATGAATTTTATTTTAAAGATTTTAGGAATTATTTTCAAGTTCTGTAACTTTTTGTACATTTTACATAGGTACCACATTTTGTATGCATTTCATTCATATGGACACGATAAAAATACGAATAATTAATACCAGTTCCGTCGCGGCAGCGATGCGGCTTAAACGGCTCACAACATTAATGAAGTGTGCGGAGTAAACCCTACAAACTAACCCACGACCCATTATTCGGTTGAAGACTTCCGACAAGGAAATTTTGATCGAAACAATGAACCCCGTGGTCGGCCGACAACTAAAATCAATAACAACAAATGGTGGTAGTGGAAGCTGACGATGGTCAATGTAGGTACCTAAATTAGCAGCAGCTTTAAGATTTAGTATCAAAAATATATTGGTTTCATTTTTCTTCGAAAAAGTGGCGCGATGCGATGACCCTCTTATCGTGGCCGCCTCTAACTACATATCCGAGCCAAGCGAATGGGCAACGCAAAGCCGCCGTCGCCAAGAATATTTGTCGGATTCTCCGGATCCACTCTCAGTGCTTTTAGGCTCCAAGCAGTGCTAACTGTTCTCGTCGAAAAGTTCGACGTGCAACCTATCCTATAGACACAACGCATTGAGTTTCTCGCCGGTTCTTATCAGTGGGTCGTAATTTCGACCCGATGGTAGATTAGGCAGGGAAAAAGGTCCAATTAGCAAGGTAAAAACTTGTTAAGTGGGTTCCACACGAATGGAACAATGCTTAACATACAGAAACGAACTTTCGATTAAAATTTATTCTTTTTGATAGTTGGAGCGGTCATTTAACATGACTTGGTTTACCTAGGTAATGTCCCAAAGAAAAACTTACTCCAAAAAAGTCATGGTCGCTGTTTGGTGGTAATGCCACCAACATTACTGCGAATGTGTACTGTGAGGAACTGGACACAATTATCAAGAAGCCCGCGGAGCTCTGGCCAAGCTTGGTTAATAGCTCACCTCCGTTGTTCCTACACGAGAACATTCGACCACATACGGCACAAGAGACGGTCCTAAATTACAAGAACTAAGGTTAAAAGTTTTGCGTCATTCATCGAACTCACCAGACCTTGCGCCAACAAACTTCTACATTTTCCAAGGTTTGGACAACTTGGTAGGGAAAAAAGCCCATTGAGTTTCTCGCCGGATCTCAGTGGGTCGCGTTTCTGATCAAGTGGTAAATTCTGCGAAGCACTGCTCTTGCTAGGGCCAGTGTTAGCAACGCCTCTTGGCATGAGCCCCGAGAGCTCACCGACACCTCATTACCTCATCTTAGGTAGGAAAAAATAGATAATTGAGAAGCAGTACAAAATGTCTGAAGAGTTAGTTGGCTCCCATACACCTGACTTCTTCAAGAAAGGCATTGAACAATTACCACTTCGCTGGCAGAGATGCATTGACACCATGGGTGCATGTTTTGCTTGATAGAAATAAACATTATTTACAAAAAAAATATCTTTCCTTTCTGTGGACTAAACCGAGATTTCGTAGTAAAGATTCAATAACGTGACTTCCGTGTTTAACGATTGCTTTATCCACATTACCATACCTAGAGACATTATGAGTTAGTGAAAGGTCGCAAGGAGGCTGTTCATTGCAGCTTAGATTGTTTGAGAGATTATATTGCCTAACTTATTTAATGACATACTCTTTACAGAATTACATCTTAATGAAATTATGGATATATTGCGACCAATGTGTCAATCAAATTATGAAATAACATAATCAGCTTGCTTTCGGTAGCAGAATCACGCTACATGCATTAAAAAGCGTACTCTTTTTTCTTGGTATTGTTGAAAATTTTGATTTTGAAATCAATCATGATTTGCATGTGACTAACCAGGCGTGTTAACTGTGCATAATTATATTGTTAAAATCAAGTGGAAATCCATTCAGCATTTTTTCTTAGATATCTTACACAGTTTGAGTAAACCGTAGTAGACCATGAGCAGACTACAGTAGGCCCTCCAAAACAGAAGGCCATAATCCCCTCTGTGTGCAATGGCAATAAAAAATAATCTTTAGTTTGTATTAATTAAACTATAGGGAATCAGACAGAAAATAAAATGCCACTGTTTTTGCAATATATTTATATTTCAATAATTTTTAATCAATGTTGAGTATTTATCAATATTTTGCTTGGTATTAAAATTCAGTACTCTAGGTTCAGTAAAGCTGGGTGCTGCCACCATGTAATTGCACTGTGCAGTGCCACTGACTGATTGCAGGCTGATTTATGAAATTTCAAGATGGAAAAGTATATACTTCATCATTCTTTCTTATTACCCTCTGCTGGGGTGTAGGGCATATAAATATAATAATATATATAAAGTATATACTTAGCTTAAAAATATATATTTTGTTTCTATGTACTGCAGTATTTAATAGTCATGTTAATTTTGGGAATTATCTCTATATTAACATTAGTGATGCAGGAGTATCGTAGGAGCCTTAGCATTTTTCAAATTTATTTCCAGATCCCCAAGCACAAATCCACAGATACAGGAAATCTGTCTTGCACTGAGGTCTTTTCAACAACATTATTGTAAATACAGTCAAACCTGGATAAGCGAGAGTTCAAGGGAGCACAATCTCATTCTCGCTTATAGAGGTTTCTCACTAACCCGAATTTCTCGCTAATGCACCCTCTGAATTTCATTTCGCGATTTTCTAGATTCAAACACATTCACTATTATAAGTTTATCATCACTTAATGACAGTATTTTAATTTTCCGTTTTGACATGATGCAGAACAGAACTTTTCTTCGCAATTGATTAACGATAAACTGAGTAAGTCCGACAAACAGGACGGTACACAGGCACACGTGTCCATTCAAAAAGAATGCGATAAAATAACAAGTTATTTAGTTTCACGAAATAGAATAGGTTCAATATTGACGAGAAAACAATACAAAAACAATTGTAGGAAGTTCCACGAAAGTTAAAAATGAGTCATAAAATAGCAGATGTTAAATTTGTAATTTGTTTTGTCATTTGTCCCTCCTAAATAATATAAATAACTAAAGCTCAACTGTCGCTTATAGAGGTATAATAGATAAGTAGCAGTCTCGCTTACGGAGGTCCATGAGGGAAAAACGACTCTCTTATCAAGGTTTCTGTTTCTCGCTAATAGAGGCTTAAAATGACGGTTCCTGGCTATTACTCTCACTTATAGAGTTTTCTCACTTATCCAGTTCTCATTTACCCAGGTTTGACTGTAATTATATACGAAAATAAAAATGGAAATAATCAAAAAGTGAGATCACCTTTAAGGCACTGATCAAAGAGTAAACTTATTATATAAAATGTGAACTATTTAAAAAAATATGGGATTACTCAGTCTGAATTCAGCTTTAGAGCAAAGTTTGTTTCTAAAGCCATGAATTATATTTTAATTCTTCATTTTACCAGAATGTATAGTATTTCATTCAAGTTATTACTCTTTCGAGGGAATTTATCATTCTAAGCACCATTTCTTTATCAAGATCATAAATCATTGTATTTGCTTCTCCATTAAAATTTATAGAGCTTGTTATCAGTTGCAGGATAGGGTACTGACTAGTTTTAGATTCGCTGCTCCCAAGAACAAGCTTCAAGAGCCAATCAAAGCTAGTAATAACTTCCCCATACGAACAATTGTGATGATAAATACTCATTAGTACAATATCTGACAATTTTTTTTTCAATAAATCTAAAAAAGCGATAAGTTTTTCTTGATTCCAATCTTTAGTGTTCAAGTGTTCTATAATCATGTTAATGTCATATTTATTCGTTGAAATGATAGTCCGGAGCTCCTGTTTTGCAGTTTGAATCACATTATTTTCAACAATTTCTGAAATCTTTTCATCGCTTCGAGTATACATGTTGTTTATTATTTCGTTACATATCTAATAAGGAAGAATTTATTTTTAGTATGTATTGGTTTCACTTTAAAGAAATTCAAAGACATTTAAAATAGACAATTTTGTACTTACTATATCAAAATGTTCTATAGAGTTTATTTTCTTGAATATAATATCCATTTCAGTATATATTTTGATAATACACAATTAGTTAGATTTTAATAAATTGATTGAAGATCAGTACGCTACCTATTCAAAATTTCAAATCATTGTTGTAATCTTTTTTTTAGGTATTTTTCGACCTGGTAACTAAGACCTTTAAGGCATGTCTTATTTTTATTTATATTCTTTTTTAATGAAAAATTCTAATATGGAGTGAAATGAAATGAAATGATTAATTTGAGACATTAATAAACTGGGATGAAATTAAATGAAATGAGGTGAGATGAAATGATATGGGATAAAATATAATTTTAGTAAGATGGTGGTCATTTACTGAAATTTTTCAGTGGACTTTTTGGAGGATCCCGAGAAGTTACGTCCAACGGCTATGTTTCATTATCCCACATTTGTGCACTTTCACAGATATTAAACAGTTAATAAACCACCATTATTACACATTTAAACTTGAAGAAACACTAAATTCTAAATAGACAAAATAAAACAAATGACACAACTTCACTCCTCGCGTTCCCGCCAAAAAGCCGTTATTACACTTTTTTTAAGGGATTTTATGACCTGGTAACTAAGACCTGTAGGTCAAGTCTTATCTTAATTTTTAATCTTATTTTTATGAAAATTTATAATATGGAGTGAAATGAAATGAAGATGATTAATTTGAGACATTAATCAATTGGGATGAAATTAAATGAAATGAGATCAGATGATATTTAAAGGATGAAATAGAAGTCGTCGTGGCCTAATGGATAAGACGTCCGGTGCATTCGTGTTGAGCGATGCACCGGTGTTCGAATCTCAGGCTGGTACAAATTTTTCTAATGAAATACGTACTCAACAAATGTTCACGATTGACTTCCACGGTGAAGGAATAACATCGTGTAATAAAAATCAAACCCGCAAAATTATAATTTGCGTAATTACTGGTGGTAGGACCTCTTGTGAGTCCGCACGGGTAGGTACCATCACCTTGCCTATTTCTGCCGTGAAGCAGTAATGCGTTTCGGTCTGAAAGATGGGGCAGCCATTGTAACTATACTTGAGGCCTTAGACCAAAAATATAAATATATATTTGTGGCATCTTCTGTTTTTCTATGTTTAAACTAAACTAAATACCTACCTATGCGATTTATGCGAAATCAAAAAAAGAGGTAGGTACTTACGTAGGTAGGTACGTTAATATCGAATACGCTAAAGTACCCGAGTAGGTACTTCTTCAAATTAAAACCTGTCAAATGTGTTGACTTGCAAAAAATCATCCATTTAAATAAGTTTATAAAAGGATAGAAGAGCATTTTATTTTATTCGAACAATTCTGAATTTGACAGTGATAACAAGCTTACAAGGCCCCGATTACTCATTTTATATAAGACCCTCCGAATACAGCCTGTTGATATATATATCTGTGTCATAAAATGCGCTAAATACAAGGTGCCGTTTCTAGTAGATACGGTAATACCGAAAATCAAGATTTATGAGAAACATTGCCAGAATGAAGCGATCCTGTGATGGATAGCCCGTAAATTAATGAACACTATAGTCGGATTTTTAATTAGACGAAGCCAGCTGACAGTAGCTAATGTCACTTTGTGAAATAATGTTGCTATATTTAAAGTAATAGTGATGCGTTCAGTTCTCGTTCAATCACATGAATGAACAATGAGTGTGAAGAGTTAATCATTAATTTCAAATTATAAAAGAATATAATTTATATTGTACAACAAAATTGTATTAAAGTGCTCCAATATATGTTACTAGTATGTAACTACAATCAGTTTTTTTATTTTCATTACCTACCTATAATTGTTATATTTTATACATCTATAGTTTCAACTATATGATGTATTGGAAATAGGACAGTCTTACAAGCTTCCTCGCAATGTTTTTCTTAATGTTTAAAACACTCGATATTCCGTACAGGTAGATACTTTAGGAACATAATATTTCGTCGAAAAGTCGTTGGTATGTACAAAGCACGCCTAAAATTCGAACCCCGTACCAGATATCGGAAATTCGGCACACCGACTATTCACTAGACAATCGAGGCAATTTAATTAATTCAGGAGTTTTTTCAATCGTTCACTTTGTCACAACACTATTTTTATTTCATCAAAAACTGACAACACAGTAAACGTCAGTTGACTTCGTCTAATAAAAAATCCGACTATAGAGGTAAAGTAATTAAATCAAAATTCGCATTAAAAATTAAAATAAAATTACAATTTAATGGTTTGGATTCATTATAACTATCTTTGTCGCTGCAAAGAAATATGTGTCTTATATTAATTTTCAGTGCTCTGGCATTAATATGCTACTTTAAAAAAGTCACGTCCGACGTAATTATCATGCAAAATAATACACAGTACAATATTTTTCACCAAAATCAACTGACAATTCCAGCATCTTTTGCTAAGGAGTAGAAAATGGAGTTTTTATCGTTAAGTAGTTGTTGAGGGGCCGCATATTCTACGAGCTGCCCGCGGTCGAGCACCATCACTTTGGTGGAGTCCATGATGGTGTTGAGGCGGTGCGCGATAGTGAGCACCGTGCACGACGCGAACTCCGAGCGGATCGTCTTCTGGATGAGGTCGTCAGTCTCGAGGTCGACGGCCGCGGTGGCCTCGTCCAGCACCAGCAGCGGCGTCTTGCGTAGCAGCGCGCGCGCCAGGCACACGAGCTGGCGCTGTCCCACCGACAGGTTCTCGCCGCCCTCCGCCACCTCGTGCCGCAGCCCGGCCGGCAGCCCCTGCACGAAGGCACGGAGGTGGGCGTGTTCCAGCGCGCGCCAGATCTCCTCGTCGCTATACGCCTCGAACGGGTCCAGGTTGGTGCGCAGCGTGCCCGAGAACAGGATCGGCTCCTGCGGGATGATGGTGATGCGCGACCGCAGCTGGTGCAGCCCGAGGGTCGCGATGTCGACGCCGTCGATCAGGATGCGTCCGGCGGCTGCCTCCACGATCCTGAGAACCGTACCGTAACGGATCAGATGCATATCGCACAGATAGACTGCGATCAGGCCCTTGTGTGGTCGAGTAAGATAGAGAGAGAAATAGAGAGAGAAAGAGAGAGAGAAAGAGAGAGAGAGAGATCTCACCTGAAGAGCCCGAGCGTGAGAGTAGACTTGCCGGCGCCGGTGCGTCCCACGATGCCGAGCTTGTCGCGCGGCGCGACCGTGCACGTGACGTCACGCAGCGCCGGCTCGCCGGGGCGGTACTCCAGCGTCAGCTGCTCCAGCTGTAGCGCTCCCGTCTCGGGCCACGTCACGCCGGGCCCTTTCCCTAAGTTCCACGCAGCTTCCTAATAAAAGCAGTTATTCGGAAATTTCAAAAATTCACATGAGTGCTTATCGATTTATCTCTCGCAATTTCATTTAAAATAGGTTATTAAAACAATTACGGCTCAAATCAATCGATTGCCTTCTAATTAAACAATATTGGTAGAATCTTACCTTATTTTTCTCAGAGTATTCTTTTATCCGTTCTACAGCTACAATATTACTTTCAATTTCAGAAGCTAGCCGAACAAGCCAATTCAACGATGCAGTTACCTAAAGTCCAAACGTAATCTTTTATTAATTCAAAGAATAATAATTTTAAAATAACGTTGTGCTTGTTTTTCTTTAAAGCTAAATTACCTGCATAGCGTAGGTTAAGGAAAGTCCCACGAGACCCGAGCTTATAGTATCTCTGCTGAGAACAGCAAACATTGCAGCGAAAAATAATATGAAGTTTCCAATGAATTCTAATCGGAAACCAAGCCATCGCTTTCCTACTACAATCGCATAGCAATAAGCGAGGTTGCGATCTAACTTTTCATTTGATTCTTCAATAAACCTGCAAATATAACTTAAATATTTAACTGATTACAGAAGTGAGCGAAGCATTCATCATTTTGCTCATTTTGAAATGATAGAGGAGTAACGCACATCATACCCTTTCATGCAATGTGTTCTCGGGCGAAGTGGATATGTGTCTTACCATTAATGCGCAAGTGGTGGTTATTAACCGAATTAATAAGACGGGTATTATGAAGGGTAGAAGAAATAGGTATCAGAACATTGTAAGGTTATGATTACAGCGTTACTGCTTTGCATGATGTTGCATGCCGCGTATCTTAATATAACTAGTCAGGTCATAAGTATTGTCACACAGTAAAAACTTTTCTTTTAGAATGCTGGCCACAAAAAAGTTTGTTGAATTCGAATTTCGAATTGTTCATGAAAATAAAAATGTATACTTTTAGAATTTTACTCATTTTTAAATATGGAGTGGACGCTTAAAGAAGACCGTGTTGCAGTTATTGCGTTGCATCGTTGCGGTTACGCGCCAATTCAAATTTTTAACATACTGAAAAATTTGAATATAACCAAAAGATTCGTTTATCGTACCATCAAACGATACAATGAAGACTCTAGTGTAGATGACAGGTCAAGAAGTGGTCGCCCTCGGTCTGTTAGGACTCCAGCAGTGATAAAAGCTGTGAAGGCGCGAATTCAAAGAAATCCCAAACGTAAGCAGAAACTGTTGGCCCTTCAGATGGGGTTAAGCAGAACCACGGTGAAAAGGGTGTTAAATGAAGACTTAGGGCTTCGGGCATATCGAAGAAAAACAGGACATCGTTTGAATGCTCGTCTAATGGACCTGAGACTGAAGAGATGCCGCGCTTTGTTGAAGCGGTACGCGGGAAAAAAATATCGGGAAATTCTTTTTTCGGATGAAAAAATTTTTACCGTAGAAGAGAGCTACAACAAACAAAATGATAAGGTGTACGCACACAGTAGTGAAGAAGCGAGCAACCGTATTCCGCGTGTCCAACGAGGTCATTTTCCATCCTCGCTCATGGTATGGTTGGGAGTTTCTTATTGGGGCTTAACAGAGGTACATTTTTGTGAGAAAGGTGTAAAAACGAATGCAGTTGTGTATCAAAATACAGTCCTGACGAACCTTGTGGAACCTGTTTCTCATACCATGTTCAATAACAGGCACTGGGTATTCCAACAAGATTCGGCGCCAGCTCATAGAGCGAAGAGCACACAAGACTGGCTGGCGGCGCGTGAAATCGACTTCATCCGGCACGAAGACTGGCCCTCCTCCAGTCCAGATTTGAATCCATTAGATTACAAGATATGGCAACACTTGGAGGAAAAGGCGTGCTCAAAGTCTCATCCCAATTTGGAGTCACTCAAGACATCCTTGATTAAGGCAGCCGCCGATATTGACATGGACCTCGTTCGTGCTGCGATAGACGACTGGCCGCGCAGATTGAAGGCCTGTATTTAAAATCACGGAGGTAATTTTGAATAAACTTTAGTGTCATAAGAATCTATGTTTTGTTAAGTTCATTTTGGTATATGAATGGTTACATAATGAATAAACTTGTTTCAATTATTTTACATTAAACATGTGACAGAATTTATGACCTGACTAGGTATATAATACTAGCTAACCCGGCAGACTTCGTAGTGCCTCAATCGATAAATAAAAGACCTAAGCTTTTGTATAAAATAAACTTAAAACAAACAAAAAATCCGTACGACGGGGGAGACATCAAAGGAAAAACAAAATTGTTATTTTTATTTAATTCCGAGCATTTTCATATTTATCTACATTTTAAACCTTCTCTGGACTTCCACAAATAATTCAAGACCAAAATTAGCCAAATCCGTCCAGCCGTTCTCGCAAGACTAACGAACAGCATTTCATTTTTATATGTACAGATTATAATTTAGTCAGACCCAAGTGTTGAGCTGATTTACCAGCCTGCGGCTTTAGATCCACACTGTCAGGGCAGTAGGTGTCAATAAATGGCACACCGGAGAGAAAAGTTGAAAATGTTTCCTATGGTTAACATTCGTAGCATTGTTTTGATCATCATCATAAAGGCGTTATCATTAACGAGACAAATCTGAATCAACATTCATAAAATAAAAATATTAACAATGTATTTAACGGTGAGACGACAACGAAGTTACTGCTTTTTCTAAAGAAATTGTTGGTTACTTGAAGTGAACAGGCTTACCTTTAATTATGGAAATATAGCGTGATCCATTTTAGAATTATAAATGTAAAGTAGCTGAAATCGCGAGTACACCTAATAGCATTTTATAATGAAAATCAGCAATTGGATACCTATACCATGCCATATCAGGAGATTAAAGACACGATGTCGAATATCTATGATTTTTAAATTCGTTTAAATACTTTATTGAAGCACTGCTTTTCGATTTACCAGATTTTATTTATATGCGGATGATTCATTTTTACTGATAGATTTCTATGCGGCCACTTATAGAACCCAAATCGAAAAAAAAGAACTACAATAATTCATAGTTAATTCTAAATATTATTTTTGTAATAAAAACTATAGGTATTTAAAAAATTATACCTCTCGGTTACGTTGAAAGCGCGAATGGTGGCTGCTCCACTGATCGTTTCGCCGAAGTGTGAGAATATCGGCGAGCGAGCTATGGACTCTAGCCGCTTGAGCTGACGAGACGTAGCCACGTAGAACCGTTGTATTACATAGTACACTAGACCTACTGGTACAACTATTGCTAAGAATGATGGCGTCGACAAGCTTATCACGAATAAAATGCCAATGAGCTGTGAATAAATATATTTAGATGAGTTCAATCGGAATATATTTAGGGTACCTTTTTACGTATATACAAATATATACATATATAGGTGGAAGGGGGATTCTGAAGAATTGTTTGGGATTGATCAAGTGATATTGTTTTACTATCGCACCGCCTTAATATCTAGAACCACTAGAATCATTCACAGTGCTTTTACAGATATCTTTATTTCCACATACCATTAGGCTTTGGAATGAACTCCCACCCACGGTGTTTCCTGAACACTATGACATGTCCTTCTTCAAGCAAGGCTTGCGAAGTACTCAAATGTAGGTCAAGCGGTTTGACTGTGTCTCTAGCATGATAACTAGAGATGAATGGCGATAACCACTTCTCGCCAGGTAAGCCGTATGCTCGTCTGCCTATAAAGTAAAAAGTAATAATATATATTCATTGATTAAGTATGTTTACTCACTTCGAAGACGCAATACACCCCATTGATTAATTGAGAAGGTAGCATAGAGTCAATAATTTCAATATCTTTAGAGAATCTTGACAGTATTCTGCCAATAGGCGTGACTTCGAAAAAATGCAACGGCGTCTTTAACACATTGTCCAGTAACAGTTCGTGGATGACCTTCGCAGCTCGCCAGCACGCCAAGTATGGTATCAAGTCGGCTAGAAATGACGATATCGCTGAAAAGCAAATTTAAAATCATATTTCAATTTAAGCGGTACGTACTTGTCCAAATGATTAATGATTTATTAATCGTATGTCAGTGGTCCCATTTTTTATTACATTATTTAGGGTTGTCATAAAATTATGAAATTTAACGTAACGAACGCACAATGGCATGTTTTTAAACACCTACAAAAATTTAATAAAATGAAAGCCATTGACACAAATAATTAATTGAAGTAATCGTCAGAGAGGACCTTGAGCTAATCGTACCTTGTCCCATACCGAGGCCAGCGTATACTGCGAGGTACTTGTTCCGCTGGTTCAAATTCATAGTACTGTTAACAACCTGAAAAAAATAATCGAAACCAGTGATTAGGCGAATGTGAATTCATTCAAAGATCATTTTAAGTTCAAAATCACTTTACTCGTGACTAGGGGTCTAGGGCAGCTGTCGGGGAACTTTTTTAATTATTACACCAAAATATTTTTGTGTAAGTTGATATTATTACCCCATGGCGAAGAACAAAAAAAAACGAAATCTCTTCTTTTTAGCATATTTCATATTAAAGCCCCCATGATAATTTTGAAAAGAAAACGATAACTAAAAACTTAATTTAAACATCATTTATTCAATTTATCAATACATACATTTGTGTGTTTGTGTCTCTATGAACTTATTTTTTCGTTTCGTTTCATTTCGTTTCATCGAGTTTGAAATCACAATGATTCTAAAGAAGTTTCACTTCAATATATACTTTTTACTCACAAAAGTTTCATTTTTACCCCCCAAAATTTCACTTTACCCCATTTGGGGTAATTTGCCCGGTTCCCCGACCGCTGATCTAGGGGGACAAGGGGAACTAGGAGTCGTTTTTTTTTCCTACCTATGCTGATAGTCTTGAAAAGCTATTTCAGCGTAACCTTAACTAGTAGGTGAGCTTACGGGGCTCAAACCTGACGACGTTGCTAACACGAACACTAGAAAGAGCCGTGCTTCGCAGAATCTACCACCGGATCGGAAACGCGACCTACTGAGAAGATCTGGCGAGAAACTCGGTGGGCTGTGTCTGTGGGTTAATTTACTTGTCGAGCCCTTCGTGGTAAGCGACGGGTTCGGCGAGGATGCTGCCCCGTGCTTGAGGTACCCAAAAGCTTCGTTAATTCATCGGGAGGATCCATAATGACGTGTTCAGGACAGTATTGCTTACACATAGCGTGCTAGCGTTATGTTGGACGAACAAAATTGTGGTAAATTCATTGAATTCACGTACTTCGTTCTCGTTGTCGGACCATTCTGCCAACCAATAGCTCGAACCGATATGAAAGAGCTGTAGAACCACGTTCATTAGTATAGTAGCTGCTGCGGCCAGTACGCCGATGTTTTTCAAGTAGTGCTTGTAAACCATCCACGAAACCTAAAATTCCACGGTAGTTACTTAATAAAAATTTTATCTCGTAAAATTAAACAGGACTTTTTTTATCATACGAAGAGTTTCTTACACTGCCCCTTTCAGATTTTTCTTTTTCAGTATAACTAACGTGCTCGGCGGATTTATTTAAAATAATTTCTTCGATACTTCTTTTAAAGCTGATAGCTAGTTTTCCTGAAATACAAAACAAAATAAATTTGTCATAACAAAATCGAATAGTACAACTCGACCAAGCTAAGTTTGCACCTCGCATCGATTACGTCATACTGCCGCTTAGGTATGGTCTGAAAAAGGATTCGCTATAACTTTAAAAATGTAAAAAAATGTTTGTTAGATTTTACTTTGCATTTACTGTTTTTAACAATATATTATACATTAGAATATAGCGATATCGGGTTTTTGTATTAAGACCACACGGGCGTTCTTGTACTCTTCTTCTTAAAATTTGTATCTCAATTGCTCAGTAATAACTTTCCTTTATGTTACTTTTTCAGGATTATGTTTCTCCCTTCACTGTGTATCACCTTTCTTTTCATTTTGTTGCCCACACAAATCCTCTCAAAGTAAAAAAAATGAACATTGATCGTTCAGTAACAACAATACAACAAAAACTTAAAAAAAAAGTCCAATAATATAACTAAACATCAACAAAAAAACTAACAAGAACAGTTAAAAAATGTAAAATTCAAGGGATAGGGAGACGAAAATTCGTATGACGCGTGTCGGAGAGAAAGATGCTAACCGTACTGATGCGACAGGGCGATCGCGGGAAGGTGAGCGGGGAAGCGGGCGGAGCGCCGCATTCCAGCGAGATGAAAACTTAGCTTGGTCGAGTTGTACTTACAAACTTTGAGTTAACAATGATATTACCTGATCTGTCCTCTGCTTCTGAGTTGCTCTCGGAATGTAAACGAATTCTTTGTAAATTCTGGTGGGATTCTGTCCTTGAACATCTGTATTCGTGGTCTTGTTTTCTGACAGCTGAAATTAATATAAGAGTTTAAAAAATATATGTAGGTACGAAGGATCAAGAGTTTAGATCAGTGATTATCAAACTTATTTCTTTTACCGCCCCCTTTGAAAATCAATTATTTTTCAGCGCCCCCCATTTTTTATACACCCCTAAAACTTTAAAACCACAATTTCATTAATGTAATTTATATATGTTGTATTAATTTTAGTAAATGTACCACGTAGTACATGTGTATTTGTAGATGCTATTATTTTTTCTTCATATTATTATATGTCCGTACATTGCTACAGAGCGTGTATTTACAAATTTGCAAAGTAAAAATGAATTCTTCTCATCAATATGTTTGTTTAAATTCAGAATTACCAAAATAAATAGCTAGTTCACTGTACTATTACTATGCTAATTTATTAGAACGAAACTATTTTTGTTGAATATCTTTCTCATTAATATAAGATTCTCATCATAAGATAATTAAAAATTTATATTTCGACTAGTAAATAATACTACTAACAATAATAACTTATTAAACTACGAATAAGCTAATCCTGGAAGTCGTAGAGGATTTCATTTATCATATATGTCCCAAATGGACCGTGTTTGGGTGGCATTTTTCTCTACGGCGCAGAGACTTGGACCCTCAAGAAAGCCGACCGCCAACGCATCGACGCGTTTGAGATATGGCGCTGGAGGAAAATGCTCGGGATTCGTTGGACAGAACACAGAACCAAAGAATCCATTCTTACCTAGCTCAAGACTCCAATGCGCCTCCGCACTACATGCGCGAGGAAGAGTTTCGAGATCTTTGGACATATCGCCAGAAAGAGAGGTGACAATCTGGAAAAGCTGCTGGTAACAGGCAAGGTATGCGGGAGAAGGCACATAGGCAGAAATCCAATGTGCTGGTCGGACCAAATACGCTCCATTCTCCGGTAACCGTACTCTTCGAACTCGACAAAGAGTTCGCCGTGCAACCTAACCCATGAATCAGCTCGCTGAGTTTCTCGCCGGATCTTCTCAGCGGGTCGCGATTCCGATCCGGTAGTAGACTCATTCGCGAAGCAGCTACTCTTGAGCTGTTAGGTCTCCTTCGGAGGCGCTCGGGTAGCTGTTAGCAAATCCCACCCCTCCTGGCTGAGCCTTTGCTCGCCCACCTGTCCTGGTGAAACTGGAAAGGCCTCTGGGCCACCAGTAATCCTTCAATCATAAAAAAAAAGTCCACGTTGCTATCCACACAGCCGAGGACAACCAGGAATGGCGCAAGATGATGCAGGAGAAAGTTATTAGAGGAGGCTACGACCCTCAGCACTGAGGATTATTGACGCAAGAAGGAAGGAAACTACGAAAAATAAATTAATATCATTTCGTATTATAGATAAATATGGGTAATTTTTCTTAGAATTTTAGATTATAATTTAGAACTGGTTCAAATAAAAACCGCCGCCTAAGTCAGCGTTTTTATTATTTGTAATAATTAATATCTATACTAATATTATAAAGAGGAAAGATTTGTTTGTTGGTATTAAATAGGCTCCGAAACTACGAAACCGATTTGAAAAATTATTTCACTGTTTGGAAGCTTCACTATTCCCGAGTGACATAGGCAATAATCATTTTTGAAAAAAATTAGGTATTCTTACTAAAACTTCAATAATTTAACCCAAGGTGTAAAAAAAATTACCTAAAATATTCTTTACGTCGCGTGCCCTACGAAAACTATTGATGATAGAATAAAATAATGTACTACGACTTTGTAAAAAACATTATTATTTACAAAAAGTGTCGCGACAGCATATGTCTAACTATTATAGTTATGCCGCAATAAGTGTTCTTTTATTTGAAAAATTGCCCCTGGTAAGACACGGAGTGCCCCCCTACCTTCGCCGACTGGTGGCTTCTTACTTGGAGGACAGATCGGTCACGTGTACTGAGCACGGTGGGATCGTGCACATGTTTCCGGTCGTGCGCGGTGTTCCACAGGTGTCGGTGCTCGGCCCCCTTTTGTGGAATATCGGGTATGACTGGGTACTGAGAGGTGCCCTCCTCCCGGGCCTAAGCGTAATCTGTTACGCAGACGTGACACTCAGTAAATCCGAGGCCATGTGGTTCCACAGGCCGCGGAGAGTGCCACCTGTCGATGCCCATATCGTGGTTGGAGGCGTCTGTATCGGGTCGGGGTGCAGTTGAAGTACCTCGGCCTCATTCTGGAGAGTCGTTGGACCTTCCGTGTTCACTTTCAGAACCTGGTCCCTCGTTTGTTGGGGGTAGCCGGCGCGTTAAGCCGGCTTCTTCCCAACACCGGGGGGCCTGACCAGGTGACGCGCCTTATACGAGGCGCCCGCGTGGGGCCAGTCACTGGCCGTGGGGGTAGCGAAGTTGCTGCAACGGCCGCAACGCACCATCGCGGTCAGGATCATCCGTGGTTATCGTACCATCTCTCAAGGCGGCGGGTGTACTGGCTGGGACGCCGCCTTGGATCCTGGAGGCGGAGGTACCCGCCGCTGACTATCAGTGGCGGGCTAGCCTTCGTGCCCCGGGCGTGGCGCGTCCCAGCCCCAGTGTGGTCAGAGCGCGGAGGGCCCAATCTTGGCGGTCCGTGCTGGAGTCATGGTCCAGGCGGCTGGTCGATCCTTCGGCTGGTCGTAGGACCGTCGAGGCGATTCGCCCGGTTCTTGTGAATTGGGTGAATCGTGACAGAGGATGCCTCACTTTCCGGCTTACGCAGGTACTCACTGGGCATGGTTGCTTCGGTGAGTTCCTGCACCGGATCGGAGCCGAGCCGACGGCAGAGTGCCACCATTGTGGTTGCGACTTGGACACAGCAGAGCATACGCTCGTCGCCTGCCCTGCATGGGAGGAGTGGCGGCGTGTCCTCGTCGCAAAAATAGGAAACGACTTATCGTTGCCGAGTGTTCTGGCATCGTGGCGCGGTGACGACGAGTCGTGGAAGGCGATGCTTGACTTCTGCGAGATGCACAGGCCCGACGCAATCGAGCGGGGTCCAGAGAGGCGGATCTCGTCTAAGCCCTGGCCTGGCAAGTGTTTCGGATCTCCCTCACATGTCGGCCTGGGGACCGGCGAAGGGGGCCTAAGAAGACGACGTGCAAGCTGATCTGCACACGTTTTACGCATGAGCATCCGGGTGATGGAAGGCCGGCTATCCTCAACCCACGCTGGTTCTGACCCAGCGGGGTATTCCGTAGGATAGACCATTCTAACCGGCGCCATATAGGCGGGCTTCGGACAGCCTGCCGACCGAGAGGGCTGGTGGTCGTGGCGCCGACGACCGCCAGTCCGGCGTCCCGAGGGGGAGGGTGATGAGAGAGATGTGCTCCGCACTAAACGCTTCACTTTCCCCCCTTTGCCTTTTCATGAGCTCTGTCTCATGCGAGGTTTGGATGCTGGTTGTTGAGCGACAGGAGGTTTTAGTCGGTTCGACTTCGACATGCCCCGCCCTCCATCCCCTGTGAAGGGCGGAAGTCCGGCGATTTCCTCCCGACAAAAAAAAAACGTGTGGCACTCGGGAACTGCGGCGGTAAAGCTATTGCATAGCATTTTTTATCAACTTATGACATTATAATTAGACAATGATAATTTAATATTAAAACAATAATAAAACAAGACCACGCTATATTAAACCTTAATAAAGGCAAAACCTTAACGGTCCCCTTCACACTCATAAACTAAACCGCGCGAGAAAGAGATGGGCAGACTTTTCATGATGCGCATGCAGTGTGACGTCACACCACGCGCTTATTCACAAACACTACACAAGCGCAACGTGTGAATGTGTTGAACGCGAGTTACATGGTAGACGGAGTGAGGGATGTTAGGTTTTTTTCGTTACGGAATTTCATGATTCGGTCGCCGCGCAAGACCCGCGATAAAAGCTATGCAATAGCTTAAAAATGTATGGACTTGTAATAAAATCTCCTTGGCTATACTGTATATTCGTATCTGGCTGGTTTTGGTATCATTAAAAGTTTAAATTCGAAAGAAGAAAATTCCAAATTAAAATTAGGAAGATGTGTGATTTTTATTTATTTTTCGTACTGTCAAGATGAGTGAATCTAATGAAGATATTCGATACATTTTAAAATTTTACTACAAAAAAGGTAAAAAAGCAACGCAAGCCGTGAAAAAAATATTGCGATGTTTATGGACCTAGTGCAGTGTTTGTGAGAGTAGGTAGCACAAATTTGGTTTAAGCGTTTTCAATCCGGAAATTTTGATGGCAAAAATGCACGTCGCTCTGGTCGCCCTATTACGGATAAAATCGATGCCATTTTTGAAAAAGTGGGGCAAGACCGGCATATCAGTAGTTACGACGTAACTTAAGAACTGGGAACTGACCACAAAATAGTTATGGCGCATTTGAAAAAAAATGGGTACACAAAAAAAGTTCACTGAAAGAAAACTAATGCGGTTCATTGTAATGCACTCATTTGTGATTCTTTATTACGACGTAATGAAACCGAACCATTTTTGAAGAAGCTGATAACTGGTGATGAAAAGTGGATCACGTACGACAAGAACGTACGAGAAAGGTTGTGGCCAAAGGCCGGTCAGGCTTCACAGACTCTGGCGAAACCCGGGTTAACTCGCAACAAGGTGATGCTGTGTGTGTGGTGGGATTGGAAGGGCATTATACATTATGAGCTGTTACCACCAGGCAGGACCATCGATTCTGAACTCTACTGCGAACAGCTGATGAGATTAAAGCAAGAAGTTGAGAGAAAGCGGCCGGAATTAATCAACAGAAGGGGTGTGGTTTTTCATCACGATAACGCTAGACCTCACACATCTTTAGCCACTCAGCAAAAATTAAGAGAGCTTGGCTGGGAGGTGTTGATGCATCCGCCGTAAGACTATACGACCTTTAGATTTCTACCTGTTTCGGTCTCTTCAGAATTATTTAGACAGTGTCAGGTTAACATCACGAGAGGACTGCCAAAACCAATTGTCGCGGTATTTTGATCAGAAGCCCCAAAATTTTTATAGCAATGGGATCATGTCCCTACCTACAAGATGGCAAAAAGTTACCGAACAAAATGGTACCGACATACTTTAGTTAAATGTGAATAAACTATATTAAAAAATGTTGTGAATTTTCTTAAAAAATGCGAAGAAACTTTTTCCCCAACCTATTATTATATAGAAATAAAATAGTAAACAATGTTTACAATAAGTGAGCTGCTTAGGCTTACTATACTATTTGACATTGGACGGTAATGGGTAAATGAAGTAAATGAAATTACAAATTTTACAGCGCCCCCTTAACCCACATCAACGCCCCCCATTTTTTCCTGGGCTCCTTAACGCCCCCCTCTAGGTTTCAAACGCCCCCAGGGGGCGTTATCGCCCACTTTGAGAAAGACTGGTTTAGATGAACTTTATTGTTTGTAAAAAAATTAAACTGTATTGTTGTGACATTACGCAGTAATCATTACAAAATAAAATTAATTCGGATAATACTAGAACTATAGGTATATTAATCGATTTTAGTGATGATTAGGCTTATTAAATTATAGGCTTAGTTTTGTACCTAGATTCCTATTCGTACTTATTTATTAGAGGACATATCAAGTCACTTTAAAATGGAATTTTAATTGTGTAGTCAAAACTTACATTCGACTGATGACCGTTCTGCATCGCTTAGATGATGAAGCAGGAAGTCAGCGAAGGCGCCCTTCTTCTCGAGCAGGTGCTGGTAGGAGCCGGCCTCGGAGACCTGTCCGTCGCGCAGCACGACGACCAGGTCGGTCTGCGGGAGGTAGGACACGTTGTGCGTGACCCAGACGCGCGTCCTGTCCTTGAGCAGGCCGGCGGGCCCGATGACCTTGTCGAAGATGTGCTTGCCGACGTGCGAGTCCACGGCGCTCAGCGGGTCGTCCAGCAGGTAGTTGTCCGCCTCGTGGTACACGGCGCGCGCCAGCGACACGCGCTGCTTCTGACCGCCCGATAAGTTTATACCTATACAAGTTTATTATAGATAATCAAGAATATATTTACATAGAATCAACCATAAAAGATGTAACGTAACGATTTATTTACAACACGACGAAAACAAAATTGTGATCGTTTAATTTCAATAGATTTCATATTTTTATTTAGTAATGCTGCCTGCCACACCTTGAGAAATGAGACTGAAGCTTTGACAAGAAAATTAGTTTTTTTTTAGATTACGCTATCATACCGTATGATAGCGGTACTAATTTTAAATCTTGAGAAAATAAATGAGGTATACATATTATTTTTCAGGATGTAGGGACATATTATCTTATACTTTGTCTAGACGTAAATTACCTAAATTGTAATTGCACTAAATGATTGGTTCTCGTTACCTTTTTCACCTATCTCAGTTAGATCTCCCCCGGGAAATATTTCCAAGTCTTGCACAAGAGTACAGGCGTTTAGTACATTCTTATATTTGTATTTATTAAACGGCTTCCCGAAGAGAATGTTATCTTTCAATGTGGCATTCTGTATCCATGGCTCTTGTGACACGTATGCTATTGTACCTGGCAACGAAATTATAATAAAAGTTAATGAGGAAAACGCATTAATATAACCTGTCTATATATCCGAACGATGGTGGTATTATCTTAAAAATATTCATTACAGTGGCATCAATCTGAGAACTTACTGAATAAGAACAAACTAGTTTATTCAGTTGGCTTTCGTTGTTTCTATTCATTCACCTTTATTTTTAATTAATTCTGATTTCATTAATAACTAACCACATTTTTTAATGATTACGTACTTGTGGATCACTTTTTTCCATTTCAGCGTAATCCTAACAAGTGGGTGAGCTCACGGGGCTCAAACCTGACGTTTTTGCTAACACGAACCCTAGCAAGAGCCGTGCTTCGCAGAATCTACCACCGGATCGGAAACGCGACCCACAGATCCTGCGAGAAACTCAGTGGGCTGGTTAATATTAACAGACGAACGTTAAAACGTACGTAAACGTACCGTGAACGTTGACACGTCCCGACACCTTAGTCATCTCGCCCAAAAGTGCGGACAGTAACGAGCTCTTCCCGGCGCCCACAGCACCGACTATTGCCACCAAAGAACCTCGGGGCACACGCAAATTTATATTTCTCAACACCGTACTAGAATCTTGACCTTCCCACGAGAAGTGTCCGTTTTCCACAGTTATCGGATAGGCTAAAAACAAGGTGTTTGTTTGTATGTAGTAATAGGGATTTATAATGTGACTAATTTAATTCACAGTAAGTAATACTCACAATATTGAGGGTCATGTTCGATTGATTCTAAATCTAAAACCGTTGAATTCAAAAATTTATTTAAACGTTTTATGCTAACGGAAGTCTGAAATAAAATTTATATTATATATTCATTGTTCACAAGTCCAGAAAACATTACATTGAACTTCAATGAATTTTGATGCGTTTATCAATTGAAATTGTTTCCCTTAGATTTTCGATGCTACTTACTTGAACGATATTTGATATTGTGTTTGGCAGCATCATTAATGGATAACGTAATATGTTGAATAGAGATAAGGCCACAAATAATTTCTTTGAATCCAAACTCTCCGAATCATTTACTAAAATAAAACACCCAAAAGACGTGAGTGAAACCTAAAAAGAATGTTATTTTTCTGTACAATTTATTACAGTACATAATTTAATAAGTTGCTAGGTACTTTTGTTCTTAAGTCATCGAAAGGATAACGAACAAACATTTAAAAAAAAAACGGACTGTAAGTTTCATTACAAATATTAACGTAAATAATCATAATCATAATAATTAATTAAATCTTAAATTTTAAAGTCATTGAAATTTTGTAGAGTATTCATTGTTTTATCCAACACGTCGCAAATAGTACAAGTTAATATATTAATTTTGAAAATTAACGTAAATAATCATAATCATAATAATTAATTAAATCTTAAATTTTAAAGTCATTGAAATTTTGTAGAGTATTCATTGTTTTATCCAACACCTCGCAAATAGTACAAGTTAATATATTAATTTTGAAATTGAGATGATAAGTTTCAGTGGATCAGCAAGGTGTTTGTACGTAAACCGCTTCCACGAAATCTTAATCGAAAATAAAATGAAATAGTAGGTATTGGTCTGATGATGCACTCGAAAGGTGAGTAAAGGAGCCTACGAATCTTAAAGTTGTTTAATTGCTGTAAAAAAAAAAGGTTTTATTGACCCTGTAGTGTAGTAGTAGCCTTACCAGAAATGGTGTCGCAGACCACGTTAATGACGTCAGAGAATCTAAGTAAATCACTTTCTTCAGTATATTAAGTTCTTTATTTCTCACTTGGTTAATCTGTCCTTGAAAACTTAATTCCCAAGCATACATTTTTAGAACCTGTAGCAATGTAAGTGTTGTTTTGGTTTTTAAAAAATATTAATAAATAAATCCGATGACATTCATTTTCCGTAAAGTACTTGGTTGGTCTGGATGGTTGGCGTTCCAGTACAATGCGTTTTAAAAACAGTTTTCTGCCACGCACAGTAAATCTCTGGAATTCGTTGCCATCAGCGGTCTTCCCCAACAACTGCGACATTGGGTTATTCAAGAAAAGAGCATATTCTTATCTGAAGGGTAGGCAACGCACTGGCGTAAACGCTGGTGACCGTGGGCGGCGGTGAATCACTTACCATCAGGTGACCCGTCTTGNACGCACAGTAAATCTCTGGAATTCGTTGCCATCAGCGGTCTTCCCCAACAACTGCGACATTGGGTTATTCAAGAAAAGAGCATATTCTTATCTGAAGGGTAGGCAACGCACTGGCGTAAACGCTGGTGACCGTGGGCGGCGGTGAATCACTTACCATCAGGTGACCCGTCTTGCTCGTTTGCCTCTTAGTTGTTATAAAAAAAATAAAAAAAATTGTAAGAAAAACGTATGGTGAAACACAAGTAAAGTTTGTCTTAATAGATAAAATGCCATGACTAAGGACTACTAGAGATGACAAAGTACCAGTGTGCTTGCTCAGTGTGAGTTTTTAACTTCTCGATCGCGTAATCTACGTTTGACGCTAGGGGCGCTGTTCCAATTCCATACAAATTTGAGTTAATTTTTATACGATCGAGCAGTTAAAAAACTCGCACTAAGCACCTGTGGGTCACAGTTAAGTGGTTATCAAAGCCCATAGGCATCGCAACATAAATAACCACACAACTTGAGCCATGAGGTCTCAATTTTAGGTATAGTATTACAGCTGCCTCACTATTCAAACCTGAACGACTACTTTACGACAGAAATAGATACGCTGATGGTACCTATAGGTACCAGCTATCAGTACACCTACCCTGGTAGCAATTACACAAACAAAAATTTTTGAGGGTTTGATTTCTATTACACGCTATTCTTTCTTTTAACAAGAAAGTATTGTCGGTGAACACGTGTAAAGTACGCAATTCGCTGGAAAACAATGGTAGGTATCGGCCTACGTTATATGAACACCGGCATAGTCGCATCGAATTCCATACGATTAGACGAGACGTCTTATCATTTTGGTCACGATGACCTTAAATCAACGTTTGAGTACCGCCATAGCGTTATCAACAAGTCCGCGAGCACTGAAAAGCCGGCGGTATTGCCACGCCCGCGCTTATGGATGCTAGTCTTGCGTCATGATCATCATCAGCCCACAGTCGTCCACTGCTGGATATAGGCCTCTCCCAATCAACACCACTGAGCCCGGTCTTCGGTTCTCCTCATACACCTCTTGCCGTATGTAAATAAGATGTATATTTCCTTTATATATTAGAACAAGGTGGTAGTCGCTTCGATGTTGAGAACATGAAATGCGAGAGGAAGCTCATCAGTCACAATACTCTGCAGTCGAGTACGTCCGACGTCCATGGAACTCCATAGGATAATAATAAGAACCAGTGTGCTTAGTGCGAGTTTTTTAACGTTCTCGATAGCGTAAAAGTTAGCTCATATTTGTATGGAATGGGATCGTTTGCCTACGTTTGCCGCTAGGGGCGCTGTTCCAACTGCATACAAAATTGGCTTAGCTTTTACGCTATCGAGAACGTTAAGAAACTCGCACTAAGCACACTGATTTAAAAAGTAAATGGTAAAATACCACAGTACCTTAATGCCGTTCAACACCTCATTCATGATTTTAATTCTGTTATCTTTGAATTTCATTAATCTGATTTCCAGTTTCTCTTCCATACGAGCAATGAAACCGTTCATTGGAATTAAAAGAATCATAACCGCCAATCCGGCGAGCACAGAAGGACCTAGTACGCCCCACAAAAAATAAATAGCAAGCACAATCTGAAAAGGCGCAGACCAAATCATGTTTAATGTGCTTGTCAAACTGACGAATCTGGAACAAATAATCTTATACAACAAATCTTCTTAAATAAAAGTCAATGTATCAATACCCTATAGCCTCCCGAAACGGCCAGATTGATTTCGATAGAAATTTGAAATTATCTTCTGATTGGTCTAGCGGGTGATCCTGTGAATTTTGGTGGCAATCGGATTAATATCAAATCAAAAATGCCGAGCTGAGTTTGAACAGTATTTGATATGTACTATGCTATCTTTAATAAACAAAAAGTAATCTGCATAAATCTAACTTGTTCACGAACGCATTGTATATACTTCACGAGAGATTAACATCGTGTTATATTTTATACAGAATAAAATATTTAAATTTTTTAAATTTGCTTTTTTAATTGTTTATCTCAGTGCAAAGGTAGACAATACTAATGTGCCTATTTCTATCGCGAACCAGTCATGCGTTCCAGTTTGAAGGGTCCGCCAGCCATTACAATAAAACATTGTGAATTCGATTTCGTGTCTAAAGGTGCATGCATGGCGGAATGAGCTCCCATAGAAACAACCTACTAAGTTTCTCGTCGGATCTTCTCAGTGGGTCGCGATTCCGATCCGGTAGTAGATTCAGCGAAGTGATGCTCTTGATAGGGCCAGTGTTAGTAATTCTCTCAGCTTGAGGCCGTGAATTCACCTACTGATCCACGCGAAGGTGGAATAGCCCCATAGGCTACCGACGATTAGGTATGGAAAAAATTGAGCTGAATGTTTTTGGTTCCAATAGTGCTTAACACCAGGACCATTATCATATTACCTGTACTACTAGAAATAAAAAATACTTACCTTTGGGCATCCACGGACATCAGATTAATAATTTCACCAACTGTCGACTGCCTCCGCGTCGTATTGTTCATGCGAAGAGCCATTTGGTAAATAGCGTTCGTTAATGCTGTTCTTATCCTCATTCCGACAATGTTCATTTTCAAAGTGTAATGACTCAACAGCGTTGTTTCAAGAGCGGCACAACCAAAGAACAGGAAAGAATATAAGTAGCCCCTCCATGTTGGCTCATCGCTGCTTATAAACCCTATAAGAAGCCTATCAGACGAAACAAAGTTCAATGGTATAATTATTTACATTAAACTAATAGTAAAATGAACAGTTACAGGTTGAATGATTAAATAAATTCCTTGAAATTGTGATCTAGTTTTACAGGTTAATACTTTGAATCTTTTTTTTTTTTTTTTTTTTATTGCTTAGATGGGTGGACGAGCTCACAGCCCACCTGGTGTTAAGTGGTCACTGGAGCCCATAGACATTTACAACGTAATTGCGCCACCCACCTTGAGATATAAGTTGTAAGGTCTCAAGTATAGTTACAACGGCTGCCCCACCCTTCAAGCCGAAACGCATTACTGCTTCACGGCAGAAATAGGCGGGGTGGTGGTACCTACCCGTGCGGACTCACAAGAGGTCCTACCACCAGTAAAAATTATGTTATATGATATCTGATGTTATAAAACATAATAAATGAAACATTTACAGAGTTCGTCAGTCAGGATTACAATTTCGACTGTGAGACTTTTGATAGTAAAATTATATTGGACTTAATTATTATTTTGAGTGGTCTGTTACATCGATAGTTCAGTGACTAGTAAAATTTCTTGTTCTGTTCCGTTTCCGTCGAATAAAAACTCCTGAATATTTGACCAAATTCTTACTTGAGCAGTTGTGGTGATAAAAAAATGGAAATATCACTCAGCAGTTTCAGGAACGTCCCAAACATGAACTGTCCTCCGAAGGCAAAGCAAAGAGCTGGTAATATTGACACAGTTCGATTTTTAGTATTAGTTTTCATAGATCTATCAGTTGATCTTCTTCGAAATTTTGCTTTTATGTGTTTTGTTGATCTAAAATATGATACAACAAAAGTTATTTCTTTTTATTTACAAATATTTATGTTGACAAATTATCAAAATACTCACGAGTCACGTCTATTTGCCGGTTGTTCCCAGTATTTCTTAAATCTAGGTACGACTTCTGAAGAAGATTCTTGATAATTCAAATCCCACACATCGCCTTCTTCAAATTCCTTACGGTATCCTTTTAGTACTAAAGAATCGAACCAACTGAAGGTTAGACGACTTAGAAAACCAGCAGATCTTTCGGGACATTGGTTCTTTAAAACAAAACAAGATTACTTTTTATAAAGTAAAAATTTTATATACTGTTTTCAAGAATATTAATTATACAGCGCGTTAGGCCTGAAGTACAAAAGTATACTGTTGGTAAACTCGAAACGCTCATAAGCTATTACTCATTATCATTATCATCATTATCCTGCCCTTCTCCCAATCACCTGGGGTCGGCGCAACATGTTTTCTCCTTCCATACTTTTCTATCATATACCATTTCTTCGCTCACTCCCCTCTTACCCATATCGTCTTTCACACAATGCATACATTTCTTCTTAGGTCTACCTCTTCCTCTATATCCTTCCACATTCATAGTTAACACTCTCTTAACAACCTCATTTTCATTGCGTCTCATCACATGCCCATACCATCCCAAACGCGCACTCCTCAGCTTCTCTGTCACAGGTGCCACTTTCAGACTTCCTCATAAGCTATTACTATCATAATTTAATAGAAAACATTAATTTTAGTTCAATAAAAATACTACTTCTGTTTCGAGACCCAGTAGAAACCATGAATTACGCCAGACAGCTAATTAGTAAGGAACAGTTAATTTGCAGCCGTTTTTAACGTTATCAATCTGATTATTTACTTTCCAAAACGTACGGGCAGTGAACATAGGCAGAGGTTTGGTTGTGATATTGGCATTACTGATGTCTGCGAGTTACGATTATCATTCACCATCCGTTGAGTACCTTGGTAGCAGTCTACCTTCTTCTTCCTATAGTGGGTATCGTTTTTACAGAGTCGTTGTGGTCATCATAATGTTGGTGGCCAAGCTTCACAACACGCCGCCTTAATACAGTCAAGCTACGGATATTCTGGTATTAAAAAATATAGATCTATAGAACCTACGAATAAATACCTACTTATTATTCATTCGTAGTATAGAACTAAATTTTGATTAGGACAACAACACATAATTACGTGTAATTAAAATTATTTTTACGGTTTAACCCCGCGTTTTGTTTTAATTTACATTTTAATATTGTGCTAGCTCAAATGAAAAACACATCAGACGTCCGTGATCACGAATGCTGTAAAGTATTATTAACAATAAAGCGTCATATGTTTAAAAAACCATGGAAATAAGAAAAAGACAATCAAAGAAACGTAAGATTAAACCGTAAAAGTATTTTTAATTATGAAAAATATATGGTTAGTTTATGAAAATAGTTGAAAGTTCAAACCTGAGAATCCGTGTACACGGAATCACGTGGCGCTGCGTCAGCGAAACAATTCAATATTAACAATAATACTATCAGTCCGTAATGGATAGCAAGACTAATAAATCCGTATTGTATTCCGTTTACGAAGTTCATTTTCAATTCCAATGCTTTGCACCACAGCCTGGGTACTTCGATGACAGCTAACAGTAACNAATAGTTGAAAGTTCAAACCTGAGAATCCGTGTACACGGAATCACGTGGCGCTGCGTCAGCGAAACAATTCAATATTAACAATAATACTATCAGTCCGTAATGGATAGCAAGACTAATAAATCCGTATTGTATTCCGTTTACGAAGTTCATTTTCAATTCCAATGCTTTGCACCACAGCCTGGGTACTTCGATGACAGCTAACAGTAACCAGAAGAAAAACAGTACGCCGGAAGCTCGCATTCCATGTTTTTTGTTAAGCCATACTAAGCTTGCTGACAACGTCTACAAAATTTTAGGGATATAAATTTTTTTACAAAATTTTAAAATATTTGTAACTATATTTGTTTTGTTAGAGTTCTTAAACAGACATATATTTTAGGTAAAAAAGGGGGTACTCGAGTCGAGCTTTGTTTTTTTGCAAACATATTTTGGTTTCCATTAAAGTTAAGCCGCTGAGATTATTGATTATAATTTGTTTTAAATATAACTTTTTTTACAATGAAGCATAAAGAGTTCATTTACAAACGTCAATATTTTCATGATGTGTTGGAAAGCCAATGTTTGCGGCAACCGGAAGTATATGGTCATTCCGAAATCCACACACTTTAAAATGACAAGAAGCGTTATCATAACCAGCTTGGTAATGTTTAATACTGTCCACGGTATGTTTTTTTCGCGGCTCGTCATGAAGTAATAAACTTCAAATGCTGTAGCCAACCAGAGGTAGACGTATGGACTCCATATTAACACGGTGCTTTGAAAATGTAACATCTCGTTAGTACGGTTACATTCGTCGGAAACATTGTTCTGAAATAAGAACAAAAAATATTATTAAAATTCACTACTACTCGTCAAATAAAATATTATTTACTAGCGACCCGCCCTCGCTTCGCTTCGGAAACTGTTATTTATTATTGATTTCTCCACTATTTAATGGATGTTATTATACATATAAACCTTCCTCTTCAATCACACTATTAAAAAAACCGCATCAAAATCCGTTGTGTAGTTTTAAAGATTTAAGCATACATAGGGATATTGGGACAGAGAAAGCGACTGTTTTATACTATGTAGTGATATATAATATTAAATAATAATAATAATACATAAATGACGTCAGGTAGGCTGGCCGGTAGTAACTCATACCAAATTCCTATGCAGCATAATTAGAGGATATGCTGCGCCGATCTCACACAATATGGTATGCGGGCAAGAAGAAGCAGAATTTCAAAATAAAGTGAGGAGGTATATTAAAATTTTCACTTCTGATATATCACTAAAGGCGGTTATTGAAAGCGGCTATTTTTAAAATTGTCGGTATCACCTAATCAGATTTTTTAAAGTGTTTTGAACTTCTCAAAATATCTTCGATTAAAAAACTTCGGCATGCATAGGTACCTCCTAAAGATTGTATGTTGATAAAGAAAGGGTTAAAAATGGTTTGGTTGTTGACGATAGCCTAAAAGCACTACCGCATCTCCTTCCGTAGGTGTGTAAAAGAAGATTTAGTGATTTATTGGAGTGTTTCACTAGTATGCTGTGTTCGTTAACCGGCATTTCTTAGTGGTAGGGTATGCGTATTGGACCCGTTTCGATACCACCATCTTGCCTATTTGCTAAGTGTCTGCTTTGAACACACTTTTGATGTTGCGGTTCGAATGGGTCAGTCGCTATAGAATAGAGTTGAAATAACCTCATGTCTCAAAACAGGGTATTCACTATGGGATTTCTATGGCCTCCGGTCATCACGTAAAACTAAATGGGCAGTAATTTCGTTTGTCTATCTAACTTTAAAAAAAAATTCAAAATACGGTACAACATGAGGTTGAAATACTTGAAAAAAATTGAAAGATTTACTAAATCTAACCGTGAAAAGCTGTGCACGGATTTCCATCACTTATCTTACAGAAACAGATGACCCACACAGAACAAATAAATAACTAGGTATATCGAAACGCGTTGATCAACGATAATATCAAAGGTAGGTATAAAACATAGAAGGTATCTTAGATACTATTATAAGCTTCGATCCTTTGTAACGTATCGATAAAGATGTTTATATCATTTCATATAGAGAGATTTCATTTAAATGAACTAACATCGTAGGACAAAGATAATAAAAATACTTATTTTAAATAATGCTCAATAAATTAAATCCAATTGTATATTTTAAATGCTCGTCATGAGAATGCAAAACACTCAAGTGAACTTTTTAATTGAAAATAAACATTACGATGACCATGAAGTAATTCCAAGACCATGACCACATTAAAAATAGATACCATGCAGCATTTAAATTAGAAATCAATGTCATTATCATTTTATAAGAAATAAATACGTACCGTTGAATTCATAGTGCAACAATCACTTAAAGAAGGTTGTGAAATTATTTCGTAACTTTGAATGCGAGAATTTTTGCAACGTCACAACACGTCAGACCACCGCCACTGTGAAAATAAAACTGAATGCTCACGATTGCCGTGAATTTGCCTTAATCATTTCAATAAATATTTTTCTTAGAATTTACGCAAAAAAAAGTTATTCATTTAAATTAACTGGATTAAGTGTGTGCCGTGTTATTTTGTTATTGTTGATGTTCACAGCGCAATCACCTTTAAACCAAGCAAACAACTTCGAACTCAAATATTCTACATTGATAAATAGCTCTTAGCGACAAGACTTGACNTGCCGTGAATTTGCCTTAATCATTTCAATAAATATTTTTCTTAGAATTTACGCAAAAAAAAGTTATTCATTTAAATTAACTGGATTAAGTGTGTGCCGTGTTATTTTGTTATTGTTGATGTTCACAGCGCAATCACCTTTAAACCAAGCAAACAACTTCGAACTCAAATATTCTACATTGATAAATAGCTCTTAGCGACAAGACTTGACGTTAGAATGCCAAAATGAAATGTGAATTTGCTCTGGATGGAGTTAGATGGTGTATAATAATAATTTAAACAGTTCGCTCTGATCTAAAATAGCCTGCCTACATATCCGAACGATGGTGGTATCATCTTTAAAATATTCATTAGAGTGGTTTATTCATCAATCTGAGAGCTTACTGAATAAGAACAAATTAGTTTATTTAGTTGGTTTTCGTTGTTTCTATTCATTCACCTTTATTTTTAATTAATTCTGATTTCATTAATTTTCGGCTAACCGCATTTTTAATGATTACGTACTTAGGTACCTACTTGTGGATCACATTTTTTTTCCTAAGCTGATGGCCTTGAGAGGCCATTTCAGCGTAACCCTAACAAGCAGGAGTTCAAACCTGACGACGTTGCTAACACTAGCCCTAGCAAGAGCAGTGCTTTGCTGAATCTACCACCGGATCGGAAACGCGACCCACTGAGAAGATCCGGCGAGAAACTCAGTGGGCTATACCTAACTGTGGGTCAATTTACTCGCCGAGCCCTTCGTTACAAGCGACGGGTTCGACGAGAACGATGACCAGGTGGATTGCATGATATCTCATTGACACTATCAGACTATCTCTAGGTTCATTCATCAATTGCGAGGACTCGCATGTTGCAAATTAGGTATACTTACAAAGTAATTATGAAAATTTAAACTTTTAATAACTTTGTCATATTTAATTATTGATTGAATACACAATGTATAAGATACAAGAAAATGACCACAAAATCTTAGACAGTAAGTACAGTAACAAATTTATAATGAATATGAAAAGATATAGGTACCTAAGTGAAAACATGTATCGACACTTGTTTTAAATTAATATGCATCACATTTTTTTTAGATAAATAACCACAAATGCTGTAGATATTAGTTTATATGTATTTAAATGAGTGTTTAATCTAAACGTTAAAGCTCGTTATTCACTGGACTGGTCAAAAAATTGGTTACTGTACTGTCAATAACAGAAAAACCGTTGTGTGTCTTATGTTTACGAAGCGACATGTACTCGTCGTATTTAAAAATAGGTAGCCCTAATTTTGTTTTGTTCACTATTTACTGGGTTACTACTTGGTTTACACTAGTTGAATGATCGGCAGCGATAGACAAAGTACGCCCTGTAGCCAATTGGCTTATTAAAAGTACACTCCCCTACTATTATAGTTAGATTAAATTGTAAAAATCCATATGTTGGTTTCAGATCAAGACAAATTTAATGAAATATTTTGGTTTTTTTTTAAATTCCTACATATTCTAGTAACTTCGAGGGGTTATACTAGATTCACAGAACTAGTAGGTGAGCTCACGGGGCTCTAACCTGACGACGTTGCTAACACTAACCCTAGCAAGAGCAGTGCTTCGCAGAATCTACCACCTGATCGGAAACGCGACCCCCTGAGATGATCTGGCGAGAAACTCAGTGGGCTACGTCTGTGGGTTAATTTACTCGCCGAACTCTTCGTCGCAACCGACGGGTTTGACGAGAACGATGACCGGGTGGATTTCATGATAATAATATGGTGACCGGAATTTTCCGTGAAATGGTTATAAAGCAAACTATTTCGCTACCTATTTATAAGATTCAGAGTTTCTCAGTGGGGCATAATACCAATGCGGTTGTGGTGGTATGCGCAGAGTAGCTGCCTTTGGACTGCTAGGCTTCCTCTGAGGCGCTCGGACAGTTGTCAGTAAGACCACATCTCTCTTGTCAGAGCCGACGCTAGCCGACCCAACATGGGGAAGCTGAAAAGGCTTTGGGAAGACGAGATATCCTTTTATCACAAAAACACTTAGACGAAGACTTCACGCGAGTATAAAGAAGAATGTTCAATAAAACAAAACGTATTTTTAAATATTGTATTTATGATAAATAAAGGCAAGTAACAAAACCAGATAAGTACCTAAAATAAGTAATTCCGTAAATTAATTATTGAAAATTCCAATAAACACAACAAATCATCAATTAGAGAACGCGATACATATACTTAGATAGTTTTTTACTAATTAAGAACAAAATTCACTCAATTGTTAACTTCTTTTTAATAATCAAGATCATAAATAATTTAGGCACATAGTGTGGTCCTAACTAAATACTAACATTCTATTACATAACAAGCTTCGCACATTAACATTATTACCCAAGTACCTACATAACTTGTTTATGATACATTACTATTCACATTGTGTATTAATAACAGACAAACACATAACGGTTTTGTCAACTATTGTAAAATTATGAACAATAAAATGCAGATTTTGTTCACAAAAACGACATTATCTAAATAAATCGACTTAAAACTATTTTGTAAGTACGTACGTATATACTAAAAGTTTAAAAATCTCGGATGTGACATTTTCATAAAGTTATTATTTAAAGCAAATGAGCAATAAAATTTAATAACCAATCATATTTCTTCACCCTTAAGTACCAGTATTTTAAGTGTCAACTGTTGTATTATTACAGATTTTTACATAGGCAGTGTGGTGGTAACTTCGAAGTATTTTCTCAAAGCACAATTTGATAATTTATTAAGTTAAAACGTTAATAAATATGTAACTGACAACAGTTTGATAACGAATTATTAATTTTATTCGTTTATTTTACGTATAAAGGATACCGCACTTCGATCCTAAATTAGGAACACAAAAGTCGAAATCACAAAAATGGTAAACAATAGATTAGAATGGCCACGGCTGGATTTCAAGTGAGGTTTCTTATGAAACGACCGATTGCGCAAAAACTCAACAAAAACATATTATGTACTGCTAATAATTTACTCCAAATTATTTATCAAACCATGTCTGTCTGAAAGATCAATTACCCTAATTCAGAAACTTGATATGTAATGAAGTTATCTTGAACGAAGACAGACATTTCACATTGTGCAAGCAATGATCCCGAACATGACGATGATTTATTAGTTTTGCATTGAGCGTAGTATCATTGGTAAAATAATTTTTTCCTGCGATGTCTTCTTATAAAACGCCCACGATCCCTTTTCACTGCATATTTTTTTCATATTTATGAGCAAAATCAACTTGTAGTAAGGCGCTTAGTGCAATATGGCTTTACAATAAACATGTTACAACAACAATGTTCTAGTATCACTCCTATCAAAGTAATATTTATTCAAATAGCTACAGTGTATACATATACATACAAATATTATAAATTTATAAAATATTCTTGAATGAAAATTTATAATTCTAAGGCGCGGTGTATCCTACAAGATGTTTTATTTTGCCTAGATCTAAGAGACAAAATCACATAATTAAGTGCAATAAATACTGTTGGTAGAGAAAAAAAGATATATTAATATGAATAAATGCGATGTTAAAGTACTTAAAAAATTTTAGTGATTAAGACATTAGTTAAACAGTTTTCAGAACGTCTTTTAAGATTTAAATTTTTTCGAAATATAATATATGTAATATAATAAACATTCTGCTGTTCTACATAATATATTATTATGTAATATATTATATTTCGTTGAATTTCATTTAGTAAAATTCAAAAGTTCAAAATTACTTTCACTTCAAGACACACCCTCGAATATGATGTGTGATTTTTAATTGGGATGTTGTGCAAAATTTAATTTTAAAAATAACGGTTCGTCAGCGGTTAAGTCTACTGATAATTTATTTTTAATCCGGCAATATCTAATTTTTTGGGAACTATTGGTTTAATTCTTCTGAATATTTTCTCTCAGACAAGTTTTTAAGATTTATTAGCTTTATTATTAGATTAGATAGTGAAAGGTTACATTGATACATTATGCTGCCACAGATATTGTCCATGCTAGAAATATAGACAGCCGCCTTGGAATGGAATCTACTGTCCTATTAATGAATAAACGCAATATAAATATAAAATACACCTTTTGATTGATAAAAGTTGAAAAGGTAGGTAGTGTATTTGTAACATAGACGGTGAAAATTTGCAACGGACCGTTTAAAAAAAAGCAGTGGAAAATCACAGGCACTCGCTTATTTACAAAATTTTGCAACATACAGGTAACACATATCTACAGCTATGTTACAAGATCAGACAAAATACTTGTCTGATGACTATTATTTAAAAATGGAAATAAATAACCAGTTTGAATTAACGATTGAAGATTTCTATGATTTATTAATAGTTTGACATTTTCCACAGATAAAAATGATAATTGGCAGTAGTTTGGTAGGTATTTGAAAAAAATGTTATGTTTTGAGTAGTTGCGCAAATCTAAAAACAATCGTAATACTTAGAATTAATAAACTAAATCATAATACAATGTAAAACTTATTGAATGTATATTTATAAACAAATATTGTATAACCCTGTCTTTGAAAATCTTAAATTAAGTACAGTGTTGATGGCAATGTGATGTCGGTTCAATAAACACTCATAACATACAAAAACTTTTTAAGTCGAATGTTGCAATTGACTAAAACGTATCAGCTCTTTAAATTTCTACATTTTTATAAAAAAGTCGATGAATTTTTCTTCATATTATCATATATTTTTAACAAACAGATCATAATTTTTATTCGAGTTTACGATTACTTATTAAGAATTCGAGGTTTACGAGGTACCTTAATAAACAGTGTACAGGTACCGTCAACAAAATCGACGTATTTTTATACAAATGTGAAAATTTGAAAGTATTCTAAATCAATATACATAGTTGTTTTTTTTTTACATTTTCAAGGTTTACGTGACATTTCACGTTTTAGTGTTTAGCGATGCCAAAACCAATCATATAATTCGATAGTCAGCTGTTTCTATCGGAATGACGGATCGTCAAACTGCTAATCGGAATGTGTATCGCACGGGGCACGCCGTCCTCGGGACGTCGGCTAATCAACTTTCCCTTAAGTAAATGGCCATGGAAATTCATTATCTCAAATAATCTGTTCAGTTTAAAACTTTAACAACTTACCGGGATCGGTTTATTAGCATAAGATTTCGACCAAATATGTTCATCAGTTAAACGTAGCTGTCACTGAGTATTATCCTGTTGTTCGAAACGTACAATTGACATAAGTAGTTTTTTATACGCTTATAACACTTAAGAAGTTATCAAGATTCTCTTGAAGTGGAAACACTTAGTTAACTATTCCGGCATCTTTAGCCATGGAGTAGAAAATGGAGTTTTTATCGTTAAGTAGCTGCTGAGGGGCCGCGTACTCGACGAGCTGCCCGCGGTCGAGCACCATCACTTTAGTGGAGTCCATGATGGTGTTGAGGCGGTGCGCGATAGTGAGCACCGTGCACGACGCGAACTCCGAGCGGATCGTCTTCTGGATGAGGTCGTCGGTCTCGAGGTCGACGGCCGCGGTGGCCTCGTCCAGCACCAGCAGCGGCGTCTTGCGCAGCAGCGCGCGCGCCAGGCACACGAGCTGGCGCTGTCCCACCGACAGGTTCTCGCCGCCCTCCGCCACCTCGTGCCGCAGCCCGGCCGGCAGCCCCTGCACGAAGGCGCGGAGGTGGGCGTGTTCCAGCGCGCGCCAGATCTCCTCGTCGCTGTACGCCTCGAACGGGTCCAGGTTGGAGCGCAGCGTGCCCGAGAACAGGATCGGCTCCTGCGGGATGATGGTGATGCGCGACCGCAGCTGGTGCAGCCCGAGGGTCGCGATGTCGACGCCGTCGATCAGGATGCGTCCGGCGGCTGCCTCCACGATCCTGAGAACCGTACCGTAACGGATCAGATGCAGATCACACAGATAGACTGCGATCAGGCCCTTGTGTGGTCGAGTAAGATAGAGAGAGAGAGAGGGAGATCTCACCTGAAGAGCCCGAGCGTGAGAGTAGACTTGCCGGCGCCGGTGCGTCCCACGATGCCGAGCTTGTCGCGCGGCGCCACCGTGCACGTGACGTCACGCAGCGCCGGCTCGCCGGGGCGGTACTCCAGCGTCAGCTGCTCCAGCTGTAGCGCTCCCGTCTCGGGCCACGTCGCGCCAGGCCCCTTCTCCAAGTTCCACGCAGCTTCCTAAATGTTAAGTTTTATTAATACACGTTATTTTTTTATTAGTTTATTTTTATTGTTCTTTATAGTTCATTAGTTTAATCAAAGTTACTACCCGCCGCAATCAGCAACTTTTGCTCATTGCAAATTTTTCTTAGACTTATTGAATGCTCTTATTTCAAGAAAAATGAGAATGATTTCAGTAAAATCAAATTAGCTTCCATACACATTATATTATATACATATGTGTGTAACCATAACATTAATATAAAAAAATCTCTTTACAGTAAATCTGGGCCATTGGCATGTGCCAATAGTGTCTTGACTTTCAATTTAAAAAATCGATTCTGTTTTGACACCATGCGAAACTTTGTTTTCAAATAAATAATTAAATTTCTTTAAGCTCGAAATACGATAGTTGTCAGACATCTAATACGGATCGGTACGTACCTGTTCGGTTTCCGCGTACTCTTTTATCCTTTCGACGGCGACAATATTCGTTTCAACTTCAGAAGTCATTCTGACCAACCAATTGAGAGTTTGGGTGATCTGTTCGGGAAAAGTACATACGTTTATAAGTAAGAATTTTAAACTTTTTAGCGGGAACGCGAGGAGTGAAGTAGTGTGATTTGATTTATTTTGTCTATTTAGTATTTCTTTACGTTTAAATATGTAATAGCGGTGTTTTTTTTTTTTTTTTTTTTTTTTTTTATTGCTTAGATGGGTTTTATCGCACGGTGTTTAGTATCTGTGAAAGTGCACAAATATGGGAAAATGAAACTAAGCCGCTGAACGTAACTTCTTGGGATGATTACTTTTTGGAGTACGCTGAAAAGATTTCAGTAAATGACCACGGATTTACTGAGATTATATTTCATCCCATATCATCTCATCTCATTTCATTTAATTTCATTAGGTTTTTTTATTTTTTTATTGCTTAGATGGGTGGACGGGCTCACAGCCCACCTGGTCTTAAGTGGTTACTGGAGCCCATAGACATCTACAACGTAAATGCGCCACCCACTTTGAGATATAAGTTCTAAAGGTCTTAAGTTTTTCTTCGTTTTTTATTATTCATAAACTGTAAATAATTAAAACGGTGAATTATAAAAATCTTATTACTTGACAGTGGCTAATGCACAAACCGTGCCGAAGCCAAAAAAATAAAGTAGAAGAAGAAGTAAGAATGTTATCAAATTATTTATGGACATACAATGACGGATTTAAGCTTGATTCTGCCCTAGGTCCTGTTTATTGCGCTGCCCTTAGTGTTACAACAAAATTTACAAATTTTGATCCAATGTTTTTTTTTGTATTTAAAATAACATTATAATATATTTTTTTAAATTAATCTGGACTCATTGTCAAAGGTCTGATTGACTGTCTTTCCTTTTTTTCGTCTCTGAGGTTTTGGTATTTCAAAATATTTTGCAACCCCTCAAATCATTCCGTCCTAAGGGCTCACGGGCATAGGCATAAATTCATCACCGTGGACATATGAAAATTCATTACCTGTAGCGCATAGCTGATCGAGAGTCCTACAATACCCGGATAGATAGAGTTTCTACCGAGCACCGCGAACACAGCCGCGCTGAATATAATGAAGTTTCCAATCATTTCCAGACGGATGGCCAGCCACCGATTCGCGATGCAGCTCGGGTAATAGCAAGACTGATTGTGATCCACTCGACTTTCGCTTTCTTCAATAAATCTGAAATACGTACTCAACAAATGTTCACGATTGACTTCCACGGTGAAGGAATAACATCGTGTAATAAAAATCAAACCCGCAAAATTATAATTTGCGTAATCACTGGTGGTAGGACCTCTTGGGAGTCCGCACGGGTAGGTACCACCACCCCGCCTATTTCCGCCGTGAAGCAGTAATGCGTTTCGGTTCGAAGGGTGGGGTAGCCGTTGTAACTATACTGGGATCTTAGAACTGATATCTCGAGGTGGGTGGCGCATTTACGTTGTAGATGTCTATGGGCTCCAGTAACCACTTAACACCAGGTGGGCTGTGAGCTCGTCCATCCATCTAAGCAATAAAAAAAAAATAAAAAAAAATCTAAAATTATTATTGTATTGGATTGTAATTGATTTTCTATATACATGTGGGGTTTTATATTAAGGGTGGGCCAGTGAAACGGTTGATCACTTCACACAAACTTGATTATTTAATACGTCTTAATCTATGTAACTAAAATATAAACGTCTTGCTTCTTCAGAGTTACACCGCGTCCGGCAACTACCGTCCTCTCAGTTAAAAAATAAAACTAAGTGTTCCGAATTCATTCGCCGTCTTTCTTACTTCCTAACACGACATCTCCTATCTCTCTCACTCAGTCATGCTCCAAATATCTGTCATCCATCCATACCGTTTCGTTCCGTTCTTATATACATATATATAAATCAATTGCCACATGTACATATGTATGGGCATCATTCGAGAAGGTCTCAACGGATTTCGTTGATATCTTCAGTTCTATTCGCCATTGTCAGAACAAGGTTGAACGAAGTAAATTCATTGGATTTTATAAAACTATCGTGAACGGGCTTCACACAAATATATGCGGTATATTAGACGTAATTATTTTTCTTACCTGTCAGTTACACCGTAGGCTCGTATTGTAGACGCCCCGGTGATACTCTCGCCGAAATGCGAATAGATGGGCGATCGCGATATCGACTCCAGCCGTTTGAGTTGCCGGGACGTCGCCACGTAGAACCTCTGGATCACGTAGTAGATCAGACCCACCGGGACCACGATCACTAAGAATAAGGGCGTCGACACGCTTATCACGAACAGCGTTCCCAGTACCTATATACGTGACGAAAAATCAAATTAATTTTACAATATTTTATTCGATTAGCTGACAAAAAAATTAAATACGACGAATCGTTTGGGATCAGTTTACAAATGTAACCATTTGAATATATAATAATGTAGATACGTATAAGGAACCATTAAAATAATTTAACTCGAAACTTTGAAAAGAAAATAAAGCATAACGAATAGCAACAAATACAGTGCAGCAGTATTAGTGTACGTTGTGATTGTTTTATTAGATTTTGATAATGATCTCCTGAAGCTATGGCTCCGGTATGATATTGAATGTGAAATGGCGAATGTTTCGATATGTATCGAGTTGATTGACCAGACGAAATCGATAATGATGACACCACAAATGACATCGCGCAAAACATATTAAACGAACGGAACGACAAGGAATATACACATCGACAGGTGAATGGCTATTTGGTTTAAGCAACATTTTTGCAACTTTACAGGCGAGTTATTTAGAAGTTTAAAATTTGGAAAAAAATGTCATAGCAAAAAAAAAAACTTCTTCAGCTATTCTCAGCACGGGTCAAATAACCCATTTTGAACTTTTGCATTGAAAATGCACGTATCATTTTCTTCATTTAGCACATTTGACTTCATGACTTTTTCTTACCAATTAATCTACAATTATTATACGATATTTTTTTGTTTATTTTGAGTACTACTTGTATACCGTTATCTACCCGCTATGGTAGAAATAAGTACCAGTAAGTGTTTGTATGATTAGTGTTAATTGAAGTTCAGATGCAAATACCAAATTAAACGCACCTTTAACTACAAAGATAAATGTCGCGTATTAAGCGAAATGTCGCTTAAACCGATTAACCTTCCACCCTTCGATATACACGTATGACCGTTTACCTCGAACGTGCAATATATCACGTCTGAAGCCTCCGACGGTAGCGACGTGTCCAAAACGTCAACGTCTTTACCGAATCTAGACAGTATCCTGCCAATAGGCGTGACTTCGAAGAATTGCAACGGCGTCTTTAACACATTGTCCAGTAACAGTTCGTGGATGACCTTCGCAGCTCGCCAGCACGCCAAGTATGGCATTAGATCCGCGAAAAATGACGCTATTGCTGCAAAAACACCCGCGGCACGTTAAATGACTTGACCTGCGCCGTTGTGCCTACACTGTGCCCGATAATAATGAATACATCGTTTCTCAAACTAACCACTACGTCTACTGGTCTCTGTGAAGGCGGAGCGTCAAAGAGTGCAGAGCAAGGCGAGTGAGTGAGATTACATAGCACATATAGTATAATGTTGTGGCTAATTACATGCACAATACTTCACTAAGGGTGTGCATAAAGTCTTCGCAGCGTGACCTAGAAGCGTTAGCGTGTACTATAGATAGAGTAACTTAGCGTATATAAGGAATATGTAATGTACTTAATATCTAAAATACAGAACTTATTTTTAATTTGCATATTAATATTTATAAACTGATCCCTTGATTTAATGAAAATTACTATTTTTATTTTCTTTGAATGTAAATATCATAAATTGTTCAATTTAAATTTGAAGAATAAATTAATTCGTTTGAAATGACTAAGATGATTTAATTATTTGTAGTTTTACAAAAGCAAACAATCGGAAGCGCATTTAACGCTTACAATACAAAAAAGCGTTACGCGGAAACATCAACATTCGGGGTGAGTAGTCTCTGTCCTGGTCGTACCGAGAAGAAGCAGGACGTCCAGCCCCGCAGCGTCATGGGCAGCGTGTTGTCGAGCACGTCAACGTCCTTGCTGAAGCGGTTGAGCACGCGGCCGACGGGCGTGCAGTCGAAGAAGCCGATGGATGGCGCCCGCAGCACGCCGGCCAGCAGAGTCGCGTGGAGGGCGCGCGCCGCCGCCAGCGTGCCCAGGTACAGCGCCAGCGACGACACCGACACCGACAGCACTGGGCGCCACACACACGTCACGCTCACCAATACCCCCCCCCCCAAACCACCCCGCGCACATCACTCTACCGCTGCCTTTCCCAAAATGGGCGACAACGCCCCCTTGTAGGCACTGCAGGCCTAAAGGGGGGCGTTGTGTAGATGCTTGGGAGGCGATTTGTAATTTCATCTACGAGCACTCTTAGACATCGACTGAGCTCTATGGCTACAGTGGTATTTTTTTTTTATTTTTATTGCTTAGATGGGTGGACGAGCTCACAGCCCACCTGGTGTTAAGTGGTTACTGGAGCCCATAGACATCCACAAGGTAAATGCGCCACCCACCCTGAGATACAAGTTCTAAGGTCTCAAGTATAGTTACAGTTACGTAGGTGTAAAAAAGGGGGCGCTAAAAAATAATTTATTCTCAAAGTGGGCAGTCGACAAAATAAGTTTGGAACCCCTGCACCACTACTGCGTTGTAGTCTCCCCACGAAATTTGTACTTTTGTACCAAATATCGAAAACAGTTTGCGTGACGATTTAATTTAATCGTGTTATTATGTGAGAACTCGGTGTGAGACCCATTTTGAAACTTAACTACTATACATAGAATTTTTTATGGATGCGGTATAGGCATCGCCATTTCAAATATTATTTCTGTACACATAGATTAATTGAACAGGAGAGAGCGCAGGAGTGGCGTTTCGATGCATGCGTGTCTTTGTTGATAGTTTAAAATAAAAAGATCACTATGTACCTACTATTGCAAAAATCACTTTCTTAATTACCATTTCTGTTCATGATCGTTCTCAAATGAAAGTAAGTGAAATCTGCATAAAGTAATTTCTAGCTACCAATCTATTTAAAAGTACAATTAATTGAAATTTAATAAAATCACACCATGCATATTATTGTTGGATTTAAACCATGCAATTATTGGTAAGTAAAAATGTTATTAAAAAAAAAAAACAGTATGAAGCTATAGTCAATTTACATAAATAAAACATTGCAAAAATGTATTCATTATTATACACTGACACCAAGTTAAAGTTCTTTTTATATTTACAAACCAAGTATTAAATATAAATTATATAATATTAAATAATACATTATATTATGTTAGAAAACGTCAAATATTATACATAATTTACACTGATCTAATATCACCAAGATTCCAATTCGTATATTATTGTAATTCTAACGATAATACTTGTGTTATGTTTAATCTGGAAATGTTTTGTATAAACAATTCCGAAATAAGTAGATTTTTTTGTTTTATTTATATGTTTTCTGTAAAATATCTAACATTATCAAAAAGTTTCATTCATATTTTACCAATTTATTTACACAGAACTGAGCAAATCACAGTGTAGATTGATTGAACAACAGAATTGAGTTAAAATGTAGATGTTAATACAGTTTTTGTTTTTATCAAAAGGTTAGATATCCAAACTCCAAAATAATTATGAATCCATTGAGTAATTACTAGGTTAGAAACTTTATAAATGTATGGTATTGCAGTTGCATACGAAGGAATATTCACGATAAATATATAGGAAGCACGTATATTGTCGTTTTTTAATGTTATTACTAAAAAAAAAACAAATCCCTAATAAATAGAAAAATGAACATATAGTGAACGAGTCTTTCAATAAATGACAATTCATTTAATTCCGTGATGCCGATATAACAGAACAGATATGCCTAAAATTATTAAAATAATATTTAATTTATATTATTATACGATTCCCAATAGAACTCATTAATTTTCCTTTTTTTTCTCGACACAAAAGCTTGATGAATACAGGATTAATAACTTATTTTATATTAGATGTTTTAAATTAGTTTGAGTTTTTTACACAATAATTTATAATGAAATGCACTATTTGAACCGCTTTATGTAGTTTAAAGAGTACCCTCAATAAGTATATTATTTATATAAGCTCATATTATTCATATAATAAGTAGAGTTTTATATATTTATATTCCACCACGTTGGCTACAGCCGTGCAGAATATAATACGGATGTCCTTTTGTCAGTTTGATACCATTCTAGGTGCAATGCTTGAGGCTTCAAACATGGGACGGATTTAGAATAATTTCACAGTTGGTTCAAACTGATTTGATGAATAAAAGTATTTGGATCGGTAATGTATTGTTTGATCAGAATATAGCACTTACCCTGTCCTGCTCCAAGCGCTCCATACACACCGAGGTACATGTCCCTTTTTGCTCTGTCCACTGTTCCGTTAACAATCTAGAATATTTATAAGAACAATGTGCATTAAGTATAGCATTCACAATTTAATTAATGTTACATTATGAACAACACGTGTTATGGTTGGATGACTTCCCATAATACAACAAGACAGCTGTTCCGCTGTGACTGCTTGTATACAGAGGAGGCGCGTCTTTGCATAGACAGGGGTGTCTAACGATTGAGTTTGATTTGAGATCTGATATATATCCGTTTTAAGTATTATTTAGATACATATTTTTATAGTACAATATTTTTTAATCTAATTTTCATGAAGATTACTATTCGTTTTATTAAAGTAATTTTTTTCTAATTCAGAATATTAAAGGGTTTGCTTAATATAAAATTATTGTTGAGTTTAATTGAGTTGAGTGTTTGATTGATTTTGGGAATTATAATTATTACCCAAAGAAAAAAATGGACTTACGATTTTCGAATCACTGGACCACTCCGCCAGCCAGTAGTTGGAGCCGACTTGGAACACTTGCAGGATCAGATTCATCAGAATCGTCACGACGGACGCGAAAACACCGACGCTCATCAAGTAGTGCTTATATATACTCCATTTCACCTTTAAAAAACGTATGTTGTATTGTAAGGATGGCAATAAAACTCTTCGAACCGGGGCGCTGCAGAATGAACAGGAAAGTGATCAATGACACGGACAGTTAGTCGTCGTGGCTTAAAGAATAAGACGTTTGGTTTATTAGTATCGAGTGATGCGAATGTGCCGGTGTTCGAATCCCACAGGCAGGTACTAATTTTTCTAAATACGTACGTACTTTGCGTAATTACTAGTGTTGGGGCGTCTTATGAGCCCACACTGGTACATACCACCCACCCTGCCTATTTTTGCCGTGACGCAGTAATGCGTTTCAGTTTGAAGTATAGGGCGATCTTTGTGCTATAAAACTGAGATTTAGAATTTAGTTCCTAAAGGTGGGAGGCTGTACTTAGGTGGTATTGTTTATGGGCTTCGATCAACCATTTACGTAATAAAAAAAATACATTACTCTCTTATCGCGCTTTTCTGAATTTTTTGTTATTTTATTTTTGTTTTATAAACTCACACTTCCTGTTTCCGCTTTCTCGGCTTCAATCAGTTTGTTCTTTTCTTTGAGATCGCTTTGGGTGAGGGCGTCAGGAGTCTTTTGTTTCACGCTGCCAGCTCTATCACCTGTAGATAAGTTTATATTTCACATATTTATAATGATATACAGTTAGTGTAACAAAAATATTTGGATATACAGAAGTTATTATTATATTCGTGTTTCATAGTCACGGTCTGGAAATTGTTGAAAATTACGTTAAGATATTCCGTCACATAGACAAATACAGGTTAAGTAAATAAAATTGTGCTAAAAACACAAGTATAGGGATGTGTGAAGTACATTAGAAAATATGGAAGTTATGTTTACCTGCGGGAGTTTGTTCCGATTCTGAAGTACTTTCGGAGAGCGAGCGAGCCCTTTGCAGTTTGTTTTGGAATTCTGTACCGAGTTTTGTTTCCAGGTCTTGCTTGAGAACATCTAACTCTGTAACAAGGAGTTGTTTGCATAAATAGTTGTGTTTATAGAGTGTATCCCAAACACCCTGTACAATCTCGAACTGATATACAGGGTGTTGAAAACGTTTCAAAGTCGAAACAATAATAATTAAAACTGTACACCTATAAGTTATATTATTATTTCGTATATACAGTTATTTCGTAGAACTGGAAGTATACATATTAAACTGTTTCTTGTCTTTTTAATTTACGTTAAAAGGAGCCATTCCGTAGAAAAAGTATGAAATTTAGAAATTATTAATTTATAATAATCAGTATGTAGTAATTTTTTAAAGGCAGAGTATACTGTGTAAATATGTGGAAAACTAAAATAGCATTATTAAGAAATGATAATGAATCCGTTAGTTAACTTATTATTATTTATGCAATAGTAACCGTCAGGCGAAGTTTTCTCGATGTCGCTCAGATGATGAAGCAGGAAGTCAGCGAAGGCGCCCTTCTTCTCGAGCAGGTGCTGGTAGGAGCCGGCCTCGGAGACCTGTCCGTCGCGCAGCACGACGACCAGGTCGGTCTGCGCGAGGTAGGACACGTTGTGCGTGACCCAGACGCGCGTCCTGTCCTTGAGCAGGCCGGCGGGCCCGATGACCTTGTCGAAGATGTGCTTGCCGACGTGCGAGTCCACGGCNCGAAGGCGCCCTTCTTCTCGAGCAGGTGCTGGTAGGAGCCGGCCTCGGAGACCTGTCCGTCGCGCAGCACGACGACCAGGTCGGTCTGCGCGAGGTAGGACACGTTGTGCGTGACCCAGACGCGCGTCCTGTCCTTGAGCAGGCCGGCGGGCCCGATGACCTTGTCGAAGATGTGCTTGCCGACGTGCGAGTCCACGGCGCTCAGCGGGTCGTCCAGCAGGTAGTTGTCCGCCTCGTGGTACACGGCGCGCGCCAGCGACACGCGCTGCTTCTGACCGCCCGATAAGTTTATACCTGATAACAATCAATACAAATCACGTAATGAGTTTTAATGAAAAAATTTAATGGCGAACGTGAACAGTGACGTCATCATATTCCGCAGTGTTCTCTTTCTCTCTGACTAGGAAGGAGACTGAAACGATTAATCTTTTCTGTATTGTTCGTTATTTGAAATGCAGCTTGTAAAATAAAAATAAACTACTACATTTAACGATTTTCTAGAGGTTCGTTACAATATTTTTATTTTTTTTATTGATTAGATGGGTGGACGAGCTCACAGCCCACCTGGTGTTAAATAGTTACTAGAGCCCATAGACATCTACGACGTAAATGCGCCACCCACCTTGAGATATAAGTTATAAGGTCTCAGTATAGTTACAACGGCTGGCCCACCCTTCAAACCGAAACGCATCTGCTTCACGGCAAAAATAGGCGGGGTGGTGGTACCTACCCGCGCGGACTCACAAGAGGTCCTACCACCAGTAATAGTTTGGAATATTTGATAATATTAATTATTTAGAGTTAATATCCAGTCACCTTTCTCTCCGATTTCGGTCTGATCTCCTCCAGGCAACACGTCAAAGTCGGGTTTGAGGGCGCACACATTAATAACGTTATTATAAGACTGCTGCTGCAGAGGCTTCCCAAAGAGTATATTATCTTGTAGCGTGGCATTTTGGATCCAGGCCTGTTGCGGAACGTACGCTATGCTGCCTGTAAGGAATACAATTCAAATATTATTTCCACTTCCGCCTTTAGTTTTTATACAAAGAACGATTTTTAAAATGACACTTGCCGTGTGTATTCACTCTGCCTGATATCTTGTTCATCTCGCCAAGCATTGCAGCTAGCAATGAACTCTTCCCGGAACCTACAGCTCCGACTATAGCCACCAAGGAACCACGCGGTACATTCAAATTAATATTCTTCAATACAGGATCGGCATCTTTTTCGCCCCAGGTAAAATTCCCGTTTTCGATAACAATGGGACTGGCTGCGAACGATGTTTCAATATAATAATTAAAAAAAATAAACATTCCCTTTGCCTACGACTTAAAAAGAAAGAAAGTTTTTTTTTCTTTTGAAAGAGTGACAAGACATACAGAGAAAAAAGTCAACTTTAAAAAACGAATTATTATGTCTTAAAATTCAGGAAACACAGCCAAACGTTACTTACGCTCTTTCTTGTCGTGATCGACGGAACTAATGTCGAGCTCATCGCAGTTCATGAATTTGTTCAATCTCTTTATGCCTACAGACGTCTGAAAATATTCATTGATGAAGTCAAAGCGAATTGTTGTTGTTGTTGATTAGATTTATGAAGCTATAAATAGAAACGTCCCCTACACCAAGCGGACCTATTCAGTTCAACCAATGTATTTGCATGCTTGTTTTTTTTTTTAAAGTTATCGTCTCTGTTAGTTGCAATCAAATAGGAAAAATTAATATGATTTTGTTCGTTATGTACCTATTTGGAGTGTTCTTAAGAAGTTTCTATAAAGAAAAGAAAAAACAGGTGGCTTGCTTTTTATTGTGATTTAATTACAATTCAATAATGTTCCGGCTACATTAGTGCTGTACTGTTGAAATATTTCTACCATTATCGTCACGAGTTTTCTGTTATTCTGTTTTCAAAGTGACGTATTATTTAAAAAAAAAAAACTCATCAGTAACGATCAATTATTTAAAGGGTCAAGAAAATCTAAATAGCCTTGAACACGAGACGCTTCCATCATTCGTATGAATTAATAAATACGAAGCGTGGGAAAACATTGCATCGTATTTCAAAGGAGCGATACATTTGAAGATAATTAATTTATATAAAACTAGCTCCTACTAAAACTACTACGTACTGTACTATTTAGACGTATTCAATTTTAAATCCAAAACGGAAGCCACCCTGATTAAATTTAGAATTTTTTTGAAATATGAACTTACTTGTACTACATTCGATATAACGTTAGGCAGCATTGACAGTGGGAAACGCAGTATGTTGAAAAGTGATAATGCAACGAAAGCCTTCTCAGAGTCCAGAGTTTCCTTATCGTTCACCAATACAAAGCATCCGAACGACATCAGTGACACCTACGAGACCATACCATTGATTAGCTCTTACCTGGAGGGGTACATGCATACTGTCCAGGACTAAAACCCGTTTCAGCTTGTGTTGTTACACATTTTATTCCACATTCAAAGTCACAATTTGAAGGGAATCTGTTTGCTTTCTAAACAATTTACATTACGATTTTTTTCTCAGTACTTATTGTGACAAAAATAAAATCATGAATTTTAAAAATATTCATTTTCATGTTTAAACAATTTGTGGCGCGCGCTAATTTGTGAAAAAAAAAAAACAAATCTTTCGGGAAGGAATTAAAGAAATAACCTTCCTAATTCTGATATTCTTACAAATTTGATATTCCTTGATACATTAATATGTGAGTTAACTGTAATTTATTCAGTTTGGATGTTGTTACAAAAGATATAATTCATACTTAAGATTTCACAATCTTATTTATGTGTCTTTGATTGGTTTAGTTATCACACATATGTCAATGAACTGTGCTTTATATTTGATTTATGAATTGATAAACTGTAAGATATATAAAATTTGTTCCTATAAATTTTAGAAGTTGTACTTCATAAAAATATATTTTAGATTTGTTAGCTAAATGTTTAGTTTTTTATGTGCAGATTCATGGGAGTAAATCCGTCGATTTTACTATTGAATAATTTTTCCAAATTTCTGAGAAAAAAATCTCACAAAAATCGATCGATTATAATCGATAAATAGATATTATATATCGATATTATGAATAATCGTCGTGAACAACGCAAAGCTTTGGAATGTTTAATTAATTAATTATCGCATGGCCAATAATGCGGTTAGTGAAGTTCGGATGGGATAGAACCATAGCCTCCTACACTCCGTACCGTACACAACACAACATGTTGCTCTACCTCTATAGCGGAAACAATGATGAAAGGCAGAAAACCTAGTGGTACGTTCATTGTGAAAAACAGCGACATCGAAACAAATATCCTTTCGGCAGTCAGGATATTATTCTCAGGATCGGATATCACATATGTGAAGAACGTTAAGAAGGTCACCTTTAACATAAAATTATTATTAATATTTTATTATTTATTACTTGTTTTCTCTTCTTTTTCACTGCAATGCCACTTGCGATTGCAAGGATACATGTATTAATTATGCGATGTCATTTTATTAATTCTACGGCCGCCTATTGGATCGTCAAATTGGTATAGCGGTATAAAAATATTAACACAACACACCGACAGTACAGAAGTACAGCTCATTTATGTATAATATACTTCATTTTCATTCAACCTACGCTCGGTGCTCGTGCTAGGGCTGTCAACTCAGGCTTATAAAGAAAAATGTGTGATGTAGAAAAGTCTATAAACATAGTACCTACATATATACTGTGGTGAGGGCACTCATATCTAGTTGTTTTATTAATTATTTTATATTATTGAGAATGAAACAGGAAAAACAGAAATAAAAAACCATTCATAAAATAATTAAAGTTCAAAGTTATAATTAATTAACACGTAATTATTTTAATTAAAACTACGTTTAGTTTAATCTCACGTTTATCATTTTCATTTTCTTATTTTCAATGATTCGTATTAAAAAGGCATAATTATGACCACGATTGCTGAAAACTGAAGGGAAGACGATATACTGTTAAAACTACTTATATGTTTTAATCTCGCATTTTTGCCGTCGTCATATTATTTGCGATGTTTCGGATACTTTTCAGTTTCACGTGGTCACGGAAGAAGTAGTTCTAGAGGAAGAGGTGGAGCTAAGAAGAAATGGATGGATTGCGTGAAAGACGATATGGGTATATGATAGAGGAGTATGGAAGGAGACAACATGTTGCGCCGACCCCAGGTGACTGGGAGAAAGGCAAGAGAATGATGATGGAAGGCGTAGTTTTAATTACATGTTACGACTTACGGAACCGCAAGAAAACACTATACTATAGGTAATATTATTTTATTTATAAAATTATACTGAAAATTGCATCCAACGCCAAGATTTGTCCGAGATTAATTTGCACTTAATATTCGGACAGGTTGATTGCTTATCGATTTCAATGATGTGACTCACGAAAAAGCCAAATATTAACGTAAAAACTTCTGTTCTGCGACTAAATTACGATAACGATTGTATTTTACGAACCATTTCCTGATTGGTGATTATCCCTATAAAACAATACGAGCACATACCTGACTACTCGTTTTTATATTATTTATATATTATTATTAGCTTTTATTTTTATACGTTACGAACCATCCAATTACAAAAAATTTATCTATATACTTACCACCCTGAGACACCATATAGTTAATTAAACGATAATGCGCTAATATCATAGCAAAACACTGTCTACAGAAGGCGACCCTCGTGTTTTCATAGTTCCCGCGTATTCCGAGATTTATTTATTTATTTTATCGAGGTATGATTACTGGTCGCCCGAAGACCTTTCCAGTTTCACCAGGACAGGTGGGCGAGCAATAGCTCAGCTCGAAGGGTTGGGATTTGCTAACAGCTGCTCGAGTGCCTCCAAAGGAAACCTAACAACTCAAGAGCAGCTTTTTCGCGATTAAATCTACTACCGGATCGGAATTGCGAACCGCCATTCTGAGATTTAGTATTAGCGATTACACATATATGTGTAGGTACCCAAGCGCGCTCCTACAAACTTTGACTCGACGTATTGATTCACAAAATAAGGTGGGATTACTTGTACTATGGAAGACAGAAGTAAAAATAGTAACAGTTAACTATAATGATTATGAGCAGGCTATTGTCATGTAAGATTCTTTAATCTTAAAATCAGATTTTGCAAAAAATCCTTCATTGATTAAATTAGCGTGAAACTACAAAAATTTTGTTTATCATATATTAATTTGTAATTGAGTTAATATTATTTATTGATATACGAGTAATATATCAAATTATCGAATTCGGTAAGTTGTTAAATATCAATGTTTTGACATTTTATTGCGTGTTGTAATCAGAGATTATTTTGTAATACTTTATTTATTATCAATCAGAACGAAATGTAATTGTTAATAAATGATTTTGCAATTTACGGTCCCAATTAGATAAGGATATTTCTTTATATTATGAAATGTGATAAGTATTATTTGAGTCTCCTAAAAAAGCGGACATCATCAAAGCGACTGTTCTGACTACAGGTAAATAATATAGTATTTTCTTTTTCCGCGAGTCGGCCTTTTACGTACACCCAAAACATATTCTTGATATGGATTGTCCATCACAATGGCACTTTATCACTTCCTGTGAGTATGGAAAGCAGCATTCTCAGAGTTCTATACGGCATATGGCGTATTATGAGCTTGTCCGGCGGTGTAAGCATCTCCCACAATCACATATTCTGTCGGGCCGCAATAAAACATTCAGATTTTCAGAACGTGACAATCGTTGTACAATATAAATACGTTCAAAGCGTTGATATTAATTAGAATTTCGTTACACTTCAATATCTTTACAGTCTTTAAAGACATCATGATGATGAGGGAGTTCATATAGAGTCCCTTCTTTCTTTCGCCGTAAAGTCGTGTTTTATGTAATTAACATCACAGTTGAAACAATATAAATTTTATTGATATAGCGGCATAAACAATTCTAGCTAATTATATTATATTAGTTAATTAACACACTATAAAATGTTTTTATGTTTTAAATATTTGGCGGTAAAAAGGTCCCGTGTCACAGACTGTATTCTGTTTTCCACATCTCGTGCGTTCCGGCTTACGCATCATAAAAAGGTGCGTACTTAAACGCCACAATGATATAACCTATTCGCTACTTACCAAAAACGGAGCACATGACCAAATGAAAGAGGTCGCAGAATTTAGATACGCTGTTTGTTTCAGTACGTGCATTTCCTTGTTCCTTATTTGCAGGATCTGATCTTCGAAGCTAGGCTCCCAAGCGTACATTTTCAGAACCTGTATTAAATAATTAAGTCGTTTATCGACAATAAAATATTTTTCTGTTTCATTGAAATAAAATTGAATTTAATATATTTTAGCAATTTGTTACATTTGCAGTCTATGTCAATAGAACGGTAATCAAATTTCAATGTCATAATATCAAATTTTTATGGGTCTGTATTACATATTATCGAATGTGAAATACAAATTTTTAATATAAGACAATATTGTAAAACTAGCTTAAAATAAATGGTAAAATTTGTTTTTAATTTCACTTCTTGAAATCAGCTGATCGCCGGGTTAACGACCTCGTCTGACTCGAGTTCAGCGGTTTCGTTACGAAAATAAAAGTTTGTTATATATATTTTTTAGATATTTTTGCATGGAAATTTAAATGGTAAATGAATATTGATTTTCGTCGTATGAGAACGATCTTCCTACACCCGTATAAAACAGAAAATAATCAATATATATAACAGATAGCATTAAACCGGTGAGTACGGAATAACGTTATCTCGTGTTTAATGAAATCGGCGCCGAGGTGACGACAAGCCACTTTCACGTTCGTGTCAATAAAATCCTCGTATATGTGCAAATATTATATTATTATGTACAATATGGATATTTCTACCGGGTAACGGTCATGCGTTCGGTTTTGAAGTATCAGACAGGCGCTGTTAGAATAAACTTCCTAAATGGACGTTTCTGGAAACCCCATAATAACGTAAAACCACTAAAAATATAACCAACCATGAACCAATTTTTTTTTATGAAATTGTCATTTGAGTACATTTTGTTGTTGAAATTGTTTTTTTTTTATGCTTAGATGGGTGGACGAGCTCACACAGCCCACCTGGTGTTAAGTGGTTACTGGAGCCCATAGACATCCACAACGTAAATGCGCCACCCTCCTTGAGATATAAGTTCTAAGGTCTCAAGTATAGTTACAACGGCTGCCCCACCCTTCAAACCGAAACGCATTACTGCTTCACGGCAAAAATAGGCAGGGTGGTGGTACCAACCCGCGCGGACTCACAAGAGGTCCTACCACCAGTAAATCCAGTAAACCAGTAATAATGCTTTATACGGTTATGATTTAAATGTTATCAAATTATTTACGGCTTTATTAATAAGCAGCGGTTAATTCGTTCTAGATACTAGTGTCATTTACAGACTCATTTTTATTAATCGATCGATACGATAACTACCGTAAATTATGCAATTATGTTTGTTGATTGTATTTCACAATAATTTCACAAGAAATTTATGATGCGGTGAGTTTATTTTTTTGGCAACACGCTTTAATCGTTTATTATTGATATAATGATTTTAGTGGAGATAACTTATCGGTGGCATCGAATGAGATAATGTTAGAAGAATTGATATCGCGACGACCTCGACGCAAATACATCATTTATTACCCAATGTTTTCAAATCAGAGGCAACGTGTGTTTTTGTCAGATAACATTATGCAGGAAAAAGTCTCTTAGATTACTTTATTTTCAGGGCTACTTTTTTATCTTTTCTCAACAACTTCTGGTTATAAGCACAAATTTAAAATGTTTACCTATTTATAATGATTATAATTATTTTTTCACTCACCTTAATTCCATTGAGCACTTCGTTCATAAGTTTAACTCTCTCATCCTTGTACTTCATCTGTTTTATTTGTAATGTCTTGACCCTGTTCGCTATTAGACCGTTCACCGGTATAAGAATGATCATTACCGCCAAACCAGCGAGTACTGACGGACCTAAGATAGCCCACAAGAAATATAGGGCGAGGGCGATCTGCAGAGGCGCCGACCATATCATGTTCAAATATGCCGTTAACTCAACGAATCTGTTCGGACAAATAAATCAATAATGTATAGATAGTTCAATAATTAATTTACATCAATTTTAAATGCGAACAACATTAAGTTTTATTAACAAGTTTTTTTTTTCTACCTATGCTGATAGTCTTGAGAGGCTATTTCAGCTTCACCCTAACGTGTGTAGGTGAGCTCACGGGGCTCAAACCGGAGTGTTGCTAACACTGACCCTAGCCAGAGCAGTGCTTCGCAGAATCTACCACCGGATCGGAAACGCGATACACTGAGTAGATCTGGCGAGAAACTCAGTGGGCTGTGTCTATGGGTTAATTCGCTCGTCGAGCCTTTCGTCGCAAGCGTCGGGTTCGACGAGAACGGTGACCGGATTAACAAGTCAGGTATCAATCTATCAACGAAATACTCTTTTTATGATACTGCTCTGCAGAGTTAATTGATTTCATGCGATTTCCTTATTAATTTCATTATATTAATAACATTTCAAATCAAAGGAAACCCGCGAAATGGAACCATTTTCTTGATCTTATTTTTGCCTTTGTACAACTTTTGGATACTTTTGGGAGTACATAAATGTACATGGAGGTTTGATCATTGTTATTTTTCAAAATTAATAAGTGATAAAAATATTTCAAAATGTAAATTGCGTGTCCGAAAATAGTAAATGTAATATCGGTATTGTTTTTTATTTGTTTTACTTTTATGTAGTTTTCACATTACGCTTTATCTTAATTGGCTCTCTCGCTTGTAAAGCAATGCGCACAATTGGCGCTAGCTTATAAGTTCAACGAACCTTGCATTGGATTCAATTTGATGTTAACAATATTAATATATACAAGCGGCCCGCTCCGGCTCCGCTCGGGTCTTTAACAAAAATTTCAACGTTTTTTTTTTATTGCTTAAATGTGTGGACGAGCTCACAGCCCACCTGGTGTTAAGTGGTTACTGGAGCCCATAGACATCTACAACGTAAATGCGCCACACACCTTGAGATATAAATTCTAAGGTCTCAGTATAGTCACAACGGCTGCCCCACCCTTCAAACCGAAACGCATTACTGCTTCACGGCAGAAATAGACGGGGCGGTGGTACCTACCCGTGCGGACTCACAAGAGGTCTTACCACCAGTAATTACGCAAATTATAATTTTGTGGGTTTGATTTTTATTACACGATGTTATTCCTTCACCGTGGAAGTCAATCGTGAACATTTGTTAAATACGTATTTCATTAGAAAAATTGGTACCAGCCTGCGGGATTCGAACACCCGTGCATCGCTAGATACGAATGCACCGGACGTCTTATGCTTAAGGCCACGACGACTTCGATATTTGACGTTGTTTTATTTTTAAAAAATTTTTTTTTACATAAAACGCTTATATTGCGGCATAACTATAATAGTTAGACATATGCTGTCGCGACACTATTTGTGAATAATAATGTGTTCTACAAAGTCGTAGTACATAATTTTATTCTATCATCAATAGTTTTCGCAGGGCACGCGATATAAAGAATATTTTAGGTAATTAAATTTACTTTAATTTAATTTAATTTAATCTGCCAATGATTAATTAAAAAAAAATAACGTAAAATGATAAAAGATTATAAAAAAAAGTATATAAAATGTGTTTCATTTTTGCGTTTGTCAAAAAAGTTATTAGTAGGACATTTTTTGTAAGGTTTCCTAACATAACATAACAGAATAGTTATGTGATCAATTATCAGTAATTATAAGTAATTTGTTTCAAATACGTAAGTAACTTATTTTATTTTTGAATTATTATTATATATATATTTTTTTACTTTTAGCCATTCTTAAGTATAATACTAAATTGTGTATTTTCATGTGTATTTATATATTATTACTTTACATGTATATTATATTGTGTGTTATTATGCGTATGTATGTATTTTCCTATTTTATACATAGGTATATTAAACTGTAGTATGTGTATTCTATAATACTGAGATGTTATTTTAAGGAAGATTTTTATTTTGAGTTTGTTCTTTTTTTTTTTGTTTTGTTGTTGTTTGTTATTCTTTTGTCAATGCACCTACCATGCATTATCTCTGCACCACCCTATGGTCGACTGGAAGAGAATGCCCATGGCATTAAGTCCGCCTGTGTACAAGTTTTGTTTTGTGCATAAAGTATAAATAAATAATCTGTTACAGTTAATGTCATTAGATTAACTTATAATCGAATTACTTTATAACTGATTACAATAAGTACTCGCTGTAATCAGTTACTTAAGTAACCTGTTACAAAGTATCTCAATTACCAATTACAATGTAATTGTAATTTGTAATTATTAATCTGATTACTTTTTGCCCATCACTGTTCTAAGCTATGCAAGCGATTTTAATACGGTTTTCATGAATATTATAGAAACATCGACAAACGAGAAAGGTTTTTGTATATAATTTAAAATATTTTAGACGAAATGGCTAATCTATGTCGGAGTTTTGTAAAAAAAGTATATTATATATTTCGTACGGTTACGTGGCTCACTCTTCGAGAACTATAAGAGAAAGTGTAGTTCACGCGAGCAAAGCTGCGGGCGGAAAGTTGGTATGGAGATATGTACCTAAGCTAATAAAATCAATTAAAACAGAAATCAGGATGGATTCGATCGAGAAATTTTGACTTCAGATCATATATTATGTAAATTTCTTCTTTTTTTGCACGTATCTGAATACCTTGAATGTTATATTTTGCATTGGTTTACATTGGGCGTCCGAAAATTAATGAAAGATTTCAATTAAATAGAAGAGAGAGTTTTAAATATTTTTGTTATTTTTTCATTGCATCATAAAGTACACAGTTGGAATAACACATCGGGCAAATGGTCTCCACGGCTTTGTTGGCACAAAAATTATTGGTGGTAGGACCTCTTGTGAGTCCGCGTGGGTAGGCACCACCGCCCTGCCTATTTCTGCCGTGAAGGAGTAATGCGTTTCGGTTTGAAGGGTGGGGCAGCCGTTGTAACTATACTGAGATCTTAGAACTTATTTCTCAAGGTAGGTGGCGCATTTACGTTGTAGATGTCTATGGGCTCCAGTAACCACTTAACACCAGGTGGACTGTGAGCACGTCCACCCATCTAAGCAATAAAAAAATAATACGCACTCTTTGCCGAAACATTTCATAAGCTTTCTGTGTAATTGTGGCTGAATTTTGTCGATGCAGCGTTTCATTCATTCTTGTAATCAATGCGTGGTTGTAGGCTTTTTAACATAGATCTTCGATTTCAATTAACCCCATAAGAAGAAATCTAATGTTGTTAGACCACACAATCTAGGGGGTAATTCTAATTCTGAAACGACAGAGTACACGACCAGGAAACTTATTTAGTACTGGCTGTGTGGCTTGTTTTGTTGAATCCACTTATTAGACACCTCAATAGTATCTAATTTTTGCAGAAAGAAATGTGTTATTACGTCGCTATTTCGAGCACCAGTATCCGTTACTTTTTGACCAGCTTCGTCTTGAGAAATACCATGATCCAGCAGAAAATCTTCACCTTACAGTTACATGTCGCGGGTACAATCACGTGTGGGTGGGTCCTCCGAACCCCAAGTACGGCTATTTTGGCGATTAACAAAGCAATCTAAGTAAAAAATGTGCTTCATCGCTTAGGATGATTTTACTGGCAGCAAAATAAATGGCAATGGATAAATGGCAGCAAATTCAAATCTTGCGTTAATTTTGGGACACCCTGTAGTTTCAAGAACGGTCGCATGCCTCAAAATTAGAATAGAAAACGGAGGAAATCATAGTTTAGAAAAAATAAAAGAGACATTATTTGGAACAAGTGTTGCGGAAATGAGGTCAGGATCCTTTACCCGTATCAGAAGTTCAATCAATCAAACTATCATCATGCCAGATCCATTGGATGGAGGTCATCGAATCTAATCTGGTAACTTTGACCTTTTTTTTGGCACAGGTGTTATATTGTTAACGGTTGTCCTACTCTTATTAAACCGGATAGTAGCCATGCCTTTGCGGCAGAAACACATAGGGTCAGTGCCGCACCACTACCCGTGTGAGTTTACACTCTTAATACTAATAAAAGTTACCGTCTGGTTGTGTTTTCATGATTTTCTTTAGATACCGAACTTATTATTTCGGAAACTAAAATCACATTTGAAGATTGTAATCCCCAATAACATTGGATATTTTAATTTAAAAACGATACGTGTTCTGTAAAATACAAGATGAGAGATATAAAGAATTACAGTCCAACTTTATTAGAACCGTAAATGTCAGATTGTGGGTTGATTTGCTCAAGGTCACGATGACGTTTCTTATAAATTTTATCACGAAAGGATGACGAACATATGTAGTAGAGTATCTTAATAACAGAGTATGTGTTGCGCAAAAAATACAATAGGCTTTATCTTTAAAACTATTTCTGTTTACTTCAAATCCGGAAGATTTTTTTTCCTGGGATACATTAGTAATCATACAATTATACGTTTTGGGCTTATACCTTATATTTTATGTTATATGTTAAAATATATATTAATATCTTTATTATGTACATTATGTACGTGTAATATGTACAAAGAAGAAAGAAGCATTATTAAGATTAGGTCGATTAAGTTTAAAAAAAAATTCAACAACGGTTACCACCTACACTCGCTATGGTTCATGTTTCCTTTGATCTTCAATATCCATTTAGCAATGAATATACAACCTAAGCAAGTTCAGTAATAATAAAACCATTAATAACGTAATTTTTAACATTTATCACAGTCAGTTCCTGTATAATAGAAACAACTATTTATTTAATAACAGCGTTCCCAAAATAATTGGTGGTAGGACCTCTTGTGAGTCCGCACGGGTAGGTACCACCGCCCCGCCTATTTCTGCCGTGAAGCAGTAATGCGTTTCGGTTTGAAGGGTGGGGCAGCCGTTGTGACTATACTGAGACCTTAGAACTATATCTCAAGGTGTGTGGCGCATTTACGTTGTAGATGTCTATGGGCTCCAGTAACCACTTAACATCAGGTGGGCTGTGAGCTCGTCCACACATCTAAGCAATAAAAAAAATCCACGTTTTCTAGATCGATAATTTATAAAATTACCTAACATACATAATCGCACATAAGCTGTATACATTTTAAATTAATTAAGTTAGCAGTAAATCACAGAAAGTCTCGTGCAAGTTACATAGACTAGTTCACGGAGTAATAAAGTTTATCACAGTCCATAAACAGTACAGTCAAGCCACCCACGTTGAGATATAAAATCGAAGGCTAGCTCTGACTTCCAGAATCATGCAGCTTGTTGACGTAATACGGAATTTATGTGTATCTATGATACGGACTCTAAGCCAAGGCACGCATTGGCGACAGGTCGCAGCGGCTAGGTCGCGGCGGCCAGCGAAATATATGCAGCCGCCCTGCCTATTTCTGCCGTGAAGCAGTAATGCGTTTCGGTTTGAAGGGTGGGGCAGCCGTTGTGACTATACTGAGACCTTAGAACTATATCTCAAGGTGTGTGGCGCATTTACGTTGTAGATGTCTATGGGCTCCAGTAACCACTTAACATCAGGTGGGCTGTGAGCTCGTCCACACATCTAAGCAATAAAAAAAATAAAAAAAAAACAAATTTTGAATAATTAACTTTTTTGTGTGATTATATAACCATTTAAGTGGTTAATTGGTTTATTCTACGGGTCACGGATTTTACGGGCGAACGAATGGATTTAATGTAGCTTAGTATTTTGAAGGTATCTGAATGTATGAAAATATATTAATGGAGTTCATTCATTTTTTTATTTTTGAAGTTATACTTCTTTAGGCGCGTTATGAAAAATTGATGAGAGTGAAATTTTACGATGCGCGCGCACCGTGACACAAAATTAACAGAAATGAAGTTGCCCACTAAATCGCTCATTACAATACGACCAACTTGGCGAGTCTGAATATAGCCGCAGGTGAACTTTCGCGCATGTACACTCGTAAAAAAAAGTGTTATTAGCATTCATTTTTAGTAATATAAATGACAAAATTATTATTTAATATAATTCATACTAAATATTATTAAATTATTAACGTTAAAAGTTTATTATTAAAAAAAAAGAAATAAATTTAATAAAAATAAAGTATAACTTCTTACGCGCGTACATAAGTATACGCACCCATTTTTTTGTCGAAGTTACATATCTGACTTGTGATTCTTTGATAAAAACAATCAATAGTCTATCTAATCATAGAATGAAAAGGCTTGTTAAAGAATTATCGATTTGAGCAGTTTTAACTTAAAAGTCTCGTCTGCCTTGTCTACAATATAACTTTGCTTTTTGTTTCATGTAAAAAATAGGATGAGTCGGTCGCATAATGCACCACTACTAACTAAAAAAAATCGAAGCTACTTTTATTGAAAAACTTTTGAGGTTTGTGATTTTATAAAAAAAAAACATACTATTTTGATCAATGATACCTATGATAGATATGTAACGGATTCTTTCAGCCTAATTCACCAATAACAAGACGTCTGATTGACCTGATTTGGTTCATTGACTTGACTTGAATTATCAAGGATCAATGACAATAGAGTAATTACAAGTAGAAGTCGTCGTGGCCTAAAGGATAAGGCGTCCGGTGCATTCGAATATAGCGATGCATCGGTGTTCGAATCCCGCAGGCGGTTACCAATTTTTCTATTGAAGTGCGTACCTACCTATTTATAGCCTTTCCCCTTCGATATATTCATTAAATCAGTATTCTTGCGATATGTACAGATTTTTTTGTTTTAATCACTAAATAAAATGTAATAGTTCTAAAAAAATTCTCTTCAAGGCAAACATCATCACAACGTATGATGTCATACGTGGCTAATCATTAACAGTGACGCGTGTGGCATAGTAACAGTAAAAATTACATCCCACATAATAAATTTGCCTTTAGCCTAATTTTGAAAAATGAATTTGTTTAGAATGCTTATGCTGAAGTATGTTGTGAATCTAAAAGTAAATGACAGATCTTGAAACACAATACGAGTATATTGAGTGCCCGCCCGGTTCGTGTACGCGTTGACAAATTAACATTATGTATCTCTTTATTATTCAAACAAATTCAATTAAACACAATCTAATTCTAAATGTTAGTCTAAGCTTATCTCAATTCATATCACCGAAAAAAAAAACGTCACAATTAAATTCAGCTATTGTGGGAGTAAGCACGTTCTAATGTTTCAACTTTATTGTGTATATAAAAGAATCGAAAGGTTTAGAAAATATTTCTACGTTCATAGCATTGAAATTAATCACAGAAGTTGTTTAAACATTGCAAAATATTGAACAACATAATTAAATAACACTATCTCTTCTGATGTTTTATAAAGGATTTATGTCTTAGTTTTATCATGATACCACTTCTGTATCTGCTACATACACACAATGCTTGACGGTTTACGCCCGTAGCGAAGGTTCACGTTAATTGTGACGTCACAATGAGTCCAATCGATCTTCATTAAATTCGTTGTCGAGTATCAAGGATGGGAATTGAATTTTTTCGTTGCTAGTACTGTTTTCACAGTTGTTATTTCAATACAGTTATGTCATGTATGTACCTGTTTTATATGCAAATTGCGTTCAGAGTGTTACGTTAAATCTTTTGGTACAAATTTCTCGAAAAACTAGCGCTACTTTACTGGTGGTAGGACCTCTTGTGAGTCCGCGCGGGTAGGTACCACCGCCCTACCTATTTCTGCCGTGAAGCAGTAATGCGTTTTGGTTTGAAGGGTGGGGCAGCCGTTGTAACTATACTTGAGACCTTAGAACTTATATCTCAAGGTGGGTGGCGCATTTACGTTGTAGATGTCTATGGGCCACCACTGGTAACCACTTAACACCAGGTGGGCTATGAGCTCGTCCACCCATCTAAGCAATAAAAAAAACTTGTTTGAAATATAACGGCCGTCTGGTGTAGTGGTAAGTGACATGGTCACTACAAAAGGGGGTCGCGGGTTCATATCCTGCCATATTTGTATGATAAATATAAAATGTCTTTTCCAGAGTTATGGATGTATATTAAATGTGTATGTGTATAATAAAAATCTTATATTTATTTCCGTTATCTGGTACCTGTAACACAAGTTCTTTACGAACTTACCACGGGACCAGTTAACGTGGCGTGATTGTTAGTAAATATTTATTATTATTATTATTATTATTATAAAATGAGTAATATCGTACAAAGTATTCGACGAATACGATCCGCGCGATGATACGTCAGGTACACAAAATACATAACATTTAGAATAAATGAATAAAATATTAAGGATTTTGTAAAAACATACGTTCATTTCCAAGTCAAACAACATAATATATTGTCCTAAGACCTACTCTACATACACTACGAAGTTTGGAATACACTAAACGTATTCCAAGATTATTATTATATTACGAACATGAATTAATTAATGCTCTCTCTGATCGTAATGTCGACCGTGTCTTAACAGTCTTCTAAGTGCCGTCAGAAATCTGTGGCTAGTTTTAATAAAAAAAGGCTATCCAGTTTAGCGGTAAATAGGCAGCGGCTTGGCTCTGCCCCTGGCATTGCTGAAGTCCATGGGCGACGGTAACCACTCACCATCAGGTGGGCCGTGCGATCGTCTGCCTACAAGGGCAATAAAAAAATGGCGGGGCTGCCCCCTCCCGCGCGCGCGATGTGTTACAGTCCTTACTTAGCGTAATAAATTATTTGATTCTTTAACTATCCAGTGGTGTAACTGAAATTTGGATGGAGATGATAGACATGTAGCTACAACACTAAACTGTATCCCCCGATTTTGTTATCATTCGTTTTTTTGGATTGCGTCCCTATGGAAGTAATTTTAAAGACGTATTCACGTCAAAAAATTTAAATTAACCGATGATTGTATCATGGATTTAAAACATATCTCACTAAATCCTTTATTTAATCCTAATCTTTATTGCCTATAATTGTTACTAAATGCATTAGAACTACTAAATAAGATTAAAAATATATATAAAGTAGTGTTGACAGTAAGCTTACCTTACAAACTCAGATTTTTTTTAAAACTTTAATAAACTTACCTCTGAGCATCGACAGACATCAAATTGACAATTTCTCCAACGGTTGACTCCTTTCTAGCCGAGTTCGACAAACGTAGGGATTTTCTGTAGATGGCGCTCGTCAACGCTGTTCTGATCCTCATACCCACTAGATACATCCTAGTGAAGTAGTGCGCCAATAGCATTGTTTGAGTAATGGCACACAGCAGCAGCGCGACGGCGTATGCGTAACCTTTCCAGTCCGGTTCATCGTTCTTAACGAAACTTATTAATAATCTAAAATCATATTTTAGTCTAATTAATACCTTTAATTTAATCTCATTAGAACCAACAAAATAATGAATAAGATGTTCAACAAATTTTATCGATATCTATACTAATATTATAAAGAGGAAACATTTGTTTCTTTGTTTGTATTGAATAGGCTCCGAAACTACTGAAACGATTTGAAAAATTCTTTCACTGTTTAGATGCTACACTATTCCCGAGTGACATAGGCCATAATATGTAAAAATAAAAATAAGGGATCCTTACTCCAATAATGTAAAAAAATTACCTAAAATATACTTTACATTGCGTGCCCTGCGAAAGCTATTGATCATAGAATAAAATAATGTACTACAACTTTGTATATCACATTATTATTTACAAAAAGTGTCACGATAGCATATGTCTAATTATTATAGTTATGCCGCAATAAGTGTTCTTTTATTAAAAAAAATAAAACAAAGTTGTTGAAATTTTTATTAAAGACCCGAGCGGAGCCGGAGCGGGCCGCTAGTAATATCCAGTAATATCCATCTACGGTGGTTTTACGGATGTTCCGTTATAACTACTGAACCATGCATCCGATTGACTTGAAACTTGGTATCTATGTAGAAAATACAGGTACTTAATGGATAGGCTAATATTTATATGAGTGTTGGACTCCCTACACCTGTTGCGGGGGCGTTAATGATGAGAATCTTTGTGGGGATGAGAAATAATAATGTTAATTTTAAATGCCCAGCCAAGCGGACCGGTATAGCTAGTACATTATATAAATACAACAAACATTTATTTTGAAATTCATTCCAAAATGACTAAAATCGGACCTTTTCAAATTTGGTGCTGAGGACAATTATTGTCAAATTAACAAAAAATTATGCAGATGAATAATCTGCATTATTTTTTGTTGCATGACGGTCGTTCGTGACGTCATCGATTTTAANATGCCCAGCGAAGCGGACCGGTATAGCTAGTACATTATATAAATACAACAAACATTTATTTTGAAATTCATTCCAAAATGACTAAAATCGGACCTTTTCAAATTTGGTGCTGAGGACAATTATTGTCAAATTAACAAAAAATTATGCAGATGAATAATCTGCATTATTTTTTGTTGCATGACGGTCGTTCGTGACGTCATCGATTTTAAAGTTCATCATGCGAGTGAGATAGCGAGATGTTTCCAAGCCCACTTCCTTCCATACTAATCATGAAAATATGAATTGGAAGTCCTTTTATAACTAATAAATATAACTTTCTAGTGTCGGCGGATACTGGCTCGATTTAATCAAATTGACGTACTTACTTGAGGAGCTGTGGAGATATAAACATGAGAATATCGTTGATTAACTTCAAGATAGAACCAAAAAGAAACTGTCCTCCAAATGCGAGACACAGTGCTGGTAATATCGAGGCTGGCTTCTTTTCATTTTCTGGCTTGAAGTTGACACTGGCTGAAGTTTTTCGGTACGTCGCCTTAGTACCGTTCGATCTAAACGTTACAAATAAACAAACATACATTGAACTGTTTGGTTTGTACAATAGATTCCGGATTTTATAGTATAACATGTTTTAATAGTTCACTAACAGTTCGCGTTTCTTCAGAGATCTTTCCCAAAATTTATCGAATTTCGGAACGCATTCTTTTGAAGAGTCCGGTGGGTTCAGGGCCCACAGATCGTTCTCAACAAGACTCCTGCGGAATCCAGTCAGGGCGAGCGGATCGAACCAGCTAAACGTGAGGCGGCTCGGGAATCCCGCTGCATTCTCCGGACATTGATTCTGTCGAATTAGGATTCGTTAATTCTGACGTGTCCTTTAAAAACCACATTATAAATAATGTAAATCCCATATTTACCTTTTGATACTTATAAGGCGTGTCCTTAGGTGGCAAATCGGCAAAACAATTAAGTATGAACATGAGAACTATCAAAGGATAGTAGACCATGTAACTAATAAAATTGTATTTGACGTTTTCGTCGTCATCTAAATTCTTGTGATCGATAATTTCGGATCTTAGCTGGGGTATTCCAGCTACGACGAGCAGTAACCAGAAGAAAAAGAGCACTCCAGATGCTCTCATACCATACTTTCTGTTATAGAATAGCAATGTTGCTGATAAGCCCTGGAAAAACAAATGGGGTCTCTCAAGATGCAACAATTTTTTTAATTTTTTTATAGCTTAAATGCTTGGAGGTGCTCTTGGCCCACCTAGTGTTAAGTGGTTACTGGAGCCCATGGACATCTACAACGTAAATGCACTACCCACCTTGAGATATAAGTTCTAAGGTCTCAAGTATAGTTAGTTACAACGGCTGCCCCACCATTCAAACCGAAACGCATTACTGCTTCACGGCATAAATAGGCAGAATAATATTTAAAGTAAATCGTTAAACGAAAACAGGTCTAGAATGTTGTGAACGTCCCGAGTCGAGTATAAAGATGACGCGTAAACGCGAGACGCGTATCTACAGTAAATACCAGTATTCTGCAACAGGATTGACTTGTACGATTCCGATCTCTGATATTAGAATGTATTTAAATTCTTCGTTTTATCTGTTAGAGTATATAAGCCTTAACCATTAATATACTCGAACTAAACATCCTTGGAATGCAATCAACTATTAAAAAGATGACGCTATTGAAACAACAAAAAATTATGTCGAAAATTCAACGTTGTTTAGATTTAGTATTTTAGTAGTTTTTTTTATTGATTATTACTGCCAAGGTCGTTTATCTGTAGTATCCGTTTTGTATACCGTAATTCATACGGTCAAAGTTAACGAGACAACAACCGCAATGTACGATGTATAATAAGTATAATTATTGAATTTGGTTATATGACGCAATATTTTTTTTTGCTTTCGTTGTTACCCAGCAGTATGAGTGTTTGCATAACACATGTAAATCTTTGGACGTGTTTATAACGTGAATATAGTCGTTAACTCAAAACGCGAATATGAGGTTGAACGGTTCTACTGTCATAATAGCTTTTATTTATTTACTTAGATGCAGATAAGAATACGGCCCATCTAATGGTTAGTGATTACCGGTGCTCGAGGACATAAGCAATGCCAGGGGCACAGACAAGCCGCTGACTATTGCGTTTGAAAAATTACATGCCATGGCGCTAGGAAAACCGCGGAGGAGAATTTATTCTAAAGCCGGATGATACGTGACAAAAAGTTATTTGAAAACGGACTGTGGACGGCCGCAATGTTGCAAATGCACAAAAGCGATTCAGCGCACCAAAGCACTCAATTGTTATTATTGTATTACACAGATTGACTGAACTCATCGTATGCATCTATATCTCCTATAAATGTTATGTATCTAATGCTATATTAGTCTCTTAGTGTACCTATGAAATATGGAACAACAGATAGACAGATGATAAGGATTTTGTTTCCATAATTAGCAGCTTTCATTGATGCGTGTTCCAAAGCTTAGAGATTTCAAGTAGCTTTCCTTCTTCCTCTCAGGAGGCGCCGGAGTCCGACATAACCCGGTCCGTTACCCCCCCTTGACCGGGTATCCGTAAATGGATTTCCCAGCGTTAAAAAAAAGGTACAAATGTATTCTAGTCATTTGGCTGAATAGCCATAAAAATAGATATAGGCATGGCGGGCAAAATAATCTATCAAAAACTATGAATCATAATAGTGTTTTCAATGTTAAACTTTAGTAGCTCTGGTTTCAATGTTTACCTATGTGTGTTGTAGGCCATATAAAGTGTCTGTTGGAAGAATATGGTAATTTATATTTTAATTTAATAGCTTGGTAATGTCACACATATTTTAATTTATTGGTAATGTATGTATCGAGCACAATGGAACCTTTTGGAAAAAATTTGACAGATAGTAGTGATCCGACAAAATATAATTCGTGCTAACAATGAAATCTTTCATTTTACAAATTCCGAACGAGAATGTTTTGACAAAAACACGCTTTCGGTAAAAGATCTTCCCTTTACTGTAGAAAACACTCACAACTACATTTTCACTAAACTTGGTCACACTAATTATGCTCGATGGTAGATATTTGTACTTAAATTCGAAAATTAAATTTGTCTTAGGTTTAATTTAAAAGCCGGCTCCTTCCCAATGTTGGGGGGCCTGACCAGGTGACGCGCCGTCTCTATACAGGGGTGGTGCGATCGTGCACCATCTCGCAAAAGGAGGCGGCGGGGCGCGTGAGAGACGCACACACATGTCGGCCTGGGGACCGGCGAAGGGGGCCTAAGAAGACGACGTGCAAGCTGCTCTGCACGCGTTTTATGCATGAGCATCCGGGTCATGGAAGGCCGGCTATCCTCAACCCACGCTGGTTCTGACCCAGCGGGGTATTCCGTAGGATAGACCATTCTAACCGGTGCCATCTAGGCGGGCTTCGGATAGCCTGCCGACCGGGAGGGCTGGTGGTCGTGGCGCCGACGACCGCCAGTCCGGCGTCCCGAGGGGGAGGGTGATGGGAGAGATGTGCTCCGCACTAAACGCTTCACTTTCCCCCTTTGCCTTTTCATGAGTTTTGTCTCATGCGAGGTTTGGACGTTGGTTGTTGAGAGACAGGAGGTTTTAGTCGGTTAGACTCCGACATGCCCCGCCCTCCATCCCCAGTGAAGGGCGGAAGTCCGGCGATTTCCTCCTGACAAAAAAAAAAAGTTTTAATTTAAAGAATTAGTTCTCTTCGGGAACTGTATTCTATCAATTTACATCTATTATATCTGAGATTCTATGGATGGCTAAGCGATCCCATTAACAAGTGGAACAAACAAGGATGTGTGGAATGGAATAGTGTGTTGGAATATAGATATTGCAAGGAAGGAATACCAAATATATTTTTTTAACTGCGCGCAATGTAACGCATTTCGAAACAGCTGATATGCGCACTGGACAGTCTGGTCCAGTCAGTTTTTGTAGGCATCTGCCTTCGTTGTCTATGGCAAGTTGGTGTCTTGCTATAACGAAGTACTTAGGTATTTATAATTCGTTTAAAAAAAGCATTTTATACCAATGTGTTGAGCCTGCCAATGCCGTAAATTATTATCATTTCGGCTTCACAAATGGCTTTCTTAGACACTGTTTATGTTGCCACAAATATGGTATTTGTCGATGGGTCTTAAAACAATCAGATGAAGTTACTCAATCACTATTATTTCAATTAGTGTTGGCGAGTTTAACTGTGAATATTTTTATCCTACAGCTACAGATTCATTACGCGCGCCCGGCTTTATTGAACAGCTGTCTTTCAGAAACGGACAAGACTGCCATCACAATTTGAATGGCCTATGATTATTATTTAGCATTTACAAAGTTTTATTAGATATTGTTCCTAAAGTATTCTGATATTCAATATATTATTATGTATATCCATGATTTACTCAGACTACTAACATATTATATTGGTAGAATCACTATCCTCATATTTTTTAAATATTGTATTGTCGTTGTATTATCTTTTGAAGAAATACTTCAAGCAAATTGTCACAGTAGGAGCAGTTGCAACTTTTAGATCATTTGTTTCAATTTAACATGGTTTTTCTGTTTCGTAAAGGTTTTGATTAATGTTTAACTTATAGAGTTAAATCAATCAGATTTTTTTAATTTATTTATAATGTAGGTACTTTGCAGAGTTGATTGGAAAAGTTTCTTGAATTTAAAACTATAGTAGCAAGGCTCCATTTTGGGAAAACTATTGAAACATTATTTTTAATAATGCTATTTTTACTTTTCAAACTAATGATACATTAAAGTTAAAATCGATAATTCTGTGTAGCATGGTTAACCTCACAATATTCTAATAGCATTTATAGTTGTAAAAAATGTATATAATAATACTTACGAATGTTAGTATTTTTATTACAGGACTGTAATAATTCGCATTGTAGACTTCCTTTTCCCCGTTTGAAGATAAATGGACTGCTACACCCAAGTCCACAAATTTCAAAACTATTAAAAGACATGTTACTAGCAATTTCGTGATGTTCAGTATGTTCCATGGTATATTTCGTTCCTTACTATTGAATATGTAATATAAGTCAAGGAATGCAAACACCCAGAGATAGAGACAGGGTGTCCAAATGAGGACAGTCTGCTGGAAACATGGTGTTAGTTCAGGATTATCCGTGTACCAGGTGGCAGTACTGTTCTGTAAGTTAAAAAGATTATTGTTCAATTACTGGCTGAAAATTATCTCTTCAATTAATAATCAGATAATTTGTCTTATCTTTCATGTTTACATATAAACACAAATTAAACATCATGCTTTTAGTTACTCACTAATGAAGAATCATTCTCCCCATTTAGCTTATAACATAATAATCATCTTCTGATTTAATAAATTATGATTTTATCAAGCTTAGAAGACTTAAAAAGTTTTCTAGTAATCAATTTCACATTTTTAAACTAAAATAAAACTTTTTCATTGACTAACAGTATTCCTGAATAAACAATAAATATATTTTTTTAAAGAAAAACTAGTATAAAAGCGCTCTGTTGTTTTATTACTTTTACATTTACATTTCAAAATATTTGAATTCACATGTATATCTATTACCTCTTTTCTTGTTTTATTTTTCAAGAAAACTTACATAGTAAAGTCAGTATTTCTAAATAATAGATGGTGATTGAGGTTTTTATGTCCATTTACTTGCATCTGAAGGATGTTATTTAATTTTAAGTGAGAATTTACTACTTTTGTTTTATCTTGCATTTAATTTTGTCTATGACTCATGAAAATTTATATAATAAATTTACCCCTATTAAATACTATCCTTTTGTTTATCAATCAAGAACTGTAGAGCAGATAATGATCATACAGTATAAGCAAAAATAATAAAATTAATAAACCTAAGTCATGTTTATTGAGTCATGTTTTGGGATAACATTTTGAACATTTCATATTACCCTCACATTTCATTTCTTAACAACAGAGGGTATAAGGTGTTTATACAAGGTATTTATCTTTTTCTTCAATTTTTCCTTGTAGTTTACAATTTGAATTTGCTGTTTAGTTATTTGGGACTGGAATTATTTTAGTGAAAATGTACATCGAAACTTTTTTGATATATTTGATGAAACAATCTGCATCTGTTTCCACAAAATGTTTTAGTGTGATAATTAAGGGACCAAATTTTTTAAATAGAATGTATTTCTATTTATCTTAATGCAATTAAGCACTAAAATTTGTTATTTCATTCCCTTTAATACTGGTATTTTGTGATGTGACAAATATTAGTAGTGATTGAAGTAAGTGTTTATTTCACAATGTTAACATTAAAAATAGTTTTGTTCTACACTAATATTTTGTACAAGCTATCTACATAACTGGTTCTTTGAAGGTGATAATGTTATTACATAAAAATGTAGGCATAAAGTCATGGCCAATATTCTGATGTGAAGTGCATCTTTGATTTAAAATTAATAACTTTCTAGTTTTATTTGCCAATTTCATATATATATTATTATATTTTTTTTTAGCAAAAGGTAAAACTAAACCCGAAATAAACTGTAACACGAAAATAAGAGCCTCTTTTGAGTTGCCTTTTAGATTTTATTATTGACGAAAACTAGAAAAGTTTTACTAGTGTTGCGAGTAACCTTTCACCTGATCATTATGTACCACAGCAAAGCATATAATCTAAGAGCTCTCTTTTATAACTCGTTCATCAAGAATTGTACAAAATCATCTAGAAGTTCATGACCATAGCTGATGTAATTAACATTAAATCCTGAGTTACACTTAGACCTACTTACCCAAAACGGTGTCCCGCAAAAGCTGTCAAGCGTGGAGTTGTAAGACATCGTAAGTATTAGCAGTTTTATTTATTTATTTTGTAGTTGCCATAAAGTTAACCATTGAAACTACACGAAATTTTGAATTCTAAAATTTGTAGTCGATGTTCAAAAAGTACACAATCACAATATTTGTATAGTTTTCATCACTAATCACTGAAGTTTTGTTCCAGCAGATTACAGCACCACCAACTTGAACACCAACTTGTACAAAGCACCACGCGCAACTCGATCGTCGTCGAAGCCGCTGTGCCCCGCTGCTCCAGCCGCTACATCTAAAAAGTAAAAAGCAAAGAGTAGGAGGTAGGTTGGTACCTACCAAGGCTGCCAACCTCAGCATAGTGCAAAACTGTAGACATGCTTCAAAAAAACTTTAGAACACTGTAAATATAAAATTAAAAAACAGAATATCTACATCTTTATCTTTATATTATATTTTGTATAATTTAATGGTAGCAATAAATAGAATACATTGTACGGAGGGCATTAAAAACAAGAAAAATCGTGTAATAATCAAAGTTTTAATCTAATTAAATGTCAAAATCAAAGGTCTCAAAGTTGCAAATATTCCAGTGCCTGCATGTTAAATAATAATAATAATAAATAAATATTTACTAATAATCACACCACGTTAATTGGTCCCGTGATAATTTCGTAAAGAACTTATGTTACAGGTACCAGATAACGGAAATAAATGTAAAATTTTTATTATACACATACACATATTTAAGATACATCCATAACCCTGGAAAAGACATTTATATGTATCATACAAATACCTTCCATAGGCGGGATTCGAACCCGCGACCCCCTTGTGTAGTGACCATGTCACTTACCACACCAGACGGCCGTTTAAATAATATTACTAGCTCTTATTTCATTTTCAATTTCATCTTTATTTTTGTTGAAATCGTACATATTTTTATCAAATTCTTTGAAATGGTCATATGTCACATTAAACTCCAAACAATTTTAATTTCTGACCTAGTGTACGGACTAATAAGAGTCAAGTGTATAATTTATGGTACCTACCTAATTTATTCTGCTTCTGGACTTTTTGGCGGGAACGCGAGAAGTGAAGTTGTGTCATTTGTTTTATTTTGTCTATTTAGTGTTTCTTCGGGTTTAAATGTGTAATAATGGTGGTTTATTAACCGTTTAATATCTGTGAAAGTGCACAAATGTGGGAAAATGAAACAAAGCCGCTGGACGTAGCTTCTCGGGATCCTCCAAAAAGTCCACTGAAAAATCTTAGTAAATGACCACCACTTTACTGAGATTAGATTTCATCTCATATCATCTCATTTAATTTTATCCCAGTTGATTAATGTCTCAAATTAATCATTTTCATTTCATTTCACTCCATAATATCATTTTTCATAAAATTAAGAATATAGATTAAAATAAGACATGACTTAAAGGTCTTAGTTACCAGGTCATAAAATCTCTTAAAAAAAAAAAATTCTGCTTCTGACTTTTTGGCGGGAACGCGAGGAGTGAAGTTGTGTGATTTGTTTTATTTTGTTTAATGGAACGAAGTTCCTTATCGCGCGTTGTGAAAGGGGGCTAGACGGAAAAAATTCTTACGAAAAGTTGTCACACTTTATATTTTTAGAGATACTACTGCCATCTATCAATTTTTATGGGAACAACTTAGACTGTTGAAACTATGGAATGAGTGCAACAGTTACTAACGCATCTAACATCTGTATTATATTATAATATGAATGTCACACAATAATAATAGAGAAGTACTGAAATGTTTTGCAATTATAAAATTTGGTGAGCCACAAAAAAACAGCATTGAAATCATTTGATCGGCGTACAAAGATTTTGTTTGCAATTAAAAAAAACAGGCAGCAATCCTTGTTGGAACGAACAGCAGAAGATTTTTATTATTTATGTATAGTCTTAGTATAATTAATGGCTATAGTGTCTAATGTATAGTCTACATGCTGACGGTCATTATTATTATTTACATAAATAGCTGTTCCTTTGTATATTATTTATATATTTTTTTGATAAATCATTGTGAATAAAATGAAGTTGATAATGTAGTTTTTTTATTGTTATCAATAAAAAATGTATACCCGAATAATTATTTTCTTTATACCTCGAATATAACTTAAAATTAATATTTTTATAGTAAGGAAATTCGTTCCTGTCCGGTGTCCCATGACACCACACATCTTTTTAGTATTCCTTCAGGTTTAAATGTCTAATAACAGTGGTATATTAACTGTCTAATATCTGTGAAAGTGCACAAATGTGGGAAAATGAATCAAAGCCGCTGGACGTAACTTCTTGGGATTCTCCAAAATGTCCACTGAAATGATCTCAGTAAATGACCACCATTTTACTGAGATTATATTTCATCCCATATCATCACAGCTCATTTCATTCAATTTCATCCCAGTTGATTAATGTTTTAAATTGATCATCTTCATTTCATTTCATATTATCTTTTTTCATAAAATTAGGTAAGAATTTAAATTAAAATAAGACATAACTTAAAAGTTACCAGGTCACAAAATCCCTTAAAAAAAATTCTGACTCTTTTTCAGCATGGCAATCAGTTTCTGCCGATGTTAGTGTTGCTAGCATCGCTTTAAAACATGTACCGTACCCTATACAAATTTTTTGTACGTAGGAATCATGCCCTATTTTCCAATTACAGCACAAGAGCGCATTATGTGGCATAATGCTCAACGTTGAATGTTTCAACTACAGCAACGCTTCGCACAATCGAGTCGGTATCGATTGCGAGTATCACGCGAGAGCATTACTTTTGAATGCTTGATTGTGCGAAGCGTTACTGTAGTTGGATGTTCGACCAGCCCATACCGTGGGCCCCGAAGGTCAAATATTTAGGCGTCACCCTCGACAGTAGGATGACATTCCGCCCTCACATCAAGACGGTACGCGACCGTGCCGCCTTCATTCTAGGACGTCTCTACCCGATGATATGTAGGCGAAGTAAGATGTCCCTTAGAAATAAGGTGACACTCTACAAAACTTGCATACGCCCCGTCATGACCTATGCAAGTGTAGTGTTCGCTCACGCGGCCCGCATACACTTAAAATCATTTCAAATCATTCAATCCCGTTTTTGCAGGATAGCCGTCGGAGCCCCGTGGTTCGTCAGGAACGTCGACCTCCATGACGACCTGGACTTAAGAGTCCATCAGTAAGTATCTTCAGTCGGCGTCGATGCGCCACTTCGATAAAGCGGCACGACACGAGAACCCTCTCATCGTAGCCGCCGGTAACTACATTCCCGATCCTGCGGAGAGAATGGAAAGCAGTCGACGTCGCCCAAAACACGTCATCTCGGATCCTCCCGATCCACTAACGGTGCTTTTAGGTACTTCAAGCACCGGTCACCGTTCTCGTCGAACCCGTCGCTTGCGACGAAGGGCTCGACGAATAAATTAACTCTCAGACACAGCCCACNACCCTCTCATCGTAGCCGCCGGTAACTACATTCCCGATCCTGCGGAGAGAATGGAAAGCAGTCGACGTCGCCCAAAACACGTCATCTCGGATCCTCCCGATCCACTAACGGTGCTTTTAGGTACTTCAAGCACCGGTCACCGTTCTCGTCGAACCCGTCGCTTGCGACGAAGGGCTCGACGAATAAATTAACTCTCAGACACAGCCCACCGAGTTTCTCGCCGGATCTTCTCAGTAGGTCGCATTTCCGATCCGGTGGTAGATTCTGCGAAGCACGACTCTTGCTAGGGTTCGTGTTAGCATCGTCATCAGGTTTGAGCCCCGTGAGCTCACCTACTAGCCACGGTTACGCTGAAATAGCCTCTAAGACTATCAGCTTAAGTAGGAAAAAAAAAGCTGTAGTTGAAACATTCAACGTTGAGCATTATGCCGCATAATGCGCTCTTGTGCTGTAATTGGAAAACAGGGATAGTTAATATTTTAACTTATTTTTATATTATACTATCTGACCCGGCAAACGTTGTTTTGCCATGGATGTTATTTCTAGGAAACATTTTTTATAATAAAAATAACTATCTACTATAAGTATCCGGGGATATATTTATAATCGAAAGCGTTATAAAGAATAAATGTTTTATTTAAGTTAATAAATAAATCTTTATTAAAGTAACAAATATATTTCAAATTACAATCTTTGATATCTATCTATCTGCGAGTTACTCTTCGTCCTAGTCATATAATAAGTGTATAACCTATGGTTCAGCCAAATGGGGTAAATAGGGACAAAATCGAACTTCAGATTGAATTTTAAAATAGTTCCAATTAAATAGTCACTGCTCAACCAAAGAAATAAGTTGAGTCTTGAACGTACCTAGGTGATAAACCGTTACATTATTTTTTCATTTTAAAGAAATAATCGGTAAAGTAATAGCCGTCCCAATTTATCCTATGTCTGGGGTAAATTGACACGGGTAAGGGTTAAATTTGGATATTTGCAAGGGCTGTCAGCTCGCAGTATTGCGATATATAGGTAGGTAGGACATACGATCGGGCAGATATTACAAAGTGAATGTCGCGAAAAGAAAAGTAATTATATTGTGGGCTACTCCCACATATACACTTACGCACAACTGGTACGCATTTACATACACCACATTACATTTTATTCCGACACATATTTCAGCCGTGACGATGCGCACCAGTCAACTACATTGGACACACGCACCCAAAACCGGTTCGCTGTGACGTCGGGCCGATACGTCGCCGTCCGCGCACAGAACCGCGCTGACTTCAGGCAGAGCCTACCCGCATCGACTAACGTCCGCTTACGTTTCGTTCCGATAAATTTGTGTATGTATGACCTACGTCGCCTACGACATTTGCAAGATAAGTCTTCGGATATAAAAGTTCCGAATAACATTTGGACCGTCGGTCTACCGAGCAATATCACCCACCGTTGTTAAACCTTTCCAAAATATATATACATGCTTTTATTCTACCTATAATACTTACATAAACCACATTACCCTTCTTTACATTACGCAATTGATAGTATAGGCAAAAAATCTATTATAAGATAGCAGTGACAACCCTAACAAGTCATCCCTATTTTGTCTTTTTGCGTTCCAATTTTGTGTTTTCTCGTACCTAATGTTTCCAGTCTCGTTCCATTTTACCCCACATACGTCCCAATTTCCCCCAAAAAGAAAGGAAAAAATATACATTTTTTTATTTTGTCTTGTCTTTGTTTGTTGTGGTATTTCCGGGTGAATTAAACTCTTATATAAACTGTGATCTTATTGAAAAAACAA